TATTTAAGACTTGTTTATTTTGGACCACACTGTTACCTCTATAAATAATTTCCAGTCTTCTTTACCATCCCCTTTATAACTATAACCAGTTTTTTCTAAATTAAAATATTACCAATCTCATCTCTTTAGAAATAATTCCAAATATACGATTTTTGTCGTTTGACCATTTTATATTTTTAATGAATCTCCAAGCGCAAAAAAACAAAAACATCGAAATTAGCCATCGAAATTCGAAATATACATTTTGTAGATTATATTTTCCTTCTTTTTCATCATATCTCGAACTTCGATAGCGTGACGATAGTTAAAGTAACTATCGATACTATCGATAGCGAATTTGAAAACAAAACTATCGATACTATCGATAGTGCTATCGATATTTGGCCACCTCTACTAGAAATGTGGTGTAAATATTTAAAAAAAATCCTAATTCAAAAATAAACAAAAACATCAACTTGAAATTTTTTGGGAAAAGCAAACTCTATAAGGGGACAAAGCCTATTGATTTAAAAAAATCTGATTCAAATGGAGGGTTGAGGGGGGTTGAAATAAAAAAAAAACGAATATTATTTTTTTATCGTTTTTTTTTAATGGATTTCCTTTTATGTTACACCACTAATTTAATTAACTAATAATTTAGTTTCTTTAATTTTTATTTTGTTTGGAATTCCTAATTTTTTAATTGTATTCACAATGGTTCACATTACTTGTAACGTCGAAGGAATAGAAAACCATTCATTAATTCTGACAAATGGGTTACCAAAAGTTACATTAGTATTTTACCCTAAATAAGCCAATTAGAAAAATCTGATGTGTCCAACACATGACTTTCCTATCTAGTTATTATAGGCATTTTCCGGTTATTTTGTACAACCTATTGCAGCATCTCTATAAATGTTTAGAGGATAAACTAAATATATACATTTTACACATACATCTACCTCGAAACATTTTTCTATAGATATTCATTGAAAACGAAAATACAGAAAAATTTAAATTTAGCACTTTTCCATTACGGACCATTTTAGAAAAATCATGTATAAACAAAAATTATAGAAATCGATATCGCAAACAACTTTTAGTTCAACAATTTTCATAAAAATCAGAATTTTGCACATTTTGTCAAATTTCTCGAATACGGACCATTTCAGGAAATTTTGACATAAAACAAAAATTATAGATAATAATATTAGAAGTAACTTTTATTTGAACAATTTTCTTCTCCAAACATAAATAACAGATATATTCCATAAAATATAAAAACGGCCTCCCATAAAGTACCCCCCCAGATGTTCCAACTTTGTCCAAAATCTAATCATTTCACGTCAGGCCGAAATAAACCTTAAGTTTAAAATTTAATGTTTTTTCCTTTATCCGTTTTTGAGTTTTCTTCAAATTTCGAAATTTACACATTTTCTCAAATATCTCGAATACGGTCCATTTTAGAGAAATTATGTATAGGACAAAAAGTATAGAGAATTATATTATAAACAACTTTTATTTGAACAATTTTTATAAAAAATTATGTTTTTTACATTTTGTCAAATTTCTCGAATACGGACCATTTTAGGAAAATTTTGCATAAAACAAAAATTATAGATAATTATATTAGAAGTAACTTTTATTTGAAGAATTTTCTTCTCCAAACGTAAATAACAGATATATTCCATAAAATATAAAAATGACCACCTATAAAGTACCCCCCAGATGTTCCGACACTGCCCAAAATCTAATCAGCTCATTGGACGCTGAAACAAAGCTTAAGTTTAAAATTTGGTGTTTTTCTGTGTATCGGTTCATGAGTTATGCACACACACACACACACACACACACACACACACACACACACACACACACACACACACACAGACACACAGACACACATACACACAGACATCATCGCGAAAATAGTCAAATCGGATTCAGGGGACCTCAAAACGTAAAAATCCGTCGAAAACTCGAGGTCGAAAAAAATCATGATTCCTATACTTTCCTTATATCTGTATACAGATAGGAAAGTAAAAATGTGGAAAAATTATGTCAATTTTCAAAAAACAATCAAAATCTTAAGAAAAAATTCGTTTGGGAATAAAATGCCAAACAAAATAAAAAAAAATAAGAAAATTAATTTATAAATAATTGGTGGTGTAAAATACAGGGTATTGTATTTGAAAAAATTGAGAATATCGTATCCTTAAATTTAGACACACCCTGTATGCATCACAACAAATGCGACTCGATTTATTCAGGAAAGAGGGCGATATATTTAGTATCCTCGTGGTATTGAGACAGGCGTTGTCTATCGAATTCTATCGGTGTTTTGTTGTGCACTTTCTATTAAAAAAATATCTAGAAGGTGTTGTAAAAATAGGCCTGATGACTTTTGTTATATTTGTGGACACTTTATAGTAAAAAATGCATATTTTGCATATTTTAAAGTCAGACTTGGAGATCAAGATAAACCTTGGGCGCCACATGTTATCTGCAAGATTTGCGAAGAAGCCTTGAGGCATTGGTTTAAAGGAACAATAAAAGCCCTACCGGTTGGAATACCAATGGTCTGGAGAGAACTTAAAAATCACATTGACGACTGATATTTTTGTCTTTGTGATATTAAAGGTTATAACACAAAATCTCTAAAGCATATTAACTATCCTAATCTTTCGTTTGCAATAAGACCAGTTCCATATGACGCTGATATACCTGTACCTGTTCCACCTAAAGTATTACAGTCTATCGAATCAGAATCTTCAACAGATTCAGAAATTGACATTTTTGAGCCATCTACCTCAGGAACCCGTGAACCGCAGCTATTTTCTCAAGTAGAACTGAATGCCTTCGTCAGGGATTTGGGACTTCCAAAAGACCTCTGAGGTTTTAGGATCAAGGCTTAAAGAAAAAAATTACTTGCTCCAGGTACTACATTTTATTGGAACTTAAATCGTGAGGCTGAATTTGTCAATTACTTTGCCGCGGCTGGTTCACTTGTATATTGTCAAAATGTATCTGACTTGGTTATTCACCTAGGTGCTCCTGAATACAATCCTGCCGAGTGGAGACTTTTTAAAGACTCTTCAAAGAGAAGTCTTAAAGCTGTTCTACTTCATAATGGCAATTTATATGCATCTGTTCCTGTTGGTCATTACATTTGATTGACAAAGAAAATACGTTAAATAAATGGCAAAAACACAAGATAAAGTACTGATTGAGTTCTGAAGAAAATTACGAAAATCTTGAGGTACTGCTTTTAAGAATAAACTACAGACAACATAACTGGATTCTATGTGGTGACCTTAAAATTTTAGGGTTGCTTTTTGGTTAACAATCCGGATATACGAAATACCCATGTTTCCTATGTGAGTGGGGCAGTAGAGCAAGAGATGACCACTGGACCAAAAAAACTGACCACCAAGAAAAAATTTCACGCCTGGCTCCAAAAACGTAATTCGGGAAAGCCTAGTTGATCCCGAGAAAATTTTATTACCCTACATATAAAATTGGGGGTAAAGAAACATTTTATCAAAGCTCTAGACAAAAATGGTGGTTGCTTTAACCACTTGTGTGAAACATTTCTGGGTCCCCCTGAAGCTAAATTAAAAGAAGGCATCTTTGTTGGGCCACAAATAAGAAGGTTGATGAAAACTAATGAAATTGAGACGGTTATGCAGGAAGACGAAAAAGAAGCATGGACAGCTTTTAAACAAGTTATAAATAAACAAAAATATATTTTCGTTTACAAATTGCCCGCTTGGTACTTTTTGGTTCCACCTAGTTTTCTAACTAGGTACCACAGCGCATTTTGATTTTGCTTACTAAGAACAGATGGCGACACCATTTTCACTACTTGAATTTTTATTCTCTTCATAACCAACTTTATGGTATACTGGTGTAGCATTTGTTAATTTCATTAGAGACGAATTGAGAACCTATCTATTTATTGCCGAGGAGTCCTAATAAGGACGAAACCGGTCCAAGAATGATGTTCTCCTTGGTGAGCAAAATCAAAGTAGAGTGTTGAAAATGAATTTCTATCTCTGCTGTTTTTCCTTAGGATGTAATTCAATGCCTGTTGTGGTATTAGCCAAAGGAGTAGTTGTTTTTTGAAGGGGAAACGGTCGTTGTATTTTATGTGATATTCTGGCTTTGAGCTAAATTCATTTTATTTCAAGTTATAAATAAGTTTCTAGGAAACTACAAAGACCCTGAATTTGAAAGTATTGTTGAAAACATGTTGGACAAATTTAGAAAGTTAGGCTGTAACATGAGCTTAAACATTCATTTTCTACATGCTCATCTTGACTATTTTCCGGATAATCTTGGCAATGTCAGTGAAGAGCAAGGGTAGCGCCATGGAGGAATGGTAGCGCTTTCACCAGGACATAAAAGAGATGGAACGCCGACTACTGTTGGATGCTTAAAAGGGACCGTCCTACCGCAGAATATGCACGAAAAACAACAAAAAGAAGCTTTTCCGGAAAGAGAGAAAGATTTTCAAGAAAACAAAGGATTAATGTATGTTATTTTTTAACTACTTCCCCGGTTTTATTGTTTGTTTTCTTGGTTTATTATTTTCTTTTTTATCCTAAGTATATATAAATATATTTTTACTTTTTGCATCTTTTAGTATTTTGTTTAAAAACCTTACGTGATAGAAAAAAACTAAATCACTGAAATACCCAATTTCAGTTGAAAAGTTCAATTTACATTTTACAGAGTATTTAAACGCAGGCCTGTGTTATTAATGCCAAAAATTATGTCTCATCAAATTAACATATTCTCGAGATTTAGATTTAACAAAAATTATAAAGCTCTCGGGTCTTTTTTGAGCCTTCCTTAATTTCTTTTTATTAGTAAACCATTTTTAGGTATTTTTAATCTTTTATTTATTACTTTTTTATTTTTTTTAATGTATAAACTTATATTACTTCATATTTTTGTTTTAAAATAAAAAGGTGTTTTGAATTTAAATAGAAAATTGTTAAAATTAGAGATTTACATACCTATTAAATAACACACTATATTAATAATAAACACTATATAAACTACGGAGAACAATAATTAAGTCCGTAAATTGGAGAAAGATTATAAGATATGCATATTGTGGTTCTGGTGGTTTCCGGAAGAGTAAATTTGTAATCGTATGCAATCGTTTAACTATATAGGATACGATATGCAGAGATTGAAGACTTGCAAGTGTCTTGGAGAATATTATTGAGATTCCGGTAGAGTTAAATATAGCATACTCTATTAGTAACAGTAATGTATGGTGAAATGAAAAAATGTTATTTTGAAAAACACAAATAATTGATGGAGTAATTAAATTTTATTAATGTATGTTAAATCAGTTATTTTTTAGAATCGTTTTTCGAAATTTATTATTTCGAAATATAACTTTTGAAATAGTTAAAGTTTCGAATATTAATTTCTAGAATTACAATTTTTTTTGAAAGAAACTTTTGAAGACGTAGAAGACAAGGGCGGCTCTGGGGGGGGGGGGGGGGGCTAGGGGCCATGCCTCTCCCGAGATGAAAAGTCTAACGATGTATGAGCCCTTGGTAAAAGGACCGCTTTTTATAAATAGAGGTATACTTATTGTTAGTAATTCTGTATAAATTTTATTAGTTAACTATGGATTTTTTTTCGATCAATAAAAATTTGAAGCAATAATTCTTGCATTTAAGCCTCTTTTCAAAAACAAGAATGTGAAAAAAATATTGACTCTACTTGATGTGGGCACCTTGGCCGTATGTTCTTTTTTGGCCTAACCAGAATAAGTTGCTTGGCCTCGGACACAAATTTCTAATTCGGCCGAAAAAGATCAACTTTTAGGCTTTGGTACACCTATTTTTTTAATTTCGACTATTTTCATAATTTAGACTTTGTCGGAATTTCGACTTTAATTTCGAAATTTCTACTTCAAACTCGGAATTTCGACTTTAAACTAGGAATTTCAACTTTAAACTAGGAATTTCAACTTTTTAATCTCGATATTTCAAATTTAAAGTCGAAATTGGCCTTAGCACACATTGTACACGAATAGAATATTTGGTTTACTTCTTCCAAAGTATATGGAAGCTTTTTAGAGCGAATCTACAGTCATTTGCTCTTGCTATTTCGGAATAGCATAAGGATTTGTTAATTTGATTAAACTTACTTAGACTTACACTTAGCTACTAATCGTACTACTGCATATAATCCTAAAATACGAGGGAAGTCCTCTTTCCGCAGAGCCTATCTAGTAGGCGATATATTTTTGTCTGATATTTCAATTTAGTTCTTTACAAGTTTGGTGAGTGACAGTTATCAAATATACCTGATTGTAAGTTACATCCTTTCGCCAATAAGTGATGGAAATGAACAAGCGTGGCTTAAACCGTAAAGAATGTTTTGAGGAAATAAATCGAGTGCTTGGTGAAAAGTCTTGTTTCTTCGGTACCGTAAAGCGGTAGTACAATCAATTTCAACGTGGTTGACTATCCTTAAATGACAGTATTATAGAGCTCCTAAACCAAAAAAGGCAGTTACAGAAAAAATATTGATCTTATTAGGATCATGATTAAAAAAAAAACCAGCACATTACTGTCAGGAACATTCAAACAATTTTAAAGATTGATGTAAAAGCAATTGAGAATATTTTACAAAAACATTTGAAAGTCTCCGTAAGCTTTGTTCTTGGTGAATTTCCCACAACCATAGGCGTCGGCTACGGGTGGCTCGGAACCTCTCAGAAATAATCTCCTCCCCCCGTGGAGAAATGTAAACGTGAAATTTATTTTTCCCACAATTACTCAGTGGTCAAAACACATTAGACCTTTATTTTAGCTTGCATGGTACGAACCCCCTTCCCCACCCTCACAGATAAACAAAAGTCGGCATATATGCCCACAACTTGACTTTAGCTCAAAAAGAAGACCATGTAAGATGGTGCAAATCTACAGTAGATAGCTTTGATTATGGATCGTCGAATTTGGTGTACACCATCGTAGGTGATGAAACATGGGTATACTGCTATGATTCCGAAAAAAGCAACAATCGTCGGTCTAGGTCTTTGAAAATGAGTCGGCTAACAAGAGTTGCTCGTGAAAAAAATCCAAAACAAAAAGATGGTAACAAGGTACATTCATCACTGCGCTCAGTATTGCATCAAATACACACTAAGCTTTCATTCTGTTCTTTTATTACTTGTGGAGACGTCTCTGTAAACGGAACTGTCTTAGCCGATAAGGAAGGTCTCCCAACAAATAACTACGTCACACGCATCATTTACTTTCATTGGTTAGCGCCACAAGCGTTATGCACTTCCTAATTGGTGAACCTCAAGCGTGACGCTCACGCTCGCTTAACGGCTGGTCTCCTTCGCGCCAGAGCTTAGTACCTCTCAAAGAAACCACAACACAGCGTTTTGCGGTATTACAAAAAGCAACGCTTCGTCAGCCATCATGTAATATAATTTTTATGCCATAAAAATGGCTTAAGTAACAAATTTCCTAGAGAAATAGTGTAAAAAGTATGTAGTTTTTAAGTGCATAATATAATAAAAAATAAAATCATTCAAGTAGTGTTTAAAATAAAGTGTGTACTCAGAAGGTGATGTTTTCATCCAAGTACTAATCCTCCCAGGCCCATGGATCGCACAGGTATTTTCAACATTATTATTTAATACAGATCATGATTTGTCAAGGTGTGAATGTCGGTCCTAGTTTATTAGAGCAGACGGTCACCACTTTTTTGGAATCACTGGCTTGTTTCCACTATAGCACTGGAGGATAGACGTACTGATAATTCGGAATGGTACATTACAGTTTGTTTGCCTCAGGTTTTCTAAAAGGTTCGTGAAAAACGTCCAAGAGAAAGGATCATCTTGCATCAAGATAATGCTCGGGCTCACACTCCTGCTGGTACAAATGTGTAATTGAATGCCCAAAACATAGAAATATTGGATCATTCGTCGTATCGTCCAGACCTAGCATCTAATGACTTCCTATTTCCGCGGGTAAAGGATAATTTACGCGGTTTACGTTTTAAATCGACCCATGTTTTATAGAATCCTTAAGACTTACCTAGGGTCTAGAATAATATAACACTGAAGAATTTCGTATAGGTAGATATATCTTCTATCCAGTGAAAATTCTATTTGAAATCTCATAAAATAAATAAACACACAGGAGTGCAAGATACATTAAAAAAATAAATAAACTTATTGGTTTGTCTTAAATATAATTTTATTTCAAATATGTACATTTTATAAATCTAGAACAATTATTTTCAAATAGATTCAAGCAATTCAAAATTCAACTCAGTTGGACCATGTAAAATAAATAACAGAAAATTTAAGCTATATATTGTGAAAATTTTCATATTTTAAGTAGGTAGTATTCCAAATACAATTTCTATAAATTACAATATTTAAAAAATAAAACTAAAGGATTATTGCAACTGTCGTATTTGAAGATATGATCAAATTGAAGTAAATATTCAAAATGAATCATTAGTGAGAAACAATCTTTTATCTACAATAATAATTTTATGAATAATAACGGTAGGGTTCAAAATAATGTTAATATAATAATTTATTAAATTAACAAAAAGATATTTAACAAAATTACAGTATTTTTATTAGTTTTGTTCAAGCAACAATTACAAACTGTCTCTACCAGACGCATGCGTGTTGCGGTTAAAAACTAAAGCTAGAACAAACCAATTATTGAAATATTCAATTTGACTTAGACAAAAAGGCATTTTTTTTCTTATGGAGTAGAGATAAACCATCCAAATCTGGTACACTCACGTGATCGCTCGTTGAAGCGCCCAATGCGCTCGTGATTTGTTTATGATATAGGTACGTATCAAGCTAGCAGAGCTCCTTTGGATTTTTCACATTCTGAGTATGCCATAATTTTTGGCTCATTTTAAGCTAATTTTATGCAAACAGAAAAATGTACACTCCTTTCTTTATAGGAAAAATTAGGTACAGTGTCACAGTTTATAGCTAAAGAATCAGTTCGCTCACTCTGCGTCGGCACTTTTGATCTCAATGTTCCAGTTTATACACTGCGCAACTCAGATTTGTATCCCTGGCGCATACAGAATCAAATCATAACCAATCAAATATATGACAGCTCCTATATTCAAACAGCTCTGTACCACAGTTTATTGCTAAAGAATCAGCTCACTTGGACCAGTTGAATGTTCCAAAATAACATCCACTCCAGGGATACAAATTCAAGATACGCAGAAGACTGCTGTTTTATTATAGGCGGTTGTCATATATTGTATTATCCGAGTTGCGCAGTGTATAAACTGGAACATTGAGATCAAAGTGCCGACGCAGAGTGAGCGATCTGATTCTTTAGCTATAAACTGTGGCATAGGAATCAAAATGACCGCGCCCTATGTTGGGCGTGTCGGACCTCTCTCTTGCACCGTACAGTAATCAAAGTATGTGGGTCTACAAGTATTAAAAGCAATTTTAAAAACAGACTTCAAAATCGTCCAGATACCGTCACCACATCTTAACCAAATTTATATGGAACCACCCCTGAGGTACCCCCTTACTAACAAAAAAAGAATCGCAGAAATCGGACAAGGTGCTAAAGAATTATCGCTAAACATACATAAAAAATGAAGAGTTTGAGGATTTTCTAATGGACCCAATTTTTAGATTTTGACCAAATTAATATGGGACCACCTCAGAAGTACCCCCTTTCTAACAAAAAAAGAATTATTGAAATCGGACACCGTGTTGAAGAATTATCGCTGAAAAAAAAAATATATTACGACGAATTGAGAACCTCCTCCTTTTTTGAAGTCGGCTAAAAATTATATCAACTTGAAATTTTTAGCAAATCAAGTTCTATAAAAGAATAAAAAAAGAGGGGGGAGGGTTAAGGAGGGTTGAAATATTGAAAAAATCCTAAATTGAAAACGAAAAATGATATCAACTTGAGAGGATGAAGCCTATAACTCAAAAACAAAATCAACTTGAAATCTTCAGGAAAATCAAGTTCTACAAGAGGACGAAGCTAATTGATTTAGAAAAGAAAATCTGAACAAAATAGTGGGGTTAAAAGGGGTTGAAATACAAAAAAAATCCTAACTCAAAAACGAAAAATGATATCAACTTGGAATTTTTAGCGAAAATCATGTTCTAGTGTTCTAGAAGAGGACGAAGCTTATATTGATTTTGAAAAAATCTGAACAAGGTGGTCGATATATTAAAAAAAAACTCTTAACTCGGAAACAAAAAAACGTTATAAATTTGAAATTTTCAGGAAAATCAAGCTCTATAAGGGGATGAAGCCTATTGATTCCAAAAAAATCTGATTAAAAATGGGAGGTTAAAGGAGGTCTGTTAACCTGTGACGAGTATGCGAAGCATTATATAACTTCATTCTAGTTTATTATTTTTGGAATAAAATAAAATTAATTCTGTTTTTTATTGATTGTCTAAAAATAATTACTGTTAACAACATCTTATTCTACAAATATGAAAACCAAAAATATTTTTTAAGTATTTAAAAAATCTACTGTTTACGTTTAGATAATGAATTTAAAAACGTATTTAGTATATTTATAATGAAAAAATAATAATTTAAGATGTATAATCTATTTGTATGTCTATCCGCAACTGACTGAAAGACTCCACCTACCTGGACCTGCTACCACATGCTGTACCAAATTTTTGTTGGTGGATCTCTATCAATAACTGTATTTGTTAATTTAATGAAATATATCGTTGTAAAATTTGTTTTTGGAATAATTATTAGAGTAGACAATCTAAGGTTTACCAATTTCCGGTTGCCCTAAAGTAATTTTAGTAATATCTTTTACGATTAATTCAGCCACTTGCCATGCCATATCTTCCCTCTTTTTATCATCATCATCGAAGCTCATAACTTTTCTAAGAACATTTTTCAATTTAAATTCTTTTTTATCCGGTTCGGGTTCAAAATATGTCTCATACTTACCTAATTCGTTAACTCGCCCTAAGGAAAGAGTATGGCATTTTTTTCTTTTCCATAGAGCATCCGGATCATATAATTCTCTAGTGTCTATTGTCATTTTTGTACTCTTTTCCCCTTTGTTTTCATGTGGGATTTCAAAAGCTAAAAAGGTGCTTTGACTAAAACTTTTTTCACTGCTACAATCAGACGCAGTGTGCTTGTATTGGTCTACATTACTATAATTATTTGATTGCACCGTATTTATCAAATCAGACAAGTATTTATAAAAGAGTTGGGATTCTAAAAATGGTTTTAAATAATTTTTTTCCAAAACCGTCTCAACAATTTTTAAAGGTAAGTAAAAACAATCTAGAGTTAAACCATTATGACCACATATACTCTGTTCTACTGCAAACCTAACCTTATCACTAAAACCTAAAGGACAAAGTGCTTGTAATGAAAAATATTTGTCATATAATACCACAGCATCGGTTTGTGCTTCAACAGGATCAAAAAATTCTTTTTGATCGTGTAATTGCTGCTGAAAATTAGAAGCAGCCATCCAAAATTCTAATAAGCTACGATGGTTTTCTTGTTCTAAATATTCCATAAAGTAAAACAACGCTGTCTCGTTATACAATATGTCATCAAGAACAACATTACCACACGTCAATAAATCAATTTGATATTTACAAAAATAATCAGACTCTAAAAAAGCATTAAAATAATCATCTTGTACAATTTTATATACAAAATTTTGAACTGAATCAAAACAATTAGGAGATATTACTTTATCAATATTACAAATATTTTCCATTATTTCCTTTCTTACACCTTCTGTACAATTTATATTACATTGTGACTCAAGCGCAACATATTTTTTAAATAGTTCTAACGCTCTATCAACTATATTTTGTACATTTCTTTTTTCACTACAAGACTCTTCATTTTTTAACTTAACACTACTATCACTTCTTTCTGTATCACATGTGCTATCTTGAGGGCATTTGCCATCAGATAATGCTGGTGTAGAATAGTCGCAGAGACTGTTGGAATCTGCGGTATACGAATCACAATCTGTGCTAACAGATAAACTGTCATGGTCAATCTGGCTGTGTGGGACAGGAGAATGTGGGGAATTCTTTGTATTTGATTTATTATGTTCCTCCTCGTTATGTTCTAAATTTGACTTAAATGATTCTATATCCAGCCAGCATAATATGTAAGAAGAAGCATTTCTTGATTCCATGTATTGTAAAAAGTACCCTAAGGCATTCTTGTCAGCAATGATATCTGATAAAGTTCTCGTTAGCCTGGAATGTTCTTTAGATGCATCGAATTCACCTGTAAATAATTAAGAGTGCGGATGTCAGAGATATCCAAAACCTTGTTTAATAAAAAAGAAAAAATACTTATCAAGTGTATGAGTGTATGAGTTAGACAGTACTGATGATGCTTTTGATACATTCTTTAGAATCATTTCATATCATATTGATGTAACTTGTCCCCTTGTCAGAACAAAAATGGTTAAAAACAATACATCAAGGCAATGGCAATGGGTAAACAATTATTATACATACAGGAAAAGATCTTAAAATTTGTATTGGATTTCTAAAAATTGTGACAGCTCAGAATTGTTAAGAAATTACAAATCCAAAAAAGATTATGTTCAATTAATAAATGTAACTAAAAAAGATTATCAAAAATTGTTAGAAAACAAAAACCCTCAACAAAAACAAAAAATTATATCTATAACTGGTAAAAACAAATCTATAAAGCCAATATAGATCAATATTGACGACATATTAATATCTGACAAAAAAAACTAGCTACCTAATTGTTTTGCTGACTATTTTTCAATCATAGCTAGTAACACTGTTAGAGATAATTTTGACAATACAAATTTTCATAACTACACAACCATGCATGTAAAAAATACATTCTTCTATGATGGAACAGATTCCCAAGAAGTAACTGCAGTCATTAGTTCTTTAAAAAAATACTAATGCAATGGATGTAGATTGCATTACAACTAAAATAATTAAATCAAAATTGTACTCATCAAATTTCAGCATTTAAGAAACCTTTTCGAATTTGGTCATACATACCTAATTTGTATTTTATGTAGATAAAATTAAATAATTTATCAATTAAAACATGCAAGACTTATTTAGAAATAAATACAACAGTATATGTGCTTTATTTAGCTATAAACAAGTTTATTTTTATTATTTTGACAAAATTACCCATAAGAAGCCATGTACAGGGTCACCGACGCCGACGGGAACCTGACGTTTTTGAAATGAACAGTACACAGTTATTTTACACATGCCATTTTAAGATAAATATCTTGGGGAAGCACCCCAAAACAGGCACATGGAAAAGCCTTCATAGGCAGACCATGTCCCAAAAGAACTGGAGAACTACTCTTAATGAATAGGAACCAGTTGACAGTGATAACAGGGTTCATGACTGGGCACACCCCAGTAAAGGGACACTTGAACAAAATTAGCATGTACAATGGGGAACTCATGTGCCGACTATGTCACAAGAAACCAGAAACGGCCAAACACATACTGTGCGAATGCGAAGCTCTAGATCGCAAAAGACAAGCTCTTTTTGGACAACCCCAGGTTGATCCAACAACGTATAGAACCCACTCACCCAAGGATCTGTACAAACTTGTACAAGGTACAAAGGTGATAGAGTGGGTGCTATGAACTAACATGGGGTAAAACACAATAAGCCAATAGGCTTCAGTATTATTCGGAGACACATAGTCAGACGAGCCCAGGAGAAAAAAAAAATAAAAAGATAAATATCACTTGTGAAAAATTACGTCAGGTAAGTGGTGTCCATCCTCCTGAATGCAGTTTTCCAGCCTTCGCCAAAAATCGGCCATCACACGAGTAATCAGTTCACCATCAATTGTAGCCACTTTTTCCCTGATTGCCTCTTTCAGTTCTGCCAATGTGCGAGGTCTGTGAGAGTATACACGTGATTTGAGATACCCTCACAGAAAAAAGTCACAAGTGCTCAAGTCAGGTGATCTCGAGGGCCACGGGATGTCGCAAAAACGGGAAATTAAACGTTCTGGGAAGATGCCTCGAATCACTTGCATGGACACAAGAGCAGTGTGTGCTATGGCACTATCCTGTTGGAAAAAAATATTTTCCAAATCCAGTTGCAGCCTGCGCAGTTCGGGACGCAAGAAAGTGTTCAGCATCTGGTAGTAACGTTCGGCATTCACTGTAACAGTTGAACCATTCTCGTCCTCGAAAAAATAAGGACCAATGATGCCGAATGGAGTAGTTGCGCACCAAACCGTTACAAGCTCTGAATGTAGAGGCTTTTCGTGCCGATACTGGGATTCTCAGAGGACCAGTACTGTAAATTTTGTCTATTAACTCCCCCATCCAAATGGAAATGCGCCTCGTCACTCATGATAATGACTACATTCTCATTGTCTTCCAAAAGCACTTGCATTCGAAAAGCAAACTCCTGCCGCTGCGCATAATCTCTTTCTTCCAGCTTCTGAACAACACACTTCTTGTAAGGGTGAAATTTTAGGTATTTCTGTAAAATTGTTCGCAGAGATTCACGGCTCATTCTTCGTTCGCGCGCGTTTGCGTGCAGAGCGCCCAGGGCTACGAGTCACAGCGGCTCTCACACGCCCGATGTTGTCTGGTGTTCTTGCTGTCTTAGTCGGACCTGGTGGCTTCTTTTTCACAATAGATCCTGTTGTCCGTAGATTATGAACCCAACTGAGAATCGTGTTGCGGTTTGGAATGGTTCCACGACGCCCAAGATTGAAACGCACATGAAAAAGTCGCTGCACAGTAATAACAGATCCGCCATTCTGCACAAATGCGTCATACGCAAACATCCGATGTACAACCGTCCATAGCTCCATAACTGCTGATTACTGAAACGGCATCGAATGGCGAGATTAATGGCTTGTAATTCGGCTCCTTACTCCTCTTACCGGCTGAGTACTAGCCATCCCAAAAACGTCAAGTTCCCGTCGGTCACCCTGTATTTTGAACACCATATGCAGTACCAGCGCCCATGCGGTTAATTATAGAAGCTCAATTAGCATTCGTTTTTTGGGACCGTTTTTTGAGTATGCCGATTCCCCTCCTTATCTCTAGTCTTCATGTCCCCAAAGAAGTTAAAACTAGTATAGTATCACTTATTTTTAAAAAAGGTGATTCAACGACTCTTGAAAATTATAGTCCTATCACAGTGCCTACTGTTTTCTGTAAAATTTTTGAAAAATGTATATATGAAAAACGTACTGGCTAGCCGACCGCCGGCGGTAGTTGAATTTAATAAAACGAAAACCGTCTTCCGGCGGCATGGTCTTCTCACATATAAGAAAGCCGTCAAAAATTTAAACTGATTTGTTGATGAGGGCGGCAGGCTATCAGAGTATTGATATGGCCGCCGGACGACGGTCTACTGTATTTGAAACATTAAACTACAGGTTCACGTTAATATTTTTCTCTTGCTTTTGAATATGTTTATTTTTAATATTAGTATTTAGGTACATCTTCGTTTCTTGAATATCTTTGGGTTATTTATTCTTTCTTTTTCTTTGTTTACGTTATTTTTTTTATTTATAAAGTAAGTTAGTATGGCAGATTTAAAAATAGCATGTATTAATATTAATTCTCTAGCAGCGAAAATTGTAGAACTGAGAGAGCATATCGAAATACAAAAATATGACATAATTTGTGTAACTGAGACCAAGCTCAATGAAAATATACTGGACAATGCCGTCTTAATAAACAATTTCAATTTATTCAAGTATGTAACTACCTTAGTGATAGGTTTCAAAGAGTTAAATTACATAATCGTTTATCTTCTCCAAAAAAAAATATAACAAACGGTGTTCCACAAGGTTCTATTCTCGGGCCTCTATTCTTCTGTATTTATACTTGTTTATTTCAAGATTGCCTTCAGCATTGCCGCTCACATTTTTATGCCGACGATACACAGTTATATATATCCTTTCCCCCTAAAGATTTTCACAATAACATTAAAAATATAACTAGGGATTTAACGGCACTTTTTCAATTATCTAATGACTACTGCCTTGATATAAATTCTTCTAAATCAAAAACCCTGCTGTTTGGTCGGAAGCACTGTCGGCTTCAATATAAGGATCAATTTAAGATTATAGTAAATAATGAAACTTTACCTACTTCGGAAATATCAAAAAACTTGGGCTTATTTTTAGATACGGATTTACGGTTTGTAAAACACGTACCTAAATCAGATTATAAAAAAATGTATGACTAGCATAAAAATGATATATGCAAATAAATACATCTTAACTCATCAAGATAAACGTACGTTGTGCGAATCACTAGTATTTTCACATATGCATTATTGCGATTCAGTATATGGCCCTTGTGTAACACGATATGATAGTCAACGTCTTCAACGCATGCAAAATATTTGTATTAGTGTATAATTTAAAAAGTGTCAGCTAAGCGATTTGAATTGTCTTGGCTATCTGTTCAGGAAGCGCGTTTTTTACACACCTGTTGTCTCTACCGAAAAATTGTCAATCTTAAAACTCCCCCTACTTGTATAACAAAATATGATTCAGGAGCGATGTACACAATATTAATATTCGCAGAAAGGATGATATCTCTATTCCTCGACATTCCACTGCTATGTTCAAAAGTTCATTTTCATATTTAATAGGCCGTATCTTGAATCTTATACCAACAGAGTTTAAAAAATTAAGTCATATAACTTTTAAAAATAAGTTGAAATTTTTGTTACTTCGCGGACAGCTTTTGATCGATTTTAAAATATAAATATTAATTTGTGATTATTTGATTGATCTTTGTATATTTTTATATTTATTGCTTGAAGCAACGTTCACTAATTTTCATTGAGCTTCGTCTACTAGACTAGGTAGGTATTTATGCTGTCTTTGTTATTAATTACAATTTTCATTTTTTTATGTGTATCCATTATGTATTTATTTATGTACTACATTTAAGGGATGTTTATATTTAAACTATTAATTTTGACCGGGCGTATTGAAAACCATTTTAGTCTGTCTTCTGATAGGCTACGATGAATACGATTCCTTTTCAGTATAGTAGATAATCCTTGTATTTTTGTTAAAACTTCTTGTGTTACACTATTTTGTGTATATGGATTCTGCTTTCTGAATAAATATTTTTATTATTATTATATAAATGTCGCCAGAAGAAACTCGCGTATCGAGGACAATACTAATCATTTGTAATTGCTGTGGTGGGAGGTGTTTGTGTGAATGCGTCTTGTTTGTTTTCATTTACGCCGTGACTATTAGTAGTATTTTATAAACCTAAGAAGCAAATTTCACATACATGAACAAATAATAATAATGCCGTGACTACAATTAAGAAGACTAAGTAACGACTTCTCGTAGGGTGGCGGCTTCGCCGCCACCATAAAATTTCAATCCATACCTGGCTACGCCGACCGGCATAAAAACCAACGGCCTGGACACAGCTCATTTACTCTGTCAAAAGGAGACCGATGTAAAAATAAAACGCGTACGACATATGATCATTTGCCACAAAAATATAGACGATTTTACAAGTATTTTTTCTTACCACCGGCATTCAATGTTTTAAATACAGTAGACCGTCGTCCGCGGCATTTTTCAATTCACTGATAGCATGCCGCCCTGATCAACAAATCAGTTTAGATTTGCGGCGGCTTTCCTGTATGAAGAAGACCAACAAATGCAAGTACCGCCGGAGGTCGATTAGCCAGTATGTATAAAAAAATGTTATCATTTTTAAGTTTAAAATTATTACAGATCAACAATATGGGTTTCTTCCTGATAGGTCAACAGAAAGTGCTACTACTGCCTTTTTTAATTATGTCCACAATCAGCTGGATAGAAAAAGGTTAGTGGTGCGCTCTTTTTTGATCCATCTAAAGCTTTTGACACCATTGATATCCTAATTATTATTGGAAAATTAAGTGCTTTAGGTTGTAGGAGTAACTTTTTGGAATGGATTAATTCCTATATAGATTCTCGTAAAATGTCTGTCAATGGTTGCTATCAGAAGTAAAGGAAATGGATCGTGGTGTTCCTCAGGGATCAGTATTGGGTCCACTCATATTACTCCTTTACATAAACGACTTGCCTAACTTCATCTCATCTGGTAACATTTCAAAATATACAGACGGTACCAATGTTGCTTTCAATGCAGAATCACCTGAGGAACTTCATTCCAGATTGTCTCTTGTTTCTAGAGAATTTACTGCATGGTGTAAAAGAAATGCATTAATTGTTAACTCCAACAAAACAGTACTCATTCAGTTCCATTCTAGATCAAGAATAAGTACAGATTTTTTAATACAAGTAATGATTTTATCCCACTGTCTATGAAAACAAAATTCCTAGGAGTTCTTATAGATGCAAAAAATTAAATAGTGCGTACTATGCAATTCTCCAATTAAAAAATATGTTGGACACCAAACAGGTTCTTCAAGAGTACTATGTGATGGCATAGTATGTCTCTTATTTTTATTTTTAGAAGTTTAGTTAGTTTTTTTTTTGTTACTTAAATAGATAATTCTTGTACAAAAATTAAATGTACATGGTTGGGTGGAAGAGCAGAGTTACTTAAAGGCAGTTCATCTACCTTTGAGGAACACTGAACCCTGCCAATTGACATAAGTCATATATGTATGCATAATGTCAATAAAAGCATTTATTATTATTATTATTATATGTTACAACATATTGCTTTGGGGAAATGCAACCAGTAAGTTAAGCTAGATGCTAGAAGTACCTGTAGAGATCTTTTAAAAAGATATAATATACTGACTTTTCAAGCAATATATATTCTCAAATGTGCTATATATGTTAAAACAAACATCTCTAAATTTACCTGTAACTCAGACAACCATAATTATAGTACTCATAGTGACAATTTACTACGCATACCCCCTCATGTTTCAACCATGTTTGAAAAAAGTTAATACTACTGTGGAATAAGGTTATTCAATCTTCTACCTACCTCTACAAAACAAAATAATAGTCTGAGCTCATTTAAATGCAAATAAAAAAGCTATTTATCCCAAAAATTCCCCTATAGCATTCATGAATTTCTCCTGTAGTTTGTAGTACAAGGTACAGCCTATGTCATATGGGTATTTTCAAGCATACCAGTCCTAATTTTAATTTTGGGTATTTATTGTTAAATTGTATATTTAAATGTGTTAGTTAGATTTTATATGTTTTGTAAATGTATACTATTGTATATCTTTACATGTAAATCACATCCTATATCATGTATATGATCTAAAAGGATTAATAAAGTATTATTATTATTATTATTATTATTATTATTATTATTATTGTAGTTAGGTATTTAAGGTAAGTGAAAGGGGATAAGTGAAAATAAAAGTTTTAAATAAATTTTGATCTTACACAAATAAGATACAGAGGATGATAAAATAATAAAGATAATTTTTGCATAACCTTTAATGAACTTCAGAATGAAACTTGTATCTGAATTTGATATGCATTATATTAGTGAGACTCAATTTGTGTTTCACTGAAAGTTAACTTTTAATAAAAACAAACTATTCTGTCATTGAAATAGACATAAAAATATATTTTTATTCTCCAGTGTTTATTATAATAAAAAAAAAATATAGAAAATTAAATCTGAAATAAATTTTCCATATAATTTTTGACACTGTTAGAAATAAAATGAAAAGAAAACAAGAGCTTTTTATATACTTTCTTTGACTTGCTATAAACTGAAACAATAAACATTGTGATTCAAATATAAAATATATCTAGCTATCAACCTATATACTTTTTACAAACTAAAACTCTTCAAAATAATAAGAACTTATATTAATAATCAATAAAAGGGGCATAAATATATTTTTTATGCATTTTCCTCAAAACTTAACTTTCACTACATATGTCATCCATTTACAATTTGTTTTTCCTCAACAAATTTGTGTAATATTTGACTTCAATCGCTTATTTTTAAAAGCAGCTTAGCATAATAACAATTCCTATTTCAAATAAAACCACTCTAAAGAAAAAATTAAAAGTATAATTGGAATTTTCACTGGAATTATTATTGGAATTGCTGGATTTTTATTGGAATTGTTGGAATTTTCTTTGGAATGTTTTGTAGTCGATGTACACAATTTCAAACCGGGTGTTCCTTGTTTCTATACCTACTTTATGACTGCATCTACTGGATTATTAGTAGATTAGTTTTAGAAATTACTTAGGTCATAGTTATCCGTATTTAAAGTAAACTGGTTATGACTATTCAAAGGAAATTATACTAAATGTTACAAATTCTAAATATGGGTTTTAAACTATAAACTATTTATAATAGGGACGTTAGGAACATATAAATCATCTAAAAAATATGATAATTTGGATACCTACATTTGTGAATTTTTTTTGAGCTTAGATAGATCAAGATTAATAAAAGGTACAAGACATATCAAGAAAATAGATTAATTACGTACCAATGTCAAATAGGCCCTCATCATCAAAGGATGAAAGTGGTAATGGTAATGAACTGCTTTTACAATAATGTTGGTTGGAAGTAAATGCATTTTCATTATTTGATTCTTGAGATAGAGAGGTAGGGTTGTACTTTTGGTGACCTAAAAATAATTATACTTAAGAATACATCCAATTATTTAAATCGACATTTTTAATACCACTCTTGTTTTTCTTTAAAAATTGTAGCATTGTACATATTAACGTTGGATTTTACAGAATTATGATAAATCTGAAAAAATTACACTACAAAATATTCTCATTATTTACACTTTGTTTTATTTATTTTAGCTTTATTTTGCACGCAGTTCACATCTGTCAAATCAAATAATCTTCTACTTCTAAAACCAAATGTCATATATTCATTTACATGGCCTCTACCGTTGTCTGTATTAAGCCCAATATGAAGAAAAAAACCTCTAAATTTTTATGTTCTAACGGGAACTCGTGCATAACTCGGTGCGATATAGGTCGCCTTAATCGTTTTAATTGCCTTCTTCGTTACATAGAAAGTTATTTATAATTTATTGTTATTTCTTAAGTAGTGAACAATGATATAGAATTTTAATGGCCCTGCAACTATATACTGTGCATTCAAAGAGTGTGGAAATTATGTGTGTTGTTACACGTACAATTTCAGAACGCGAGTCCGATACAAGCGTCGCGACGAACGACAGATCGATGCACTTACGTCATACTTCATACATTTGGCAAGCCGACTGCAGGCGACCGCAGACGAACATGTAAAAGCAACATCATAACTCATAATTAAACACGACAGGAAGCAAACACACTGCTCCGAGACTGGTGTGTCGCGGTCTCCTGCATGGGTCGCTTGCATCGACCGCTCGGTCCTGAATGTGCTTCATATAAATGTACTACATACAATAATTTCTCAGAAGAATGCAATTTATTTAACAATTCTAACTTGTTAACGCATTTTAAAGCATACGACTCTGAAGAAAAGGTGCTTGGCAATTTAAAATCTCCCAGCGAAAAATTTCTCTTTTATATTTTCAAATTAGAAAAAATATTTATATCTATTTGATAGTTTGTCAACTAAGCCTGGAATTTCCAACGCATACCTTTTTGAGATGAGCAAAATAGAATTTGGTCATCCTTGCCAACAATTTGCGAAAATGTACACCATTAAATTATTTATAAGACAAAGTATGTGGGACTAGGCACATACTTTGATTTTCTTTTACTATACGGAGAATGGTCGCACTGCGCAGCTTTCTGAGTGCCTTTTAAAAGGAGATAGAAAACTCCGCCATTTTGATCTCTTATTACGTGTTGCCTACATCTTGGCGCAATATTTTTAATAGGTGTCCTTGTTTTTCGCATCATAATGAGAGAGAAAACAACAGAGGCACATATTTACTGTGCCCATCTTCCATTTAATTTGGGAATTCTCGGAACGTCGCTCAACGCCCAGTCGTCCTGTGACGTGCCAACGCGGTTTGCGCTGAATATTAGATAAAATAATAATAGGCATTGAGGAAAATATAAAATATGTAAGTTATTTTTGTTTTGTTTATTACACTAGGGCACGTGCCCAAGTGCCCCTACGGGCAAACCGCCACTGCTCAGGAGCCCTAGATACAACATCAAAATCAAGTTTTGGCCCCCTTCATGCTAAGCGCCATGATAACTCAGTTTTAAGGTGGCACTACTGGCAAGACAGGTTTGGCGCAAGGTTACGGTAGAAGATATAAGGAAGAAATAACTTTTCATGTGAAATTTTTCATAAATATTATTTGTCTTGTTAATAAATAATTTTTTTTATGGTTTATTGTATACCATACAAAAACATTTACGGAATTAATAAGGCGACATGGAACAACTGAAAATTTGCACTATAAGTTTAATTTTTTTAAATAAGTCATGTACTCTTGTTGAGAACTTATAAAGTGATTGGATTTCGAGATCTTCGTTTAATCGTTTTATTTTTAATCAATGAATTTTCAGTTGTTTCATATGTCCTCCCATTCTTAAATGGGATACTCTGTGATATCAAGTAATTACTTCATACTGCCACCTTACAACGAGAAGCAAGAACTGTTAAAACTCTCATCCCACATCACGATTGTGATATATATTGAATTTTTGTGATGCAACTCAAACGCAAACTCAAATAAGTGATCTGTGTCTAGCTGTATCTAGAATTTCTGAGAGTCATGAATCTATACTTAATGCCGCCGCGGTTTTATGCATGTCTGGCACATTCCATGTATTGCAATAATTTGTTATGTTGCCATATTGATTTTTTAGAATATAAAAGGAAATTATATATTACTATAAAATAAACAACTATTTAAAATATGTTGTCTTATATTATTATCTACTCCAAATATGTTTATTGTACCTTTTTCATTTTCTATGTTTTATATAGGTATAAAATGGTTCAAGAAATAAATCTTTACAAATGTCATTCGTGCTTTTAAATTTGATCTACCCATTAAATTTTGATTTTCCATAATTTTTTAAATAAAGACATTTTCATGGAAACTAAAAACATTATCGATAAAATTTGGAGGTGGCGTAAGTTACCTTTGATTTAATCCCTAAATTTTAGCCGATTCAGGCGGAATGACATTACAAAATTAATAAAATGGGACATAGCTAGAAATACTTTTTTATTTAAATACCTTTTATTGTTTTTAAATTAATTAAATTAATGATGTTAAACCCTAACATATGTTTACCGGTATACTAACTTTATTTTGTGTTTTGTTGAACCTTAAATCATAAAAAGCACTACAGTTTTCCCGTATTTCTCTAAAAATAGTCTAGGTAATCTGTATTTTTAGAACGAACAGAGATATACCTACCGAACTAGTGGTTAGTGGTTAGTTACATAAATATATTTATTTGCCGAATGAATCTGGTAAGAAAATGAATCAGGGATGTCAGAAAGCTAACAAAAACGATGAAGGTAAGACCTGGTTGTTTCAATTAACTCGCAATTTAATGTTTTTGAAGCTAATCAATTATTTATTTTTTTATTATTTTGAGTTCTTAATTAAAAGTGATCTACAAACGAAATAACAGTTGTTATTAATTTGCTTAGACTTTTGTTGATGTGAGTTAGGTGAAAAACTACATACCGGCTTAACAGTAAATAATTAAAAATATGAATGTAGATAAACCTGTGAGTGAGCTTGTCAAGTTGAAACAATTTCTTTTTATTTCATTAATTTTTTAATTCTTAATTGATAATTATTTTGAAAGAGAATAAATGTTTAGACGATGATTGGGTCACATGTAAATTAAAATTTATATTTTACGCGCCGGCTGTGATGTAAATGGAGTATATAGTACTATATAGTGTATCTACGCAGTTTTCCATTAGGACAACCATTGTATTTAGATCTAAATACAATGGGACAACTGAAGAGGATTTGTCGAAAGATTCGTACGCTACTTCTAAGATTTTGTAAAAAATTAAATAGGAAAAAAAATTCGCTTTGTGGAGACAAGTTACTAATAAATAACTGTAAGCAGATAAATGACGGGAGTAAGGCCTGTGGAGTGTCTCACCCATAGCCCGCAGGAGGGCTATGGTCTCACCATAAAGAAATGAGGCAAAAGAGCTGAATCGGAGGATTCAGACGCAAATCAGTGTTTTGCAGAAAATGATTTGTCACAGTTTCTGTGTTATTTTTTAAAACTATTAAATTTAGATTATTTATATTTTCAATAAAATTGTTTTCTATCACTTTTCAATAAGAAAATTTCATATAAAGCTTTTATAATCAGTCGTATTTATTTGTGTTACACTAAAGTTTCATTTTTGTTTAACTGATTTACACTGATTGGCTTCTGAACCCTCCAATTAAAGCAATACTATTCTAATCATGGATACCCTTACACGACATTTTGATTTAAGGAAGCGGGTGTAGAAAGCGTGCTTTAAGTGGAAATATTTCAGATGTTTTGCCAGTGACTGAAGAAAAGATACACCTCTCCACTAAAAATTCGAAAAAAAACTGAAATCTCCCCTACTTATAAAACATTTTTGAAAAAAAAAATTACTCATCAAAAGTTAAAGATAGTTCGTACAAAGATCAAGAAATAAGAGCTCTATTCTAAATTCTGAGTGAATTTATCAGCAGACATTACGTAATGTTGCATATTATGTTTTTATGTCCAAATTATTCGTTTTTATCCGATTTTTAACTTCGTGAGAAAATTATCCACCACAACCCTAAATTATCCGCAAATTGGATAATTATCTGCCAATCGGCAACACTGTTCGAAAGTAATACAGCAATGTAATGAATATTATAGAAATACAAATTACTTCGATTTTGAGAGAAATAGGTATAGGTATATACAGGTAAAACAGTCCACCTGAAATATTTCCCTAGGAGAAGTTTCTTTGGGAAATCCCCGAAATCGGTCGATTTTAATTCCAAGGGGGACTTTTTTGTATCTCTAATTCATGGATGAACGGGGTGGCAACCCTTTCAAGAATACTAAATAATACGAGGGGTAGCACATCATTTTAAAGGTAATTCAATTCTCTTTTTAAACATGCTGACATTTTTTTGTTCTGTGTAGAAATTAATGTAAAACACCTGTTGGGAGTGTCGGTGAAATTAACATATAAAAAATTAAAATATAAATATTATCGAAGAACTCAACTACAAAACATTAAGTTTTTATCAGCAAAGCCTTGGTACGGTTCCGTTTTACAGGTAGTTGCATTCTGATTTTACAGTACTCAGTAAAGCACAAATAGTCGGTGTTGGATTTTGAAAATTAAAATCCATCTGCGCGACTTAATTGTAACTCTACCCTGTAGAATTATAAAATATTTCCCTATCTCTCTGTTCGGGTTTCAGAATACCACGTATTTCCGCGACACGGAGCGGTTCCCGATTCCCGACCAGTTACTCGAACGCAGTACTCGCAGCAGTAGTACCAGTACCCCACTACTCCAAGATGATTGGTGTTGTTTTGTGCGCTAGCGGTGGAAACGACTAAAATGTCTATTTTAACAACACCTATGTTGAATCTCTCTTTTTCAAGATGTATACGAGCCCATGTAAGCTCAATTAGATATTTCAAGTAATATAAATAAAATCAGTGCTGAAAGTGATATGTAAGTTTTTTGACTATTTTTTTTTTTTTAATTTAATTTTAAGGAAAATTCGGCTAAACGTGCAGTGTTGCCACGTCTAAGGCAATACATTTCTGTTATTTTTTATCATTATAGTTATATTGTGAGAAGTCCTTCTGACTTCACTGTTTATTTAAATAAATCATTTAGTATGAGTATGACTTTTATTCGTGTGAAAGTAGTAAGTTCTACACAATTTGCTCTCTTGTACATTAAATATACAGTCCACTTGCTTTCCACCCTCTCCAATACAGTCGGCATTCGCTAGGCCTGACACCGGCATGTACGGGAAGCCGAGTACTCGGATTGCCGTTGTCTGCGTTTCTTCTGAGCTGAGAGAACCGTACCATTTGACGTAATTTAGAAGTAGAAACCGCATGTGGTCCATATTTGGCGTTCCAGACGTGGAAAGCATCCTTACGGGCCGAACGCGGTTAATATTTGGCTAGCCGGGCATGGCAGTCATCCTTACGGGCCGCATATTTCCATTCCCTATACCGTGAACGCAACCGATCGACCCATACCTGGCTACGCCGACCGGCATAGACTCCAACGGCCTGTATACAGCTCAAATTAAAATGAAAAGTCTTACATAAAAGAAATCAAATAACAAAATATCTGTGATTACTACAAATATACTCACTTCGGGAGCCAAGTTCTCCTGCCGGCCAGAGACGCTAATCAATTTTCAAGCCTGTTATCGCAAACGGTTGCGATCACGGTATAGGGAATGGAGCGATTTAGATGCATTTCCATTTCCTAGGCTGTTATCGCAACCGGTTGCGTTTACCGTATAGGGTTTGGAAATAAGCTTACGGGCCGAATTATATATATAAAGTCCCCCTTGAAATCAAAATTAACCGGTCTCGGGGATTTCCCAAAAAAACTTCTCTTAGGAAAATATCTCAGGTGGACTGTTTTAATTGGCCACCCTGTATGTTGCTCGGAAACCACACGAGCGCGTAGCTTACAAGCTTAATTATAAACTAACGAAAATTCAATTATTAAAAGGAAAATAATGAATATTCATTATATTATGATTAAATTAATTGTTTTAAAATGTTCACAAGTATTATATTTAAACAATAATTTTTTCGGATTAATTTTTTTCGAATGCACTTGGGATGTTAAATTCTTGTACTATCCTGCTTATTGATTGTGGCGGTGTTTTATATACGATGTCTACAAAGAAGGAAATCTAAGTCTGGCGAACGAGCTGGTCATTCGATTGAACCCCTATGTCCTATCCAGTGTCCTTGGAAAACATCTAAAGCTCCGTCTTCAAAATACTATATCGAGGGAATGCATTACTTTTTCTAAAAACGGTCTATATCTAGGTCCAATGAAATTTTCCTAGAAGAAAGTAAGAAAAATAATAACAAAATTCGACATTTCATAGCCGATCGGAGGCTGACTGTTTTGATGGTACCCACCGTACCGGTTAGAGATAGATATATGGATGAGGGTTAAGCCAGATATGTTTTTGATGTATTTCTGTTTTGATTATGTTGAAGTCATTACATGTATATCATAAAATGATCTTGATTTGTCTTAATAATAAATATAAATATGTATATATATCGAGTCCACACTGGTGTCTATACAAAATCAAAAATCTTTTAAGACGTAAAAATAGTTACATTTTTATATTTTATTCCATAGCTCGTCAATCAAAATCAGATAGACACCATGACTTTTCGAAAACATTATATACCAAGCTGTATTCTTCAAAAAATACTGGGTCTAAAGGTATCACAATAGGTATTTATACTAACGCGTTTTAAAACTGTACAAGTCTCAGTTCCTTTTCTTTAAAAACTGTATAACAGATATCTGTTCTTATATTTTTCTGATTGTATAGAAAATAATATTGTAGGTTTATAACAAGTGTGAAAATGTGGTCTCAATCTAAAAAGCACAACCTCAACCCTGAATTATGGACAGAGAGGTATAAAGAGAAAAGAACCACTGGTTGCAAAGGTATTTTGTGTGATATTAATCAATTTAGTTATTGGTGTGAAATGCATTATATATTTTTTACAATAAGAAATTAACACATTAATGTTCTATTCCAAAAATATAATTAAATAATATATATATTGTAATGGTTCCATCCTGTATAAGGTAAAACTCTTCCAATATTCTTCGAGCACTAAGGGTTTAAAGCTTGCTGCAGTTGATATTGTAAATTTGAGGGCATCTAATTTTCTAGTTGCATTATTTATTGGAAATATATTCAAAACAAAAATTTGGCAAATTCAGATTCGCGTTGTAAACATTTTATTGACGGACTGTTTTTCGATATATTTTAAATGTTGTTTATTTATAGTATGCATTCATTGTTATTATTTGACTCGCTCCGAATGTACGTACACTATTTTAAATGCGACTCTTAATCTTGACCTATATCCGAGAACCGAGTATAACAACCTTACTGTTTAGAAGTCAAATCCTAATTTTGCTAAAAATAAAACTATATTAAGTTTATTCCCAAACAAACTTTTGATTATTACATATTTTCAGGTATTTTATTTCAAGTGATTGTGGAGCTAAAGTTAATGATAATGTAGTGCATTTAATTACTAATAAAATTAGCTCTCATGTGAAATTTTGCAACAATTTCCCCCCCTCCAAGATCGATGTATGGGCTATTTGTACATATTCCCCATAAAATTACCTATTAAAGTGTCCATCTAGAAATGGCAGCTATACGGGGGAAGGGTAATGGGGCGAATTACTTCCAAGAATTTTTAAACCTAACTTTTTGTAGTTACTAAAAATGTAATATCAGAAATAGTCTTAAATATTATCACTACACCCCCAGACTTAATCTCTGGATGCGCCACAACCTTCTGAAATAAAAACTCGCTTGTCCAAGCTTTATATCTACTTTGCTACCAACATTTTTTGTTGGACCACCCTGTGTACAATAAGTAATTATCGATAATAGCATGAAGCATGTAATTATTGTAATTATTTGTAAGCACTTTTGTATATGAGTTACATCTAACTCTATATTTTTAAACTTTTTGTTACACTCTGTATAAATTTTACAAGACTTACTTAATGCCAATAATTATTATTTTTAAGCCATTTACTTAGATTTAGAAGAAGATAAAACTGAAGATATTGGTAGAGAATATTCAAAATGGTCAGAATTGCCTGATTTGCTTTTAGAAAAAATATTCTCTTATCTAGGAATTCGAGAAAAATATTACGCAAGTTTAGTTTGTAAAAGTTGGTATAGAGCTTTTCACTTACCCTATGTTTGGAGTCGTTTTGTATTAGAAGACACAAGTTTAACTAGGAGCAGGTTTAATTATTATAGTGGTTGGCAGGTAAGGCTTATTTTTATTTTTTAGAAAAATATGCAGCGTGCGAGTAAAATTATTTAATAGAAGAAACAAAAGTTGGTAATGAGCATTTTTTTTTTAGTCAGTTACAGATCATAAGGCAAGACAGTAATTTGACTCGTATGCTGTAGGTACCTATAGTTTATAATTACACATATAAAACTAAACATTTTACTGTCGACATTTGGAGCATAACATACAATATTTCAAGATTGACTGACTGAGTTCGGAAGGTCAATCCAAATTTGTCGAAGTAATCCTTTACAGTTGTCACCCACTAGCAAAATAAATCTCCTATTAGTAACAAATGCACTCGTATTTTGGATTTTGTTTTACCGCCTTCTACAAAGTCACAAATAAAAACAATCTGTCCATGTCATGACATTGACTGAAATAGTAATTTATGCAACAAGAGTGGATATGGACAATCCACTCGAGTTGTACAGTATTTTTTCTACGAACACCTAACGAAAATCTACAAGGTTTTAAAAATTATTTTAGGTTCGAAGGACCATGAATAATCTCTAAAGATGAATTTTATAATTAATACCACAATATGGTTTTCATGAATCTCATTTCAGAGATAATTTTGTAAAGTATACTACCACATGTTGTTAGTTAATCTCTTTATTTCTCATTTGCATTTATATTTATACTATCACAGATTTAACAATATAAAATAACAATTAGCAATATTTAATATTTAAAGGTACATTAGAAAAATATTATTATTCGAATTTCGATCCCAGTTCAATGTTTTGAAATGATTTTAAAATAACAATTTAGCATTTCTGTTATTACGATATACATTGAACTTGAAATGAAATTGGAATAGTTTATAGTACCTGCATATGAAAATAAACATTTTAATAAAATAGAATTTATTTTATATACAGGATGTTAATTCAGTATGTGAATATAAAGAAAAATGTTCAAATCTGAACAGTTATTAAGAAAAATAAACTAATTTTAAAATAATTTAAGACTTTTACTAATTTATAAAATAAAATGATTTAATTTAAGTAGTCTGTACCACAGATTTGAACCCGGACATCTGGCATGGAAGCCAAGCGCCCTGTTCTCACCTCCCATCATCATACTTACCATTTTAGTTTTAATACTCGTAATTTAATTAGTTTTACTTAGTTTGATTAAAATTTACGATTTATTTGTAAATGTGGACGAAATGATATTATTTATCGACACAAGAATAACTCGTTTTTACGTACATTTAATAACAATAATTAAAAAATATACTGACAAATATTAGTTTGACAGAATTATTAGTTATATAAAATTTAAAAAATAATAGTAGCCGGGTGACCAAAATAGGTAGAATGGATATGAAATATATTTCAGTTGAACGCAATGGCGTACTGTTTCGTTTTGTAGTATGTGCATAGACAAACTAATAATAAAATGGTTAAGAGCATAGAGGTATAAAAATATGAAACAATGTTTCCCGTAAGATAAAGAAATTCATGTTATTAAAAATTAGACCACTGGGCGGGGCTTAAAAAGACCTCTAAACAGGTTCGTATTCATGTTTAATTAAATTACAAGTTTTAAATGAATTTCAAGATTTGTTTCAAGATTTGTTTTAAGATTTGTTTCAACAAATAACACAGGCTTGCGAAAATTTTGTGATCTAGCCATTTTATTTTTTTTTCACCTATTTACAACTTCTATATAGCTAAAATAACCCCCTTTTTATTCTATCACGTAAACTTTTTTTGTAAACTAGTATCAAGGGTATTATCCCTGAACATCACAAATTAATTTGAATTCCTTAGTTTTGTTCAAAACGTTGAGACGCGTTAAAACCTCGTTTTAATTTGCGCATTTGTAGGGGGATTTACCGGTACTTACTAGAATATTGTTTGGGATTCCCCGAGACTCGATTTCTTCAGGAAAGAGGGCGATATATTTAGTATCCCCGTGGTATTGAGACAGGCGTTGTCTATCGAATTCTATTGGTGTTTCGTTGTGCACTTTCTATTAAAAAAATGTCTAGTAGGTGTTGTAAAAATAGGCCTGATGACTTTTGTTTTATTTGTGGACACTTTATAGTGAAGAAGGTTAGAAGAAACATTACTGATTTCGTAAAAAATGCATATTTTGCATATTTTAAAGTCAGACTTGGAGATCAAGATAAACCTTGGGAGCCACATGTTATCTGCAAGATTTGCGTAGAAGCCTTAAGGCATTGCCTTAAAGGAACAAGAAATGCCCTACCGTTTGGAATACCAATGGTCTGGAGAGAACCTAAAAATCACATTGACGACTGCTGTTTTTGTCTTTGTGATATTAAAGATCATAACACAAAATCTCTAAAGTATATTAACTATCCTAATCTTTCGTCTGCAATAAGAACAGTTCCATATGACGCTGATATACCTGTACCTGTTCCACCTAAAGTATTACAGTCTATCGAATCAGAATCTTCAACAGATTCAGAAATGACATTTTTGAGCCATCTACCTTAGGAACCCGTGAACCGCAGCTATTTTCTCAAGTAGAACTGAATGACTTAGTCAGGGATTTGGAACTTCCAAAAGACCTCTCTGAGGTTTTAGGATCAAGGCTTAAAGAAAAAAATTACTTGCTCCAGGTACTATATTTTATTGGAACTTAAATCGTGAGGCTGAATTTGTCAATTACTTTGCCACAGCTGGTTCACTTGTATATTGTCACAATGTATCTGATTTGGTTATTCACCTAGGTGCTCCTGAATACAATCCTGCCGAGTGGAGACTTTTTAAAGACTCTTCAAAGAGAAGTCTTAAAGCTGTTCTACTTCATAATGGCAATTTATATGCATCTGTTCCTGTTGGTCATTGTACTCAGCTAAAAGAAAATTACGAAAATCTTGAGGTACTGGTTACGTGTCCCATATCATCCGTTTAAAAACAATCGACATTTTTATCAAATTTTATAATTTCTTCAACATTCAACGCTACGATCTTACCCCCTGTTATCATAGTCTTTTAATCTCTCTAAAATAATGAATTCATAACATACGTTTGTTCGTATGATGCACAGAACACTCTGTTATGGTTGACTTCAAGATCCGTGTACTTTAGCATCGGTAAGGGAGGAAGAAGGTTTCTGACTTAAATCACAAAAAAGAACTTACAACTAAGCTTAGTCGATGTAAATTATCTCAGATAAGTGGTAAAAAGAAAACGGCTATTATTTAAAAAAGAAGAAGAATTACATTATTTTTTCCATTGCCTACTTTACTCCACCTTTAGATAACGCGTCAAAAGGGCTCAACTAACACCAGATGGAGATACGGATATTCCAGGGGTCAAAATGTTCTTGACTTAGATTTATGCAGCTAACAATAACGAGTTTTAATTGCTATATATTTTTAAAGTAAAGAATTTCAGGGTCCTGTAATGGAATAACATCGATATTTATACACGGTTAAAAAACTGCAATTATAATCCAAATAAATATACAATTAACAGGTGTATTACTTACAAAAACTACAAAAAATATTTATAATTAAAAAGCCCATCTCGCTTCTGGTTTTTTAGAACCCTTGGTTAAAAATAAATAGAAATATGATCTCCAATAGAGAGTTGGGGACGTTTTCCCTTAGTCATACTGTTACGTATAATGTCAAAGAAATACAATGGCATATTTTTTTTAACCCATAATATGCTTTCTCTATAATAAAAAAAATGACTTCGTTACAAAACATTATGATTGTGGATCACTCCATACTACATAAAAGCTATGGTCCTGAGCTTTGATCTGGTTCTACCATACATTTTTCTACTCAATTTTACTCCAATATACAGGGAATATTTGTGAAGACAGATATGTATTGTTAATTAAGGGGCGATGTTATAAAGAATATTCAAAATTAGCGGCATCAAAAAAAAAAAAACCAATTCGAAATTCTTTATGCCTAAAAACTAAAATTTCAAATTTAATTTCAGTATGTATTGGACCATGTTCGATGTCAAAGCTGTTTATCAGTGTATGGAAAACATTTTAAACATTTAACAGTAATGCCGATGTTAAACTTTTATAACCTTTACGAGTTCATGAACATGGTGTCATGGTATGCCGAACAGCGAGAATCTAAGGAAAATGTAGAACTAGGAATAGGAAGTAACATTAGATATTTCAAATTCACGTTTCCTTGCAACATGACAACAAGAGATGATTCAGAAAGAATTAGACTATTTGGAACTGGCGGTAAGTCTTTTCTGTGAGCTGTACCTAAATGTTTTTTACTAAGTTACTAACAAAATTCTACTTTACATATTTTTAATATTTATTTTTTTGGTTTCTTAACAGCTATTGACATGATGAAATATATAAAGTGTAATTTAGTAGGTACACAATTTAATTATAAAATAGACATCAACGTATATTGACTTTGACATTGCGCATAATTTTTTTATTCATAACCGTAATTCTTAGGGTAATTTCCCCATTCTCCCGTTTTCCCCTTTCAAATCCGATCAATCATAGCCGAGATACATGCTTAGGTCCTTTTGGCATTGCTACTGCGCAGGATGTTTCTCTTCAATGTTAATATATACCGCATTCTCTGCATAATGCCGTTTTTCTCGTTTAAATCCGACCATTATTAATTAATTAAAAGATTTAACCTTTGACCCTTCTTATCTTACATCCCTTATCCTAGACTCCCTACCTATTAATTGTTGAAAATATCTTATACCTAACATCCATTAATAATTATAACCTTAATCCCTCTTATCTCACACCTTATAAATGCGCATGACGCAATGAGCTATGTCTAGACCAGATGTAGCGGGTCGCTGCGCCTGGGTCTGTCTCAAGTGTCCCTACCTCTATTATTGCCTAAAAGTTGTCTAGAATGGGGCGAAGGCTGAAATGTTCGTAGCCCTGTTATGTATAAAAATTCGGCATCTGCGACTTCCGAGTGCGACCGACGTCGCTCGATCTACCACCCGAACACCTGAAGTGAGAGCTACACAAGTGTTAGCCCTCCCTTGTTTGCAGTCAGGGACAGACTTCCAGATTATGATTGGAAAAACCGAAACAAAAGAAGATCTATGAAATGAAAGTTTTAAATAAACGTGGAATATCTTTTTTTTTTATTAAAAATAGTACGAGTATTGGTGGATAATATAATGCATTTTCATTTTAAATAGATTGGTTTTGTACTGGGGGGAGAGGGGTTGCAGCTCTATAGCCCTTACAAACAAGCTGTCACTGAATATTATCAATAATTGCAGATCAAGTCTTAAGTGTTTGAGTGGTACCTGTGTAGCAGGTTTATTTTGAAAATGATCGTCAATTTTGCTATTTCCACTTTAATTTAGGATAAAGTCCATTGTAGACGAATAATATTTATAGTAGAATATTGTTACTACTGATTATTGGCTAACCTACAATTTTAATCTAAAAATCTTATGAACTAATTACTTACCTAAGAAGGTTATGTTATGCTATAATAATTTATTTCTAGGATATCATATCCTTTTGAGCCTTTTTTTGAGTATAACACCTATGATTTTCTTCCTAGGAGCCATATCTAGGTTCAGCCCTAGGTATTTGGCCAAAGGGGAAACATTCTAACGAAAGTCTTTCTTAAATATATACTTACTGTGATGGTAGGATGGCTTGCAGTTGAAGACAAATATTTTTTGTTACTTCATGACCATTCTAGTTACTAAATGTGGAGATATAATTAAAGCATATGAGATGTCCGTAAGATGCGTCTTAATTTTAAGAAAGAAGCCGACAATCTCGACCACAAATGACATGACTGTAGGAAAAAGGCAGTATAGAGGAAAAGTAAGGACGCTGATGCCTTCTTTTTTAATTTAACTCTACCAACAATTCCTACAAATTAATTTTAGTTTTTATGCAACAATTTTATAAGTTGCACATCGACAAACTAAAGGAGTGTTTCATTTTCCTTCTCAGTGGTGGCTCGTGCACGAGTACTCTGTAAAATCCTCCTCCTAACGTTTTAAACCTCGAAACAAAAAACAGAAAAAGATGTCGCTGTCCTATTTGCCAAATATTGTTGTCTTGTTCCAATCCTTTGAATCGAAGCTTTGTCAATGGGAGTATTTTTATTTTTCAGCTGTTCTTTGACTACATTTGTTTTGTTTACTCTTCAATTATACTCTGCCTTCACCCAGATACGTAGGCCCGAGCCGGTACAGTGTTTATGCTACAATAGTTTGTAGTCTAATATTGTTAATAATATCATAAAATCATCCAATTTAAACTAATTATAATCTATTATAATAGTGTTAATTTTCTATTTCACAATTTTTTCTTCTTCTTTTGAAAATGATCTAAATAATGTTATCATTATCATATTAATATCGATTTCATTTCTTTATACTTTTTAGGTAAATTACTTCAATCTATCAAAAGATTAATGGGTAACTTGAAAAAATTGGAAAACCTGCAATTGATAGACTTAATGCTTGATCCCAAAGAAGCTCAATATCTTTTGGACGAAGTATGTGAATCCCAATACATGACATTGAAATATCTTTATCTAATTAACACTACAAAAGTGCAGTATGAATTACTGCATGTTGGAGTTTTTTTAAATTTAAAGGTAATCTCCTAGTAAATATATAAAAAACGATATACCTACACTTTGTTATTACATTGAATACAGATCAAGATTCTCTTTCATCTGAGAAAAAGTGTGAAAAATTAAAAATGTAAATGCCTGATTATGTCAACTTAAATGATATACTTTTTAATAAATAATAATAATTTTAGGAACTACACATAAGTCCTCAAAATTTAGGTGACGATTTAGTAGAACTTCTCGGACACACTAAACTGAAGCATTTACATATAGTTCAGAACCGGTATACTTCGAACGATGTAGCCATATTAGCAGTATCCCCTTGTACTTGGAAAAAATGCCGCAAAAACAATCCTTCGTTAAGTGTGCACCTTCAAGTAGAAAGTCTTAAGGAAAAACCTTTGATATGGCAGCAGAACGCTCCAGTCAGAACAATTCTTTATGATTCACCACATATTGGAGTAAGTATAGAGAATGATTCACATATAAAATTTCTAAAGTAGACAATGACCGACAACGACATAAATATGTATGACCAAAAACAGAAAGATCAACATAGTCTTCAAAACTTTTTGGATGATTATGACCATTTCAAGGGTAATGGAAAATTTTTGACCGTATTCCAAGTACAGAGTCTTTTAGAGTCTTTGAAGAACATTTTCCCTTAAAAAGTTTGGTAAAATTTTAATATCGCGTACCGTAGGACCACTTTCGTGCGGGATATCTACGTTTTTTGCATAAAACCCAATTTTTGGATCAGAATTCCGGAAAAATGAAGACATAAAACGAAAATCGAAAATTCACCTGATACACTCCAACCCCATAAGGTGTACAGTAATTTGGCGTCCTACACAAACTTCTAATCGATCTACTTTACTTCAGTGCATTGATTGAACTTCATTATTTTTTAGCTACGGACGGACGCAATTGTAACAGCTATTGACTTTTATAAATTTGATCTAAGAATTTATGGTCACAAAAACATACCCAGATTCCATATGCCAAAATCGTTCTGTGATAGGATGGATGAAAATTTACTGATGCTTGTGCGTCAGTGTACCTATTTGTCCACACTAGTAAGTATTTTTTTTATTAGAATTGTTAAATTCGTTTGCCTGCTGTGGTACATCACACCATAAAAAAGCAGATTAGAGACAATTTGTTTTTAATTTTACTAACCCAATCCTCTAGAAAAAATAAGCAGATATACATGTAATATAAAAACGGGAAGCCACACAGGATACGGGATCACTCCTTAGACCCACAGTGGCGTAGATAGCTTTTTGCGATGAAAGAAATGCCTTTTCATGTATATCATCAAAACCATTGAAATAAATTTAGTGTGGCAACAAAAATGTAGACTAAAAACCTTTTTCTATGATTTTAGATAATAACAGAAAAAATATCGACAACAACGGTTCTACTTATTGCCTTTTTTGGCAAAAATTTAAAGTGGCTGTTTATAAGAGGAAATGCTGTGATAATCAAAACTGACTGGAAGCAACAGCCAGAATGGACAGACGAATTTTATAGTTGGTTGAAAACTAACAGTCGATCTTATTCATCAGTAGAAAAAGAAGTGTCCCAAATTCTTGGCTATAAATGGAAATTTTTGCCTGATAAAGGATTTAGAAGGTTGGACATTAATTTACATGATTATTGATATTTTTTTAAAAAGTAAAGCACAAGGGAATCAGTGATGGAATATCAGGAAGTTTAGGGTCATGGAAATGTAAATTTTAATTATGTGTAATTTAAATGTTGGACATATTATTTATATGTATTATTTCTCTGCTAAATAATCTAAAAGTTTAATGTATAAAAGGTAAATAGGAATTTTTGATTCTTATAAAATATTGTAGAATATCAATATTACAGATAGACAATATTTTAAAATAAATTGGCATTCTCGATTCAAACCCTGTCGAGAAAAGTAGTGTTCCAAATGTAGGTTTCGTTTTACTGTGTGTCATGTGCTAGTAAAAGTTTGGAAGAAATTTGACGAGAGAATTATTGTCCTATGGCTATTTAAAACCCTTGTTTATTCGCATCAAATTAGCATTAGCAATTTAAACCATAGCGAACTAAGTGACAGATGTAAAGGCAAACAGTGACATAACGATGGTCTCAAATCAATACCTCGTGAGTCCGAAATTTTGAATTTTAATTTTTTCCCATCTATACAAATTAATTTAGAACAAAATTTTAAAAATAACAAAATAACCACGTTCATAGGTAATTCATATATTTATTTACATGTCAATATTATTTATTAAATAATAAATTGGCTTTATTAAGCAATCAAGAAAGTGTAATGTTCCTCCTGTAAAATGTTTAATTTGGAAATACGAGGTATTGATTTGAGATTGTCGATAAGCTTAAAATAAATTCTTTAACGCGCCATCAAGATGGACATTACCACTCTAGTTGCACCTACGTATGAATTATTATGAATCCCTTAATAATAACGTCGTTGTTAATGACGACAAAAGAAATAACTTTTAATAATAAAAGGGCAATCAAAATTGTTCCCCTTTTATAATTATTTAAAACAAAATTTACTTATGTACAAATTGTTAAGTATATAGTGTGTTTCTACACATCTAAAACCAATAGGTATCGGGTTCCGAGCCAGTTAAATTTTTTAAAAAATAAGGTGTGTATGAGATGGATGAGTGAACTCAAATTAACCCCTTGTCAAACCATGTCCAAATACCCAACTCTAAGGTTAATTTTTTAAATGACACCCAATGTTTTTTTTGTAATTTGATAGTTTTCACCCTCATTTCAGCAATATATTATTATAGTTGCTTTTTTAGGCTTTAATGGCATAAAAATAAACCTACTTATTTGATTATATCGTCGTCAATATCATGAAGTGACGTAACTCGATTTTCACTTTACAAGAGAGCATTTTCAAGTTTTTTTTTATAATGACTTGAGTTACGCAATTTCGTTAAATTGTAGAGCATACCTTTTTACATAATATGTGACTTATCTCAATTTTTCGAGTTACGTCACTTCGTGATATTGACGACGATATGTATATAAAATGCCGAAACCATGAATGTGCTGTTACGCTTAAAATGTTCTCTAGTATTATTTTTTTCTTTGCAAAAGCACGAATATATTAAAATTGCCACAATGATTTATTATACATTTTAAATATCGTCAATCTGCAACAGTAGTATCGCTCAATATTTTCCCGAAAAGGTGTCTTTATGTATTATCATTGTAGTATTACGAAACGAGCCGCTGCGTGACAGGGGACTTGACGAAAATTGGATTGAAATATTATTGATTTAGGTATATAAATAGGGGACTAACTACAAATAAAACACTGATGATTTTATGTAGTACAGGTTTGTTCGTCACAAGGGAGTACTAGTTGTATAAACACAGCTGAAACAAATATAATACACAAAAATTTCAAACAATAGAAACGGAGATTTTCGGAGAACAATAAAAATATAAATAAGCATTTCTGTACATACCTGTCTATACTCACTGTTACGGTTTAGATTTCCAGAGGCTTAAATTAGCCATATTTTATATATAAATATATAATTTTATAAAATTACAGTAATAGCTATCAGTTTTAATAGTCATAATAAATATTAAATCGAAATACTCACTTAGCTTTTTTTAAATAAGTCTAGCAACGAAATCTTGACCAACTATTTGTTCGGTATTAAAAATGAATCTCTCTATTAAAAATCAGCTAGAAAATACTAAAAACTTCCATGCTTTTACCCCTTTCTAGCTATCTAGGAAATTATTCTAGAAAAGCAGCGAACACTTGTTACATGCACATGTAGCGATATAAGATTGAAAACTGGTTATGTTCTTCAGCTCTGGCGGGTTACATAAGCCTTTTCCCTTACTCTGTCCTATATGGACGAGGCTTCGTTGAAAATACACATGTCTCGCGACTAAATGACTGAAAACCGTTCCATAAAATAACGAACTCAATAGAAACTATAAAATCAAAAAACTATTTAAATTAATTTAAGAAATAAATAAAATAAACCGGAAGTGTAGGTAGAACTCTGGTATTTTACCCATTTGAAATCGGGTGGTCTTGGCGTGTTGAATTTGAAAAATAAAAAACTTAACTTTTGAAACAACAGAGGTATTCCAGTTGACACGAAAAACTGACTTGCAAACAGATATACAGTATGTTAGATCTGTCATCTCGACTCCAGAAGAACGGTAATAAAACACAATCCTATTGAATAGAGAGAAACAGACGAGCGGACCGCAACATACATGTATTATTATTGCCATCGAAAGGGCGTGGTTAAACCATACAATCTCTTTATATTTCTCACGTCCAACTGCCATATAAAATAATACATTTTTTGCTTTCATAGTGACATCTACTTCCTTATAAGTTTTAAGTCTCATTTTTTCAAAACAAACTCTTGTCACTTTCGTGGTTTTGGCATTTTAGGGACGATTAGATAACAATAGAATTTAGTTCATTTGCTTCTAGGAGGTTGTTGCCAAACCACCCCCTTACATTCTTGGCCCATTTTTTTATGAAAATTTGATGAAATTTGATAAACATTTTGGGAAAACAATGGGTTGATGCAAACAAAACCCCTAGATATATATGAATTAAATTTGGTTGTTATCTAATGAAATAAATGTAGGCTTTTTAATGTTGTCTAGGGTATCTTCGTGAACAGTATAAAGACACTTTGAGATCGACACACTTTTATTAAATCAAATACACACAGTCTCCGTGACAAGGTGCTCGCACTTGGTACATACGTTGATACGGTGATCTTTATAAGAATAGAAAAATGGTTTTAGTACGTTGGGTAGGTATATAATCGTCGTATATACTTCACGTCCTTCGTCTTTTTCGGCTTTTTACAATTTCGTCGTATTATCGTCGTTCGTCTTTTACACCTTTACCCTACGTAACCTACTGACCTACTTAGGGTTCTCGGCACTCCCCTCCCCTAGCGGGATCTATCCGAACACGCGATCTCGATCATTCTGGAATCGATTGAACTTTCTGGAAATGATTGACACCAGCGGCGTATCGATCTCGTTTTTTAAAGAATAAAAATAATGTTAAATAGTAAGACAACTTAAATTAAATGTGTTAGAATAATTTTCCCTACATAAATCATAAATATGTTATCCCAGTCTATTTTTTTTTATTAAATCCAAAAAAGAGCAAATATATATCACTGAAACGAGGGAAAAATCTTTATCATATTAACAACAGTATACATGGGGTACAATTTGAAAAATTAATGTTAGTGGTGGTTTCTATAAGATGATTTGACAAGGGGTTGATTTGAGCTCGCCCTATAAGACTTTTTATCCCATATAAACCATTATTTTTTTATTTTATCTTTTGATATTAGATATTAAGCTAGTCAAAAACCTATGGGATGCCCGGTATACTAATTTTCTAATGTGTTATATATACCTATGTGATAATATAACTGATACTTTTATTTTTGTTATGATATTATGGTTATGTTACAAACGGTTAAGCCGTTTCATATGTGTGAGAATTTGATTTTTATTTAAAAGTTTCTATCAATGTATTTAGTTGTAGTCTTTATTTCTATTTTTAATAAAGAAAGCTTAGGAAGTATGGTTGTTTAAATTTCCAAAAACTATTTTATGGAGCAGCTAAAATATAATTTTGCACATTATTGATGACATAATCGTCGGAGGGAGAACTATTGAAAAAGATTATACATATTTCACTATAAAATATGTATCTAGAAAAATCTGGATGAGTGCTATAATAGCTATTTATAAAACCAGTTATGAAATGCCTTATTTTATGTAAATAGAGAATATTTGCGGAACGAGCAGAGTAAACGTTTTAGCAGCAAAAAGGAACAATTATGGAATCGGTGTCAGTATATCTGTTGGTCACAGGTCACTGCATCGAATAAAAACTAATATAATATATAATATTTTATTCATGTCTCATGAGTAGGTACATTAATAAACATTTGTGCATACATATGACCAAGAGATTTTATATTTCTCTGCATTATTATTCTTAAAGTATTTGTATATATTTCTGGAGGTCTTGCTATGATTGGATCCCTCCAATGAATTCCATTTGTATCACAACCGAATAGAGCCGGTGACGGTATGTGATCTCTCATATAACACCACACGCACTCTCTCAAGATAGCAACGATCTAAAAATTATAAATCATAAAACATACGTTATTGAATCTTAATAACAAGATAAGATCTCAACGATCATTATAGGTATTTCAGCTTTGATATATAGAAAATTCTTGTCATATAAAAGTTTAATCTAAATCTTGTATTATTTAAAATTGTGTGCTGTACAAATTGTGCTCCTAACACTTAGGGATGCGTAACACGTATTTTAGAATAACGCAGAGGATTTTGAGTAAAATGCGGTCAAATATTGACATGGAAAGAATAGCGGTGAATGGGAAAGTAATAGGAGCTTCAAGTGGTGTTAGGCTGCAGTGCTGCCACGCTACAAACGGATTAGGTTGATAGCAGGAGGATCCAAAGGGCGGAAATAAAAAAAAAACATAACTAATAATAAAATACTCGACGTACTTACTTCAAAACATTTTAAAACAGGTAAAACATCTCCAATACTCGATAATGGAGGCGGCAATAGCTGTCCTAAGGCCATTATATCGATGACTTTAATTGTCGTATCCATTAGATGTTTGTAATTTTGTGAATCGTCATTTTTACTTTGCTCTCCCATACTTTTCCATTGATGTATTAATGTTGCGGTTAGGGCTCTAATTAAAACTGAACAGTAGCAAATAGCAGGACGGTATACAGCAACAAAATTCAGTAATTCCCAGAGCAAAGGCATATTTGTAAACATCCTTCTAATAAAAAGATCTCTTTCCATTGTAACCTAAGAGCAAAAGAAAAATATGGATAAAAATAATTAATCTCTATTTGATAATATACAATCGACTCAAAAAAAAAAAAAATTCTCATCAATAGAGGAACTAAAACTTAAAATCAATGTTATGATGTTTAAAATGTTTTAATTCTATAAGTATTTAGGAGGGTTCTGCACTTCTTTGACCCTCTTTCTTTTTTAGACAATAAAATTCATTTTAAAACGGATAGGACGCCATTGAAATCCAACATTTGTTTTGGCATTTTTTGTCTTATTTGTTTGTGAAAGCCTTAATTACTGAGTTTTAGTCCCCTGAAAGAAGGTTATAGTTAAATTTTATGACAACTCACAAATCTTCGAAAGGTTAAATAACTAGACATATTTACAATTATTCTCCTGTATTATCGATTATCCATGAAGTTGTAAAATAGTAAAAAAATCGTAAAAAATATTCAGTAGTTTAAGATCCATAGAAAAATTTCAATGTCAGTATTTTTTACTATGACCTTTCTTTGAAATGGTGACGTTTCATCTCTACTGTTTCGCCCCTGCCGTTTTGCCCCAAACGTTCTACCTCGGCCGTTTCTTCCCCAGTGCCAATTCGTCCCCGACCGTTTTGCCCCCATATATAATAAATAATTACAAATGTTTGCAACAAGAAAATATTAAATGTAGAACTAACCTTTGAAAATTCTTCCTCGGGCCAAGGTAAACCATTATACATAACATCGGGACTAACAAACTGCACTAAGAACAATGACAATAGCGTCATGCTATCCAAGGACATATCATTATATTTATTTTCTTCTGGAAGAGCGCAACACGCTTTAATAGCATTTATAAGATGCGAAGTATTATCAGCGATCATATGTAAAGGTAGGGCATCATAAGTAACGGACTTCCTTTTTCCTGATCCTATAATTCCACCATTAAAAACGGACGAGTGTTTAGTGAGTGGAATGTTTTTATTCTGTAAATAAAATTGAAAACAATTTCTTCATTATAAAGTGTGATCCACAAAAAATGTTTCTAAAGTAGGTCATGGCCGATATGCTATTGATAACATCGCACTTGAATCAAATACAAACTGTCATTCAACAAAGAAGCAGAATTGTAATCTCTGTTGCACTAGGTGTACATTTTCGAAACATTTTTTGCGGACCACATTATATTTATTAACTTTTTGTTAACGCTTAGTTGGTTTACATTATTTAATGCTTTTTTTATTTGTATAGAATTACATAAACTTACAATCTTTTTATTTTGTTTCAAAAGCATCTTTTCATTGTCATTATCCATATCATTGCTCTTGGCACCGAATAGAACATTATCGCTTTGAAATAATGCTCTTTCTAAAAATTCTCTCAGAGCCAGTACTCTTGCGAATTTAGAATATGTACATAATCGCTTGAGAATTCTGTTTACTTTCATGTAACCCTTTAATTTCATTGCAGTACCTACGAATAAAATTAGAAAATAATATTTTAGCTTTAATTTTTGAATACATTGATAGAAAAAGTAAAACAAAAAGTGTTTATATTAGACAAATTTTAGGTAAACTTTTAAAGCCTACGACTAATATTCCTAAACTGGCAACATTTTTATTCTATTCTACTTACTGCAAATTATCTACGCAAGTGTTCTTGTTTGAGTGAAATAACTTCGAAACTACAAAAGTTTGAAAGACAAAAGTTCGAAATAACACAATTAAAAAATCGAAATTAAAACGTTCGAAAGAAAAGATCGAAATTAGAACAAATGAACGAAATCGTATATGATCGAAATTACAAATAATCGAATTCACATATTTGAAAGTATTAATGATCGAAATGATATACAGGGTGAATCCTAAGTTGGTACTTTTTCTTAATTATCTATCCAATTAAAATAAACAAGTATTAAAAGTAATTTTAAAAAACCGACTTCAAAATCGTGCAGATGCCATCATCACATCTTAACCAAATTTATATGGGACCACCCCTGAGGTACCCCCTTACTAACAAAAAAAGAATCATAGAAATCGGATAAGGTGGTAAAAAATTATCGCTAAACATACGAAAAAATGAAGAGATTGAGGATTTTTCTCATGGACCCAATTATTAAATTTTGACCAAATTTATATGGGACCACCCCTGAGGTACCCCCTTATTAACAAAAAAGAATCATAAAAATTGGACAAGGTGGTAAAAAATTACCGCTAAACATACGAAAAAATGAAGAGATTGAGGATTTTTCTCATGGACCCAATTATTAGATTTTGACCAAATTAATATGGGACCACTCCTGAAGTACCCCCTTTCTAACAAAAAATTTAACAAGAATCATTGAAATCGGACACCGTGTTTAAAAATTATAGGTGAATATAAATTAAAAAAAAAATATTACGACGAATTGAGAACCTCCTCCTTTTTTGAAGTCGGTTAACAACTTAAAAAAAAAACTCAAAAATAAGAAAATTACATTAATTTATTCCAAAACGTATCCAATACAGTCCTGTATAACTTTTATTAAAAAATGATGTCTACATTCATGTCGTTGTAAGAACCATTCATAAAATAACTCTGCGGGGGAAAATATTCAAGTTTAACGTGAAATGAATACAATTGATTTTCTCTCAGTTGTCCACACTTTTCTTTGACTTATTCTAGCTGAACTGCAATCATCTGCGCAATTGTTGTTGAATCTTTCTCGATAACATTATTTAAAATGTGTTTTTATGAATGAACTTAATTTTTAATTTACCATACAGACCTACTGAAATCAGGCAACTGGTAGAATGAATTACATAAACTGGTACACGTGAATTATGATTCATATTCATAAGAAAAACCAAAAAATTAATAAAAACATAAACCGTTTAACTTTTCATACATAAGTCCAGACACGGATTTATTTTTTAAATTCTATATATATCTTATTTTTGAGTTTTTAAAAAAAGTTATTTGAAAAATACGTTTATTTTAACAACGTTACACAAAAAACTACAACATGAAAATTACAAAACATTTTCCGCAAAACTTTAATTTAAATTTACTGTTAATGGATAATAAATAATTAAGCTTACCTTCATCTTTACAACATGCGAAAAAGTAATTAACTGTAGAATGTGTTAAATTTAATATAACGAGAACTGGTGGATTATATGGTATTTCCATGGTATCCAAAATATCAGCAATGACATGCATATGCAATACTTCATTGCCTAGCAAAGAAGTTAAATTCGTAAGATTTGCTTCTAAGGATCTTGTAATGATTCTAGAACTCAGAAGAGCCACCCTTCCACTTTTTTCCCATCTAAAATAAAATAAATAGTTTTTTATATGCAACACTGTAAATTACTATAAAATTATTACAAAGTGATAGGGTGCATACCAGAGTGAGACTGTTAAGTGATTGTATGAAACTATAAAATCATTTAATATTGTATAAAATATTTTCTATATGTTAGAACCTCTATAAAGGCTGTGTCACGATACTAAATTAAGTACTAAACTTAGCACTAAATTATGTCATTAATTTAGTACTAAATTTAAAACTAAAAATATTTTTTTCCGTTTGCAACGATACCAATTTTTAGTACTAAATTAACTATAGGCGCACGCGCATTGACGTATTAATACGAGAATTAAGCAGAGAAATGAAATATTCTGGGTAAAATAGACAAGTGAAGTAAAATGGTGTTTTTATTATCAATTTGACATCACAACAACCAAATACAGCAATGCTACTATAAACCACGAAAAAAACACAATAAAATCTAGAAAATCAAACAAGCGAACTTTATTCAAGTCGATAATGCAAAATTTTCGCTAATTAAAAACAAAATGGTACAGAAAATACCGTCGTGTCAATTTTTTCTGTGAAAAACTTCTGCGCAACATTTCGACGCACTTTAAGTACTAAATTTAGTAGAAAATAGAACAAGTTCTAATTAATTAATGACTTTTTTTAGTACTAAATTTAGTACTAAATTTGCTGTTTGCAACGTACATTTTTTTAGTACTTAAAAAATGCATTAATTTAGTTCTAAATTTAGTACTTAATTTAGTATCGTGACATACAGCCTTTAAATACCTAACTAATATTTAATATTTTAAGTTGGTACTGTACAATGATATATGACAGTTGACATTTTTATTATTCATTGTTCTGTGTGAAGCCCACTGTGTTGCTATTACAATAAAAGTAATTCTAAAGTAAATCCTGATTTATTTAAATAATCCTGAGTGGATATTTAATCTGTGTGACTTTATTATCAACCCTCGGCCAAGTTGATTACATATATAAAAAATTGTTTTATTTACGACAGTGTTATACTACTATTAAATCACTTGTTTACATAAAATTGCAACAGCAGGGAAATATTTATGTGTAGCATAATCGAATTAAGGAATTTCCCGAAATTATATAAATAAACCCGCTGCCCGCAGTGGTAAAAGGTAAAAAAGTTCGAATAATTTCAATCATTTATATAATTTCGGATAATTTCTATTTTGCATTAAAATATTTTGTACACTATTAGGTATTCATATATTGTACAAAGTATTTTAAAATCTAATTTTTCGAGACGGCCATATTAAATCTTTGGAAAAGCCTACTCCCGATTTAAAACTTATTCAGGGAGACAAAAGTTCAAAAGATTCATAAACAAGACGATTTTCAAGGCAGTTGCCACAATAAAAACAAGTTGATGTGTTTTAACAAATTAGAAGATAAATGTGAAAACTATTACTTGTACATAGCATCGATAATTTAGACGAAAAAATTTAGAACACAAGTACTTAGATTAGGATAAATAAAAAGTGTGCTATATTAGAGTAATACTACCTATCGGATCATTTAAAGTGGTTTGGAAAGTTTTGATAAACTGTATATATCTTATGTGACTTTTAAAAGTATCCTACTGTATACTAGGCCACGAGCCACCACTGAGTTGATGTTATCAAGGTGACGGAGTTTTATGCCAGTAATATGGAACAAAATTACAATAACTAACCACTGAAACTATCTAACCATTATGAGAAAATAAAATCAGCTTCCAAATATATTTGATTCCTTATACTCGGGAATAATATACAATGGTTTTTAATACAAATTTGATTCTAAGTGAAGTTTTTCTTAGAAAACTAAAGACCTTTTTTGTTTCTAAGTAAAATGAATTAAAAATTCCGATGCGTTGTCATAGCTAATTAATAATAACTGCCCAATAAAAGTAATTTTTGATGCTGAAGACCAAATCCATACAATAATTCCCAAAGCTAAAGCCCCAAAAAAAATCTTCGATAAAATAGTCTTCATAGAACAGGATTCCAAAACAAAATCGAATAGTATCGCAAAGTGAAGTATCAGATGGTTAACAATTGACGTCTCATCATTCATAAGTTACTTCACTCTGCTAGAAATGTCATAATCTCTTGGATTTTTAACAGATTTATCTACTTTTATTACTATATTAATGTTTTATTTAACTAATTTTTTTGTCATTTTAAAAGATACTTTATAAGCGTGTAGACAATAGAAACATATGTTGAACGTATCTCTTCCTGGATTGGGTGACCAAATATTTGATAAAACGATAAATCTATTTAAAAAATGATGAGTATATTAATTAAAAGTAAATTTAAGAGTTCTTACCGCAATAATTTTAATAAATTGGTCCACATTTGTGATAAATCTAAATTTTCTTCATTGGTGGTACAAAACTTCTGTATATTTCTGTTTAAAATTTGCTCAAGAGCCAGCGAGAGATGTCCACCTTTTTCTGAAAACACTGTTTTATCAACGAGATCACTGGTTAAAAGTCTCAACAGCACTAGCAACTGGTTGTCATTTGTGGCCGTTTTTAATAAATTCTGTATTACTGTCACCAAAGTTGACGGATTGATATGACCTGAAATAAATATAATATATAATTTTTATAGAACAAAATAATAGATCAAACAAACGAAAAAACAAACAAATAAACAAACAAACAAATAAACAAACAAACAAACAAACAAACAAACAAACAAACAAAACCAAACAAAACAAACAAACCAAACAAACCAAACAAACCAAACAAACCAAACAAACCAAACAAACCAAACAAACCAAACCAAACAAACAAAGAAAACAAACAATTACTAGTAAATCGCCTATTTCTGAACAAAAAAAAAGAGAATTTATTATAAACTTACCAAGAAATAAGACAATCTGGCCAGCGGTTTCATATATAACTTTTTCCGGACTTAAAAGCATTTTTAATAATTCTGTAAGTTCTCTTGAGAACGAATTTATCAGATTCACAGCACTGCCATGTCTTATAGATTCTTCCATTTCTTGTAAAACATTCGCTGAAACAAAATCACTATTGTTACTACTTGATTAAACATTTCAGATAATAGAAAATAACTACAATAACTAACAAACACGTTTTGTTAAATAAACCATTAAATAACTATATTCAATATATACAATAAAAGTTATTAAATTAGAGAAAACATACTCTACTAATACTATTAAAATAAAGGGCTAGTTTTTCAATGTTTAAATTAATTTATAATAACTATTTTTTTTTTACTTACTAAGTAGTTCTTTGGACTTTTCCATTATGTTGACTTTCATTTCATCACTTCCTCTAATTTGATTTGTTAAAATACAATAATGTATTATTCGTATAATTTCAATACCTCCACTATCACAACGTAGTATTAAAGTTGTTACTTTTTCCTAAAACATATTTATCAGAATGTTGGAATTTCATTTATAAAAGAAAATTACCTCTAAGGCCTCTGGTGTTCCAAAATATTTACACCAATCATCCACATTATAATATAATCTGCTAACAGCGTCTACCGTTACTACAAAATATTTGATTATTTATATTCTTAGATAGAAATTTTAAAGAAACTAAACTAATTTTGTAATATACATTTGCATATAAAATAAAAACAAAATAAAACGGAGTATATAGATCAATAACATAACGTAACTAATATTTGTACACACATTCAAGTAGTTCATGATTATTAATCAAGAAAATAATCTATTAAATTCTATTCAATTAATGAAGTCGTTGATGCTGCTAATATAACAAATAAAATTAATTTAAATGAAAAACTCCTAAATGCCTTACATTTCAATATTAGGAGTATTAAAAAGAATTTTGATGAGTTGTTAGTATTTCTAGAAAGTTATAAAATTAATTATTGTGATATAATAGTTTTGACTGAGTGTTTCCAATTAGAATCTATTTCTCAATTTAACCTAGATGACTTCACCACCCACTATAACAATGGTAACATTAACAGAAAAGATGGTGTTGTAATTTTGGTCAGGTCAAATCTAAATGCAGAAATAAATATAGTTAAACTGGAATATTCTGATATTTGTGTCACTAAAATAAATCTAAAAGTCAATCATCGGACCATTGGCATTACAGGTGTATATACAGGTCTCCTCAAACCTCTCCACAAGCATTTATAAAGGTTTTAGAAAATTTCATACTAAATCACCTAAATAGAAATATTGAAATATTCATAGGGGACATTAATATTGATCTCCTAAATGTAACCAATCAAGTAACTACTGATTACCAAGCAACTTTTTACTCCCACATAAACACAAGGCCACAAAGTAAAACATGCTTGGATCATATATTCTTAAAAAACAATATTAAGACTGAAAATCGATCGGTGAACTCTTATGTAATCAGCTATGATATGACTGATCATGATCCTATTATGATAAATATCTCACAATTTGCCAAAAACTACACAAGTTCCTACAATACATATAAAACTATAACTAAAATCGATACTGATAAATTAAAACAAAAATTCGAAACTGTAAACTGGAAAAGAATTTGCAATGAAAATAATCCAGAAATTGTAACACAACTTTTTTATAACACATATCTTAATTGAAACATGTCAAACTACTCAAAATATTAAAATTAGCAATGGATAACAAATGGTTTAATTAATTCTATTAAAACTAGGGATAAACTTAAAAAAGATCTACAAAAAAAACTATACTATAAACAAACAAACTCACTATAAAACATTTAGAAATAATTTAAACAAACTAATATCAAAAAACTAAAAATGACTATTATAACAATAAAATAAACCAAAACAAACATGATATGAAAAAACTTATCAATAATTAATCTCTGAAGCAACTAATGAAAATCATAAAAACAATAATACCAATTTACAGATTGTTAACCAACATAATGAGGAATTTGAAAATGATAATGAAATGGCGAATTACTGCAATAACTACTTTTCGACTATTGGCACTAATATGTTCACAAATATCCCTGAATGTAATGTGGATTTTCCTGTGTCACTGAAAAATCAATGTTTCTGAAACTGATATGCGAAAACGATATTATAAAACACATAAATAGTTTAAAAAACAATAGTGCTCCGGGATTTGATTGTATAACAGTAAAACATCTGAAACTACTACATCCGCATTTACTGGAACCTTTACTGCATATAATTAATTGTATTTTTAATACAGGAATCGTACCTTAACAATTTAAAACTTCAATTATAACACCTATTTTATAAAGTTGGTAATCCAAAATTAATAACTAACTATAGACCTATTAGTTTAATTAGTAATGTGGCCAAAATATTTGAGAAATGTGTGAAAGATAGACTGATAAATTTTTTAAAAACTAATGACTTACCTCCCAAGCACCAATATGGCTTTACTGAGGGTCTTAACTCAGGAGATGTTATGCATGAATTGATTTCATATGTCACTGATGAAATGAATACTGGTAACAAGGGTATAGCTATATTTCTAGATCTAGCAAAAGTATTTGACACGGTGCCACATCAGAAGCTCTTAAATGTTCTTGAACAGAATGGAGTGAGGGGCATCGTGTTGAAGGTTTTTGAAAATTATTTGACACACAGACAACAGAAGGTAAAGGTCAGAGACAATGTGAGTAACCCTGAAAATATACAAACCCGAGTGCCTCAAGGGACTGTTCTGGGGCCTATACTATTTAATTTATACATTAAGAGCTTAACTCAGATTGATATTCATGGTAATGTTGTATCATATGCTCATGATACAGTGCTAGTCTTCAGTGATAAAGATTGGGAAGCCATCAAGACACGTGCTATAGCTGGAATGGAACATGTCAAAAACTGGGTGCATGTTTTTAAATTGTCTTTGAATGTTAACAAAACAAACTACATTGCTTTTTCAAAGACAGTGGTTGATGGACCTCAATTTAGAAGCTTAACATGTCAAAATTTAGACATACAGGAAACAGAAACATCCAAATATTTAGGTATAATTATAGAGCAGCACTTAAAATGGGACTGCCATATAATATATATAGCAAAAAAACTTAGATTTCTGATTTATAAATTTTATCTTCTAAAACAATTTCTCAACCAGGATCTACTAATAACATTATACTACGGTCTAGTAGAATCTATACTACGGTATGGAATCTTAGTATGGGGAGGCCTGTATGGAACTACATTAAATCAGTTAAAGGTTATTCAAAACAAAATCTTGAAGTTAATATATAAAAGAGATAGATTGCGTCCTACCATAACTTTATATAATGAAAAAATTAGCAATGTTAGATGTTTATATATTCACGCAGTGTGTTGTTATATACAAAAAATTAATTGTTAAAAAACCCTTTAGAACATATACATAACACTAGAACTGCATCGAACATGTGCATTAAAGTACCAAAACCAAATAGTGAGTTTTTTAAAAACCCTGTAAAATATCTAGAGATAAAGTTCTATAACGCATATAAAATTATTAAACAAATATAAAAAATTCTGTAGAGTTAGCAAAAGTTTATCAGACTATTCCAAGAATAACGGACTTAATACATGGATTTTTTTAAATAGTTTTTTTCTGTTTCTTGCATAAATTGTTCAAGTTTTATTTTTTATTTAAAAAAAAATGTTTTTTTTTATTTCCTTTATAATTCATTAAATATAATTAAAATAAAATTTTAATTTTTGTCAGCACATACAGGTGTTCTCACCTAGGTGCTTGTTATAATTGGTTTGCATTATTGTAACTTATTTATTGTTGTAACTCATTGTAACTTATAACTATTAAATTAAATTATTTATCCCAAAAATGCCCCTATAACATTCATTAATTTCTCCTGTAGTTTTTGTAGTACAAGGTACAGCCTATGGTATACGGGTGTTTTCAAGCATATCAGTCCTAATTTGAATTTTGTGTATTTATTGTTAAATTGTATATTTAAATGTGTTAGTTAGATTTTATATATGTTTTGTAAATGTATACTATTGTACATCTTTACATGTAAATGACATCCTATATCATGTATATGATCTAAAAGGATTAATAAAGTACTATTATTTTTATACCATATATTACAAAATTTTGATTGTTTAATGTATTAAAAAAAATTAGTTGGTATGATAGACTTGAAAAAAAATTTGATTTGAGGTAAATTCTGCTTTAGACATACTAAAAATACTTACAGAAGTTCTTAATGTCCATACAAACCGTTGACAACAGTTTTGAGGATAAAAATATAAGCTGTAATATAAAAGGTACAGTGGCTTTTTTCTGTAATCTTTGAATATCTGAATCCTCTAAAACATCCCGAAGACTCCACTAAAAAATTTAAATTTTAATAAAATATTTACAGTGTTATTACTTAATTAACGTTAAAATTGTGAAATTTTAGGCAAAAATTTGAATTAGAAATAAAGATATATATTGGTTATTAAAATAATAATTATTATTAAGATTTCAAAAAATACTTACTATAAACATATCCAGTAGAGCCTTTCTGATATTTTCAGAATGACTTCCAGCTAAGTGTCCTAATATCCCAACGACAGATTTGAGTTTTGGCGAATTGCAATATTGTTCATAGGATTTATTTTGACTAAAATCTTTCAATCCACATGACAAAACTCTTGTTATAACAGTGTTTGGAAAACAACTTCCAACATGAGCAACCACCCAATCAAAATGAGGCGAATGTTTTACAGAAGTATCTAAAAATAATGAATATGATACATACTAAATAAAATCCACTAAGAGTAATTTTAGTTTATAATATACAGTGTGTCTACTTAAGTTGGAACCATATGGAAAACATTTTTATTATTGATTTTAGGAAAAAAAGTTATTCTTGATAAAAAGTCCTGCATGACCCAAAACTTAAAATACAGTCATCAGATATCAAATTTTTCAAGCCGTATACGAGGTTTGTCAAAAAATATGAATTTTGCTCAAGAGTAAAGTACGTTTATTTTTTTACAAAATCGAAAATTTTCATTAAGAAATTTGCTAAATTCTTCACAAACATCAACAAAAGGAAAGCGTATCATGTTTATAGTAGCTAACGTAATTTATAACGTTTTCAGATATTTACAATCAATGTGTAGAGTTTATAAAAAATAAGAAAATCTGTTTTTTCAGATAGATCGGTGTGATTGCATATTTGAATGTAATATTCAATTCTAATCAACTTTTCTTAATGAAAATTTTTGATTTTGTCAAAAATAAACGTACTTTACTCTTGAGCAAAATTCATATTTTTTGACAAACCTCGTATACGGCTTGAAAAATTTGATATCTGATGACAGTATTTTAAGTTTTGGGTCATGCAGGACTTTTTATCAAGAATAACTTTTTTTCCTAAAATCAATAATAAAAATGTTTTCCATATGGTTCCAACTTAAGTAGACGTATATTTTTGAAATGAAACATTTTATGTAAAAGACACATTATAAAACTTCCTTCTTTTATAACTATTATACAGTGCAATATACTATCGATGTTGCCAGTTACAGGTCGGTGACAATTAAATATAGAAATCAGTTAAAATCAGAATATAATATAATTAGTTAATTTCAAAATGTACCAATGCAATATATTTCTATTATTGGTAAGTACTAATTGATATATTCTTACCCAAGAGTGCACTAATGCATGCCTCAGTATCAGAATAAATAAGGCTAGATAAACATTTAGTGTTAATATCTACCAGAGTTCTTGTTGCTCTACAAGCCATCCATAGTTGCAAAGTTTCATTTAAATCTAAAATAAAATACATTGATTTTTTTTCTATAATTAAAAAAAACTTGTAGTATTATACATATTTATAAACACAATATACATAACTAATAATAACAAAAAAAGAAAAGAATAAAAGTAATATAGATCATAATCAATGTCTTGGCATTAAGAGTTAATTTTGTTTAACAGTTAAAATAAGCGTTTGCTTATCAGTTATCTATTATTAATTTTTCTTTTCTTATATAAAAATACATCCAATAAATCAAAAGTTGTTACATAATAAATAAATAGAAGAAAGAATGCTTGAAACCATGTAAAATCTAATAAAGGTAAATAAAGGAGGGGTAAACCGTTAATGGCAAAATGAATCATATTCTGGAAATTACCAAATGTTCAAATGATTTCCGTGATAAGTATTTATATTTTTATTCTATCAGCTGATACTTACTGATTATTGACAAACCTAGTGATATGGAAGATTGGGTGACCATGTTTATTTTGAAACAATGCTGAACCACACTGTGACTAAACACTGAACACAAATACAATATTGATGAACTTTGAAGAGGTGAGAACGAGTGAGGACCTTTTTTAGCTCCTCAAAAGATAAATATTACAACAGAGGAAATCATGTAAAATGTTTTTGTCTTATTACATTTCAGTAAATTATGTGTTACATTGTTGGACAATAATGGCGTTTTGTTGGACAAATATAACATTTTGCTATATAAATCAGTGTTTTGCTGTACAATATCAAATGCTGGACAGACTTGGTAAAATGCTGTAAAATACAGCGAACTTCTGTACGTATGGTCACCCTAATTGAAGATAAAGGTATTACTTAATTTAATGTAATAGTTATTTATTATTCCATAATTGAAATAAGTTTCTTTGTACAATAATTACATTATTAATTAATAAAAAATACACATACTTGTTGAAAAATGAGCTCGTCCTGAATATTTTGTAGAAATCTCACCCAATAATTCTAGAGACCAAGTACTTATAGTTGGTGCCCAAGCAACTGGATTATCAGCAATTAATGTTGATAACACTGTGTGGATTTCTGATACAATCAATTCATCAGTTTCTAAAGGAGGCGGTAGTTTTCCTGTATTAATTTCAGTCTAAAATATATTCAATCATTATAAATTTATTCATCCTAATCTTAAATATAAATTATGAAAACTTTTCGAATACCTCTATTCCTTGAATATAAGATTTTACTGCATTATCGAAAACTCCACAGAAATATTCAAACACGGCTGTTTTCGTTGGAGGAAGACACTTTAAGAGAGTCAATGCAGATCTTGTAAGATCTACAGGATTAGGATTACAAGGCTCTCTTTTTGCTGCACCTTTTAAGAAAAAAAATAGTTCATTCATTAAATCTTGTTGTGGCACTGTGCGCACGACAGTGGTTAAAGATTGTGCCATTATTTTACATTAGGTATTTATATACAAATTATATTATGTTCAAACAGAATATTTATATTTTTCTTCTGTTGTTTATGTTAGGATTGTTAGGTTAGGATATAGTACTTCTTCTTCTTGTTTATTTGTTTATTGGATTAATGGCCTCCTCCTTCGCCTGTATCGGGACATTTAACACCGATAAAATTGAAAAGGCCCAGGGGCGGACATGCCCTACGTTTCATAAAGAACACCCGTATAATCGAATTTCAGAAATCCTCTTTCTGCTAAGTCACGCAACAAATTTTGTAGTCTTTAAGAGAAAGTAGTATTTGCGCATATGAGACCATATCCATAGATAAAATAAGTACTATCACATACGTTACATTACATGCAGATACAGACACATTACATCACACATCAAAGATACATCACATACACATCACAGACCTTAGACTAGGTCTAAGTCACAGACATATTACAGACACTTAAGACACATCACAGACGCACAGATAATTTCCAGATTCCAAATCGTAAAAATCAAAATTTCGAGGTGCTATTGATTTTTTTTTAAATCTGTTCACAAAGCGAGATGTATATCAGAACAAACAACAACTTAGGAATAATTTTAATTATACATGGTTCTCCAGGAAGGTAATACATATAAAATATTTTTTTTTAATAAGATATTTCCTGTATTTTATTTTTTATTTGAATTCCTCTTGCTTTTCTCATTATAACAATACCGAATAGTATGAGATTATACAGGGCATTTCACATGCTATAGCCAGTATTATATGAAAATCGTATTGATTTTAATGACCTCCCAACAACCATTTTGTTTTAACAAGTTAACGGCGTTTAAATGTATGTACGTTACTTCAAGTAGTGGCCTTTTGGTGGGCCTTTTTAATCATGTGACGTGCACAAGCGCAGCCGTTATGTTGAAATAGCGCCAATTCAAATGTTTCGTACTGTTTTGATCAACAATGGCTGGAAAAGGAATATATATCTCTACATTTCAATTATTAGAAAAAATCGTTGATGATGATTTACATTTTTATAACTCTGTGGAAGCACATAGTTGTGAGCAATTGAAAAGGTGCTTGAAGTGTCGTAGACGTTCGGAACAAGAAAAAAGTTTGCTGATTGAGAGGTTAGGTTTCAATACTTGTTTACTGTGTAAAAAATTAATGAAAACTAATAATAATTATAACTCTATTCTAACTAATTATGCCAACCAACTATTAGTAAATCCAAAAACACTTTAACATGAAAGTTAATCACGAGTATAATTAATAAGATAAATTATTTAATATTTTAAGGATCAACATGACATTTCTAATAATATTACTGTTTCTTTAGTAACATCATCAATCGATCGAAAACCTTTGTCACTTCGACCACATTTTTTCACTAGAGTCTACGTCCCAACCGCAACTTGGGTGCCCACGGTGTTGCCAAATGCCAAATACGTCAATTTGTAAATTAAATTTGTTGGGTTATGTTTTGTTAAACTTAGTATTGGTACATCCTTCATGTGATAAAAGTGAAATACGAGAAATTCAATATGTAATTTGTTTGTGATAAATGCAAACATACTTTCAAGCTGAACGTGAGTGAAATCCTCTTCCCGGCCAAATGACACAGATCAAAGAATAGGCATTCTTGCTTCTCAGCTTAATATCGCTACTTATACCAAATAAACCTAAGTACCTATTGATTTTTTTAATAAACACAACATAAAACTTTGAAATATGAATTAATTAAAATGCATATTTTTCTGAAATATGTTCATAAATATTGGTAAAAGTATCTCTTGTTTTGCCACCATATATTTCGTACCACATGAAATGGTCTATATGCTCTGGCAAGACTGGCAAGAGCCTTGAAGTCATTAAATTATTTCTTCTGCAAAATATCTTAAGTCGAGACCAGACGTAGACTCTAATAATTTTTTCACCCATATTGCTCATTTTGAACATGTTTTAATATGTATTTTGTCTAATGATTTGATAGTTTTTTTACCATATTGCAGACAAGTCTTTGGTAAATTTATAAAATAATAATGTATTACCTTTGAATGATTTATACCGTGTGTCACTTTTACATACTCCATAACAATATCGTTTCGTACAGATAACATAATTTATTTACTTACTTTACTTTTTTTCCTTTTTTTAAATGAATATACTTAAATTAATATTTATCGATTATAATTTTTTCACGTGGACATTTTAACATGCCTGTTTACAAAAAACAGTACGAAAAAGATGGCCGATACTGACGCATGCATACAAAAACAAATTGTGATGAAAAGGCCTATTGGTAAGTCGACTTTTTGTCACAACGGGTGGCAGAAGGCCGTCGTCACTTTACCAAGAATAAATAGTGAAAGGTCTGCAGTTTCCCATAATATTAACGTTATGGACTTGCATAAGGCTTGTAACTTTACCAGGAATAATTAGTAAAAGGCCTGCATATGGCCAGCAATTTCCCATAATATTAAAGTTACCTACCTTCCCATCAACGAACTCTTATAAAAATGATGCCGAGTTTTTAAACGGAATGTACCACGTCCATCTTCTACAAAAACTATATTCATAAAATATTCTAAATTAACATGTAAAAGTAAGAAATTACAACAAATACTGCATAGTGAATGCCAGCAAAACAAGACTGGCCGCATAGTACGTGTTCACTCGTTGAGTATGTAGCAATGGCTCATCGGTGTCTCCATCTATAAACGCGGGTCGGAGCCCTCCTAGACTGTTGGGATTAGGTCTGCGGCAGTTAAAAGCCATTTGACTCTTACAATGCTTTTACAATTGAATGTGGAAAACAGTTAAAAAGTCGTCAGAGGCCCATCAAATAATTAAAGTAAATCGGCAGTTAATTACAAATTTCAAACAAGCGATAACGATTTCACAGTTGCATGTGGGAAACTGTTAAAAAGTCGTCAAAGGCCCATCGAATAATTAAAAGTTAAAACGCAGTTAATTACAAATTTCAAAAGGGCCATAACGAGTTTACCTTACAAGTTAATTTGCCATTACATTCGTTAAAGGGCCAACAACGTGCCACAATTTCAATATTTGTTAGGACTGTATACTACAAAAGAACCAATTTAATGTCATTTTTTTGCAGTGAACGTTTTTCGATATTAGTCAACATTTTATGCAGATGTACAGGGTGAGCCGAGTCAAAAAATTTTTCATTTCATATCACCATTAAAAAGTAGCTTAATAAAAGTTTAATTTGAGTTAAACATTTCCTCAACTTAAAGTTAATATTGTTTGGTTATTTTAAAATTTAAATGACAAAAAAGATAATTCACAAAATACTTTAATTTTAATTGGTCACTGGTTGACAGGAAATATACTGTTTGTTTCATTTAGCTGTAATTTATTATCTACTGAAAGTGAATAAGTTTTTGACATTTTCTAATGGGACTTTAATATTTAGTAAAAAATAAATATGTTTTATACCTTGTATAAATAAAAACAAATATACGTACTTATCTATTCAAATCGCTCGGAAATTAAAAAAAAACTGAAACCACTTAATACGTTCAAATTGTTGGTGAATTTCTGTCACACCATGCCTAAAAGAACGTGTTATTTTCTGTATTTTAAACATTCAATGACAGATTACGGACCAACTAATGTTATTTTGTAACCAAATTACTTTTAATTTATTTTAAAAAAATAATCAATCTCTAAGTTGGGCAAATCGCCCTCGTCTATTTGGTATACTCCTAAGTATAGTGCCCTTGGATTCTGAAGTGCTATACATACGCAATCAGAATGTGAATGGAGGTTTTGTCTTCATCCTCACAGAATCTAGACTATCTTATATTAGACCCAATTTACTAATCTGTCTTTTGAATCGGCAATGACCGTTATGGATCCCTATGCGTAGCCTATTATTTTTCAGCCAGATACAGGCTTTCGAGCATGTAGCTCCAAGATATCGTTCCAATTGTCGGTTCTTCTACCAACCAATTCTTTCTTAATTTCTTATAATATTGTATTACTGTAATAAACGCAAAATACCTTTAGCAAGGCTTTGTGAATGAAATGACAAATAAAATACATAAACATCAAACTTCTCAAATACTCAAACATCTCTGACTCAAACAACATGAAGTAAGTATATACTAAATAATATGACAATTACTAACTGCAGTCTCTTTACATTTATTAAGTATTTAAGCACATGTTCTCAAATAATCGATCTCTTATATCTACGGTATAATGAATAGGCGATTTTAAATCAGATACTATGTCTTGAATATGATTGACTACACTGATATAAATCAAAAACAATGACGTCATATTGAATATTGTCTTGAAATAGTCAAGTTTAACATGACTACAGTAAAAACGTGGTCATCACAGGTATGAAATGTCAAATGAAATGACAAATGTAAAACTTTTACTTTTTAATTATTAAATCATTGTTTGGTTGTGTTATTTGTAAAATAGAAAGAAAGATTTACGAAAGGGAAAAGTGGGACAATGGTGACGATAGGGTATCAGGTTAAAAAAACAGGTATTTTTATAAAATAATCTCCTTTTTTTGTAGAGATCTAAAAAAAGGTCCTCCGCTTATATTTATTTAAACCATCAGATTCCTTTTTCTGAGCTTCTCAAAAACAGGTCAAACATTGTCAAAAATATCATTATATATAATGAATTTAAAAAACGTAGCAATAAGGTAAAATGCGGAGCATTTTTGTACTTTGGCGTAACGCGTGCCAGCAAGTTAAAAAGCGGGACAATTTTGCCTAAAGCGCGACGTCTGGCAACCCTGGCTGAGTACCTAAATATGGACGCATTTAAGGTTTCTGCAAATGAAAAGCCAATTTATTTTCAAGGTAGGATTTATGAACATGGCTAAAGTTTTGATAAAAAATCAGAGGCCAAAGTAACTATAATACCAATTTTCTCTTCATCCATGATCAGTAAACAAAACAAATATTTATTTTTTTATCCCTACAAATTCAAAAACAAATCCTACTACTATTACATAACACACAAACAAAAATTCATGATATCTGCCAATGTTATACCCATTGTGAAGTTAGTGTCAATATAAACCAAACATTTTTAAATCAGATTATTAGAACGTCATTATAATGACGTAAGAACCTTGACCACACTTGACTTGGTCACATTTCTAGTAACTGATTTAAAATCGCCTATAAACAACCCCATTTCGTCAGTGCTTTCCGTATCTAGAATGTCAATATTGATCAAACAAACCATTTCAAAAACAGGCTAAAGTTAAATAAGGAAATAAAAAGATACCTAATCAATTTAAAAAACAAGATTTATAGAATCAAGAAGGTACGTGTCATTTTTATTTGATTTAAAGACCTAACTTCATTATGATTGAAGAGAAATACCATTTTCAATGTCTCAAAGACATCATGCAAACAGAATATCTGTTCCAGGCTCACAAAGTTATGCTGCCAGAAGACCTATTTTGGTAACACCCAAAAGAAAACCAGAAAGAGTCGTAGTATTATACAATGAGTCCGGAGAGAACGTTACTCCAAAACCTTTAAATCCCGATATTTTTGCTGGCAGGGAAAGACAAATTAGTGTACATGAATTTTCTGAAAGAGCAGATATTAGCAGAATGTCGGAAAATTCTGCAATGTATTTATCTAAGTCACAATCCACGGTAAAATTTAAACATGACCTCGATAAACAAGGTGCCGCTATTTCAGTCCAGTACAAAGGAAGTTTGCAATCATCAGCAAGTGATGCATATTTGGATATATTTGTTGCTGATGAAGATGGCCGAACTGATGATGCTTCAATTGGAACTACTGGTGGGGCTAAAGCGCTATTTAAAATGAAGAAAACTCCAACAAGTATTAGTTTAATTTTAAGTGAAACCTCAACTTTTTTCTTACTGGATCTAACCAGTTGTACAGAACTGAAAGATACAGATGAAGGTTTGTTCAAAATTGTTTTTTTTAATTTGTTTCACAACACAGGCATGAATTTTTAATTAATTTGTTCACGTTCGGCTCTAGTTTTAATATGAATACTTTCCCTAACGATTCTCAAAAAATGTTTTAAAACTTTTGGATGTAGGTGACTTGACTGGCTGATTTTTAGTACAGTTATTAGTGTAACACACCGTCTGTGCTCTATAAAGAAAGTTATATCTTTTAATTAATAATTTAGCTCAACTTTGATTGGTGACCACATTGGCGAAACATGATAGACCAAACCCTTAAAATTGTTGAATGCATTCGAAAGTATAGAAATAGTAAAAAACATGGGTCAAATAAAGATAAAGAGCCGATTCTATACAGTCCTTTTGATGTTTTGATCGATCAAAAACACCTCAAAAAACAAATTTTATACTACTAGATAAATACAGATAGATACTGGTTTTAGGAACTCTAGTTGAACAAGACAATGAACGTTATGAATATTTAACAGTCGGAAAAGGGAAACACAGAAAAATAGTTCAAGCAGAAGTTCAAACTATGCCAATGGTATTAAAAACTCGAAACACTTCTTATGAAAAAACTAAAACTCAAGTTGGTTCAGCATTTGTTTCTGTATATGACATGTACGATACATTTCAAGTGGCTAAGGTGAGAAAAAAATACTTGCTTATTTTATTGTAATATAATCTATTTCTTGTAATTGTCACTTAGAAAATTGTGCCATTAATGAAGGGAATCTTCTATATTTTATACTGCTATTCAAAATTATCGCTTCTAGTGTATTATGTGAACCGTTATTTCTATTTAAAAAATATAATTGTTTCATCATAGAATAGAATTCACCTCTAGTCATCGATGGTTCAATTTTCATCCAACTATGTTTTATATATTTTAGCAGAGAATTACCCAAATTATTGTGTTATGCGATAATTTTGAAAAGTAGTTTATAGTACCCTACATAATTTACTGCACGTGGTACGTGGCTATATTATCGTAAACCCTGGGTAGATGTTCATAATTTGACATTTTGTATGTGGTTGTGTATCTTTAAATTACAACTGCAAATCCCATTTCACATTGTTATTTTTACTTTGTTAAGATCTTAGACTTCCGCTCTATGTCATTAAGATCCTTGATATGTTATTGTACATCCTAATATTCGGGTTCTCCTCTTCTAAAATATAATTGGTCGCTAGTTGGAATAATAAAGTTAATGATGGCCCAGCAGTGGAAATCTGCCAAAATCTGTTTAAACATTGTTTAATAGCAGTTGAGGTAGATATTACCATCTTGACATGGCTCAAAAGTAATCTATATAGGTCTGACTGCAGCAAACTATAGAAAACAACTGTCATGAAAATTCCTCAGCCGTCTCTGTCTAAAGCAAGCGACCTTCAGCCTGCCACCCGACTCATGCTCGAAACGACGGAATCTTCTAGGAATGCCGCTGACGCTCGAGAAACGGTTAGAACGGGCGGAGCTTACCGTTGAGTCAGAGATGGAATTTTCGGGAACGTCTAGAGACTTCTCGTAGCAGAGTTGGACTTGGTATAAATAGCCCTACTCATCGGCGGACAGTTTAGTTTAGTTTAAAGTATTGGACTGAAAAGTTAAATTATAAAAAATAAATTAGAATTGTGAGTTAGTGTCTAAGTATTATATAAAATAATTAGTACGTCACAAATAAATTGTAAATAGTGTGTTTTAAATAAATAAACTATAAATAAATTAAACTATCGTCACACAACTAAATATTGTTATGCCATTGTCATCAGACGACAAACTTCTCAAATAGTGATGTCAAAAACATAAAATAGATAAAATAGATAAAATAGCATGGTATATAAAAGGATGCAATGCTAACTAAAGTGCAGGAGTAGGTATTGGTCGTATTGGTAACCAATGGCATAGTTTATCTTGCAGCATTTACCTGGTCATGATGTGTCATACTTGGACCTTTCCTAATTTTATTTGCATTGGTCAGAGCGACTGAAAGGAGGGGAATGTCGTATGACAATTGAGGATATGATGGAATCAAAATAGTCCTGTTTGTATTTTGTTTTCTTCTTCAAGCTATCCGATGTTTTCTTTTCGGTGAGTCATCCGTCATCTTGTATATATACAATATTGGCTATTTGAGAAAAGTGAACTAATAAAATGTGGGACATAGCAGTTGATATTTATAGGCATGCCGATGCCGATCCTGATGTGGCTTTTGGTAATTACAGAACGTACAAACAAAATTTTGTAGAAGATTATCACTACATTAATAGCAATTATTACTAAATTTATAGTTGATTCACTTTTCTGTTTCTTGTTCTTTAGTGTTTAGGTACAAAAAAATATTAATTTATAGGTATTAATTATTTATATGGTCTGTTCTTAATCTCTATACTTCTCGTTTTGTTTTAAAGGAAGACAGTGAAGCAGAGGAAGACGAGAGTGCTGACGAAATTGAAGATGGAAATGTTAAATTAGATGATTCAGGATCGGTAGAAAGTTTCAAATTGTCATTGGACGAAAAATGTATGTCGAAGTTAATGAAAAATGCGAAATTTTTGGAAGCTTGCATTGTTATGGAAAGATTACTTGCCAATAATTGTTACAATGAACAACAAAAAGTCTTTATAGGATTATCCGATCCAGATCCGTTCAGGGAAAATATTCAATATAAATATAGGCTGAAGTTGTTATGGACTTTTGCAAATACTGATACTACTGGTATGAATCATATTTTAATGTGTTAGATTTTATTTTATGTTAAATAAATTGTTTACAAAAGTGGATCTCGATGGATCGCTCCATTGGTATAATTCCTAATAAATCTCAACAATATAGGTACCCATCATCTATCTTTCTTTCTCTTCTTCAGGGATGACGGTCGTATAGTTTTGGATTTTCAAAAGGCATTTAAACAATTTTATAGAATGATTATAATAAATTCGGAGTACGTTCCTGTAAATCTCCTTTTATCTTGACGAGTCGTAGATAGTTCATTTTATGCTCGTTTTATGATTGCTTAGGCAAAGGTACATACTTTCAAACAATATTGCCAAATTAGATTTACTTTTGTTAGAACCTCTATAAAATGCCTAACTAATATTTAATACTTTTAAGTTGGTACTGTACAATGACATATGACAGTCGACATTTTTATTGTTCTGTGTGAAGCCCACTGTGTTTCTATTACAATATATTTAATCTGTGCGATTTTATTATCAATCCTCTGCCAAAATGATTACACGTTGTAGTATTTTAAAAATATTTATCTTCCAGGTATAATATTTGGCAACATTTTAAACATTTGTATTCAATCTGTTGGCTACTTATGAGAGCAAATAATACAAAATAATAGCCTAATTAAACAGATTAATATAAATAACTTTTATTGCTTGTTTCAAAATTAATTTTTTAAAACAATAATTAAGTAATTTGTGTCTTAAGTTATTTTTTAATAGGTAGATCAGTAAACTCTTGCGACTGGAATCCACAAAACAGAGACATATTAGCCGTGGGATATGGAAAATTCTATTTCCACGATAATATAACAGGATTAGTATTAATATGGAACATAAAAAATCCCGTCCAACCTGAAAGAAAATACGTGTTTCCAAAACCAGTAACAGCGCTGCAATTTTCAAGGGGCACTCCGGTTTTACTGGCAGTTGGTTTTTATAATGGTTCAGTCAAAGTTTTAAATATATCTAGTAGGGAAACGATGATAATTGGCGAAAATGTGCCTACTTTTGAACCATGTTGGAACATAATATGGCAATATGGAAGAAATGAGAGGAAGAATGAAGAGTTAGTTACTGTTACCTTTGATGATGGAAGAATTTGTGCATATTCTGTTCAAAGGAAGTTAGAGGTAAGCCATACAAGTTAAATACCTAATTGCAGTTAGTTAAACTTAGTTGTTACTAACAACAATGTGTGGTATATATAAAACATAGTACATGGTAAATTAGCATGCTCTACTATTTACAAAGTACCTGCTTGAGAAGAACACAGCGAGACAGGAGTATCTACTATTTAATCGAAGTATCTATTGGGTGTCCAAATTTGACATTCCGATTTAAATTGGCCGCCATGTGCTAGTTCAGTGTGATCTCATTTTGGTTCCACTGACATTTAATTCTAACCAAACTTTTAACAAAAACATCAAAAAATTTGACATATACGTTTTTACTGTTTTAAGTTTACTTTTAATTATTGTTTACAAGTCATAAAAAATAGTTTAAAGGTATGTAATTTGTAACTAAACTATTGTATATTTGATACATGTTATCTATTTACTTTAGAAATATATTTATAAAAGTGAAAAAACGATATAATTTAGGTAAACAAAACGAACAAAACGCACTCAAAAAATCTACTGTCACTTTAATTGTCAGTGGAACCATAATTACATCATCACTGAACTAACGCATTTTTGGTAATCTTCATTGACAGTATTTCTATGGTGGCATATGTCAAGTAAAAACTGCGGATACTTGTTTTTTTGGTCAACATGGAACAACTGTCCATCGAAAACCCCGTTTTTATTGTAAAAACTTATTACCAAAATGGAGAATGTTTTGCTGAAACTTGCAGAAAGATGCCTTACGCTTTTAAGAAATCTAGCACCATCTGTTAAAATTATTGGGAGTTTTATAAAGATATTTCAACAGCAGAATATGGGGTGAAAAAAATCCAGGAGAAATATTGGAAAATCGTAAATCCAGTAAATCCAGTAAATGTGACTGACTGATGTGGTTTTTGGTCTAGTGGCGTTATTGTTCCTTATTGTTTCCAGAATGAAGGTGTTCATTCGATAACTGTGAATGGAGCGCGATAAAGGACAATGATTACGACATTATTTGTGAAACGAATTAGAAAATATGGATGTCTAGAACATGTGATTCCAGCAAGACGGTGCCACTTGCCTCACACTAAATCTTTTAAGGGAGAGATTTGGCATTCGAATAATTTCTCGAAGAGCTGAGGTTAATTGTCCGCCTAGGTCGTGCGACCTTACATCATTGGATTATTTCTTGTGGGGCTTTTTGAAGGGCAAAGTTTATGCTAATAACCCTCAAACATCTGAACAGCTTCGAGTTAACATTATTCAAAAAATGGAAAAAATTGAACAGAATATTTGCGAATATGTTCTTGAAAATTTTGTAAAAAGAACGTTAGCATGCTAAAGAAGCAGAGGGATAACATGCCGGATATCATTTTTCATTATTAACCGTAACATTTAAACTTTAAAATATTACAATAATATTATATTATTGCAAGTACTTTTTGTGTTATTAAATTAAATCCGAATGTCAAATTTGGACACCCTTTACTATACTTACTCGAAGCTCGAAGTATGTTCTCAAAAACTTCCATTTTCTTAGTAGGTGACCAGGCCCGACGAGAAAGGGGGACAGGGGGAGCAAAATCCCCGGGGCCCGGGCACAAGGGGGCCAAGTAGCTTTAACAAAATAGGTTATAATTAGGGTTACCAGACGTTCGACTTGGATAAAGGAAGACAAAATACAAGCTGAGGACTTTTTTTTTTTTAGAAATGTCACTAAGAAGGGACCTGATTTTATAAAATTCTTTGTTTTTGAACCTGATCCCCTGTTTTCCCGTTTTTGTAAACCTACCATCAACCTTAGTTATAATAAGGGGCCCTTGCCAGTGTTTTGCCCGTGTCCCCACCATGGCTCTCGGGGCGCCCCTGTAGGTGATAAGAAACTATTCCTTGTTTCTACGTCATAGCCAAGAAAATAAATTGCAAACAAGTCAACATTATACTTGTTGAAGCTTGAACACAAAATTATGAAAATTACCAGTATAACTTATAAGTTTTTCCTGAATATGATAATATGACAATACTGTCCTGTCGTGGCATCAGTGTAGGGTTTTCTGGGTCTTTGTAACTCAAATTTTATTTGACGACGCCACGACGAGCTCTAGTTCCCCACGCTATATCATGAGTAGCTTGGACTTCTCCCAGATGTGAATAAAGTCTACTTGACTCAAAATACAACCGGGAGAAGAGTGTTTATTATTAAGACGGTTTTCCACTAAATGGACAGTTGAATTTGTTTTGTTTGTATTTTCTGGAACTTGAAAAACGAAAACAAAACTGAGAAAAACCTAAAACCCTTGTTTCCATCAAATGAGATACATTTTGTTCCAGTTTTGTTTTTATTTTTATAAAATTTAAGTACAGGCACTATATATGTTTCGGAAACACTGTTCCATCTTCTGGTGCCAGTCAATATATTTATTAAAATATTTTATTACGTTATTAACCTGCAGCACTTTGACCTGAGAGGCTGGCTATCCCTAGATATCCCCCAGCGAAAACTAGCAGGTTTTTCATGCATACTAGAGCTAATAACCTGTAGAACTTTGATGAGTTGGAAAGATGGCTGTCTTTCGACACCTCTCAGCTTCAACCAGCAGGTTTTAACAAGTTGAGAGGCAGGTTTCATATACCCCTGGAGGATACATAAAGGACCCTATGAAACCTAAGTGCTTTGGATCAACCCACCCTCCCCTCCTTTCCGATATAGACACCTAGTACATGTATAAGAAAGTATTTAATCAATCCTTGTATATTTTATGTTATTTGAAATTTAGATGAGTCAACTGATGAGAGTGGGAAAAGCTGATGGAAAGCTCAAAGGGTACGACGCAATGAAGAAATGCACAAATTTAACTATACCCGTCTCGAGATACTCTTCTGCGTTAATCGTACGACTTCATCCTCTCGATCCAAGTATTTACTTTGTTGGTACTAACGAAGGTACTATTCACAAGTGTTCGTTAAATTATCTGAGCCAACATTTAGATGTATTTCTTGCCCACGAAGGATCTGTACACGAATTGAAATTTTCTCCTTTTTTCAAGCAAATTTTTGCTACATGCGGAGACGACTGGCATACAAGAATTTGGGCGGAAGGTAAGATTTTAAAATATTGACCTAATTACAATATATGTAAGGGAATTATGCCTATGATGGCCCCCTTCCTATGATGGCCCATACGTTGTAATTTTAAATCTCCCGCGATTCTCACTCAGTCGGTAATTTTACTACATCAACTAAGTCCGTTGTAAGCTACATACGCAGTATGTCGGCGTCGGCCATAAGAAGGTGTCGGGGTGCGAAAATAATAAAGGTAGGTCCTGATTTAATAATTTCGTTGCAAATATTAGTGAATGTTTATCCTATAACAAGCAATTTGGAATTGGATTTTACATGTTTGTGTTTACATTGTGTTACTGTTTTTGAATCGAAATTCAGGTTAGAGCAAACAAAACAAGTGATATGAAATTTAATCAACTGGTATGCACTTTTGCCTATGATGGCTCCATGTATTCTTTCATTTGATGGACTAGGGGGCCATCATAGGAATAACATATTATTATGCAATTTATATGTACGACAGTAGGTAATACATACTTTTTTATTGTTTCAAGATATGGCCACTAAAAGACAGCAATGGGATGAGGTTAACATGGAACAAGCCATTAAGAATGTACAGCCAAAAAATGGGCCATGAACAAAGGTGCTCTTAAGCAGGGGCTTGAAGGAAAACGAGCCACTTTTGCTAAGGATATTGAAAACGAAATTTTTGATCACATCATCGACATGGAATCACGATTTTTCGGTCTAACCAGCACAGATTTGCGTAAGTTGGTCTACGAAGTAGCTGAAATAAATAATATTCACAATTTTAACAAAGAAAATAAAATGGCTGGGTGGAAATGGATCAAATGTATTTTAAGACGCAATCCCCGCATGTCTTTAAGAAATCCTGAAAGTACTTCGTTAGCTAGGGCTGAGGCTTTTAACAAGCCTAACATTCTGGCATATTTTAAGTCATTAGCATCGATTTTGGACAAAAACGAATTTCTTCATGAGAACATATACAATATGGACGAATCTGGTTTGACAACTGTTCAAAAGAAGTTGCAAAAACTATATGCTTGTAAAGGTCGCAAACAAGTTGGTACCCTTAGCAGTGCAGAACGCGGTCAACACGTTACTGTCGTATGTTCAATGGACGCCATTGATTCTTACGTACCTCCTGTTATAATTTTTCCTCGTCAAAGAATGAAAGAGGAGCTAATGAATGGTGCTCTACCGGCATGAATTTAGTTTGTACATGAGAAAGGCTGGATGACCAGCGAACTTTTTGCAAATGGTTAAAACATTTTGTTAGATATTCGAAAGCGTCTCTAGAAAATAAGGTTCTGTTATTATTAGACGCCATAAAAGCTTTGAAGCCTTGCAGTATGCAGAACAAAACGGAATTGTAATATTTTATTTGCCTGCCCACTGTTCGCATTATGTCCAGCCCCTGGACGTAGGATTTTTTCGACCCTTGCAAACTTATTACGGATAAGAAATTCAACTCTGGTTGCGGCAGAATCCTGGCAAAATTGTATCCCAGTTCCAAATAGCAAGTTTATTTAGTCGTGCATATCTAAAATGTGCAATACCTACGAACGCTATTAATTCCTTTAGAAAAACAGGTATACATCTGTTTAACCCGGACGTTTTTGATGATTGGTAGTTTTCACCATCTTTAACAACTGATAAACCTCAACTTACTCAAGAAGTTGTCCTTAAAACTAAAGAAAACCTTTCATTGTCCGAAATTGCTATGCCAGGATCTTCCCATCAAGGTAATAAGGGCTCTCCAACTAATCAACAAGAAAACAGCGTTCAACTAGACAGTTTTGTTTCTTTGTCAGTAACTTGCACTACACAAGCTATGACTAAATCACTAGTTCTCAACGTATTATCCGAATCAGCTCTTAATATATCGATCAAAGATATTTGTCCTTTACCTTCAGCCGCTGAAATTCGGTCGATGCAACGGAAAGGTAGAAAACGTGGAAAAACAGGAACGTTGATTTCTACACCGGAACTTAATGAGCTTAAAGAAATAGCTCTTCAAAAGGCAGTCAAGTCATGAAACATTATTTCGAGAACAGCGAAGCGACAAGTTTTTGTAAATATTAAAGATTCTGCAAGTGACAGTGATGAAGAAAATCAAGAGGTTCTTGAAAAATATCTGGAACAAGACAGTTAGGACGACGTTGCATGTCTTTATTGCAATTAACTTTATTCACAATCAAAATCAAGGGAAAAGTGGATTCAGTGTCAGGCCTGTAACACTTGGTGCCACAATGATTGTGCGGGAGTTAGCCTTAGGTGCAAGTGGTTCGTTTGTGAACTCTGTGAATAAATGCTTATAGCTTGATATTTTCCTGCTTGTGTTGCAACTTTTGTAGTTTTTATATTTTATTTTTTAAGAATAATGTACAATTTATATTACTTTAAACTTTATTTTGCGGTGTTTCGAGGAATATGATCTTTATGGTATAAAATATTAGAAACAAATGCCCTCTCATTATTTTTTATACATATTCTAAGTGGTCTAACATAGGAAGACTCTGGGGACTATCAAAGGAATATATTATATTCTTATGTTGCACCCCTTTAAATGTTTTTAAAAAAATACTGTCAGAAAGTAATTTATAACTTTATTCTAGAATACAATGCAGGTCTTGAAAGCCTTTATCAAGACCCGTAGAATGAGCTGAACTGGCTAACAAAATATTAATAAATATAAAACCTATAACGCATTATTCTTAAGGGGGACATCATCGGCATACTTCCCCAATATTATCGCTTTTGTTGAGTTGTGACTACAATGTCCGGCATCTTTTTCACGTCAAAAATAAAAATATGATATTGTACAAAATTTGAAAATCACACTTTTATCTTTAAGTATTTTATAATACTTTAAAAAAGTGCAATATGATAATTATTATATAAATAAAAAGGAAATAAATAGGAAAATAAAAACATGGCCGAATAAATCAAGGAAATTTTTATTTATATAAATTTCTGCTACGGTCAGGAAATTCTCCTTATTAAAATGATAATTATTATTGTTATAGGTATTCCAGAACCAGTTCTTACCATTTCTGGAATGCAAAGTGTTCAAGGACTCGATTGGAGCCCAACGCATTCTACAATTTTAGTTGTGATTCGGGCGCAAAATATTGAAGTTTGGGATGTCCAGAGAAAAGTTTATGGAGCCCAGTCAATAACACCATCGCCTACTGGTACTAGAAATACAGTGGTACAATTTACCGAATCAGGGAGATGTCTTATTGTAGGTAGGTCAAAAGATTAGTTCAAAATAACTAACAATATAAAATTTTCTACATTCTACATACAAAAATCCCTAAATTATGTTTAGTTAGAGCCAATTTGTGGTAAAAAGACACCAGCTTCGAATCCTACGAAAGACCATGTGAATGTACTTGTTAGGTTCTCTATAGGATTTGATGGATGTTGAATTAGTAGAAATTTAATTTTTGTTGATATGACATCCAAATTAAAAAAATCACCATGCGTTACTGTTTTCGATGATAGTGGGTGGGGTTTTCCGGGTTTTTGTCACCTGTAAGTCAAATGGCACCATCAATCATCTTTACGTGAGTTCGAGTAGAAACCACAGACTTTGGTAGAAACTCAGGTTGCTCTAAGTTAAGTATTTTCGCGTTTTTCGAGTGTGATCTGTCGCGTTCGATATGACTCTGAGTATGGACTCCGAGTGCACTCTTTTAACTCTGTATTAGAAGATCGTGATCTGTCGAAAAGTTAAATAATAAAATGTCAATTGTCAATGAACGGCACATATTATTGTTCTGTGGGTTTGTGCTAGGTAATATTTGTTTTTCAAAGTTATTTAACTCATATAGAGTATTATAAGTAAATTCGGAAAGTTTATTTTATGTTATTTTATTGTAATGCATACTAATTAACTGACTGTTGACTGCAATTAGGCATTCCAACGACCTGTCCAAATGGCTACCAGTGGGTAATGACAGTTTAGATATGGCAACCCTGTTGTCATGTTGTCATTAACAGGATCAATGATACATATATAGTTATATAGATTGCTCAAAGCTGGTCATTTACGAGCGGCCATATTGCCTGGCAAATATTTATTAATTTGAATCGGTTTAGCAAAAATGTGTTTTAAAACCAATTTTTAGCCTTTAGATATTTAAAAAAAATAATTGCTTACATTTTTACTTCAAGGCATAAGCTTATGTTTATTTTGAAAAATATGGACGATCAATCTATGTAACTATCTATTTCATTGACCTTGTCAAATCACCAGGCCTACAGGGTTGCCATAATTTTGCCATATCATAACCCGTCAGAGCCCACTGGTAGCCATTCAGTTTGGAATGCCTAATACTGGATTGAGGTTATGGTTTTTACTCTGAGCTTGGTACTATCCAGCTCTATCATCAAGTCACAGTGTAGAGAACAATCAGTAGCGTTACTTTCAAGCGGTACTTTTAATCTGTACGGGTTAGGGTAATCCACAAGGAGGAAGGGGTTTGTCCGGCGATGTCATTTTGCTAGGATCATTCACAGATTTGAGTTCGCAGTTTTTGACGTAACGACAGATCCTGATTTAGAAAATTTCTATATTATATTTAAACAAAACATTTTATTAATAGTTATTTATGTATCAAGGGAATTATAAGGGCCTTAATCACCGATGGCAAAGTTTGCGTCCCGAGGGCCTCTGGCCCGAGGGACAGGAATTGCCTGAGGTTATTAAGGCCCATTAATTCCTGTGGTACATAGATCATTTTATTTCTGACAGATTTCAATAAAATTTTGTTCATTTTTAAAACGGAAAAATGTACCAATTTATTACCTTCCCGGTAATTATAAGGTAGAGGGAATTATAGAATCTATTATGTCCCAAGGGATTTATGACCATCTTTATTGATAGCGTAACTATGACGATATAAGCTTATAATATCACTGTCGGAAATATAATTTATAATAGCACACTTTGAAAACTACAATATCTTTGGCCACCTATTTGAAATTGAGACTGCGAGTGGAGAGTACTTACTGTCAATAATCAGATTTTTTAAAAATTGATACTTATATGCTTGTGTTTTATTTCTAGGAGATACTGATGGAGATGTCCATGTTTTTTCATTAGAAGATATGCCATTTATACCATTTTTTCAAGAGAACTTACTAAGCGACTCTCTCGCAAGGGTACTAGTGACAAATCCACAAGTACTGGCTAATATAAGGAAACTACGCCGAGCATCTAAAGAACACAGAATGACTTAAGTGTACATTTTAGTAGAATAATTTTGTTTTAATTTAACTGTATATCTATTTTATTTTTTTATTAAAGTGGATTTTTAATTACGAATGGTTTATTATTGTTTTGTTGTAATGTGAAGCCTTCCCTTACTCCTGACAAGACTACCAGATCCGATAAAGATTAAAATTCTGTACAATAGAACAGGTATAAGATGAATAAAATAGTACAGTAGCAACGCAGCTTCGTTTATTGATCTGTTTCCGTTTTAAAGAGTATTTTCAAGGAAATGCATTTAGCATGGTTGATACAGAATTGGATCAGAAAGCAATGTTGTTGTGTGGTCAGTGATTAACGGCAAAATATAGGGTCTATTGACTCTGGATTACTTTGGATGTTGAGAAATTTAGTCGCCGAAACAAGACTGTGAGCTCACTGGCCTTGCCTCTCTTGCGAAACTTCAGAAATTACAAAACGGTACGCGATACAAAAATAGGATACATTTATTTTCTCGGGCTATAAAATTATTTCTTTACTAACATCCGACACGACGGGCATCGACCAGAAGTACAACAAAATACACTTTTAAAAGAAAATTAATGATGATCGGTTCCTACCATGGATTTTTCCACAGTTGGTCTCGAACGTTGAAGTAAAAGGAAGTAATGGTGTTTAAAACTCGGAAACTTGGCACTGAAAGAGAAAGAGTTCGCTGGGGTCTCGGTTTTATATTTTTACGATCGGACTGGTTCGGTTTACGAGTGGTTTGGAGCAGATGTTTAGGGGGTGTCCATTAATTACATGAGGTGTTCATGGCGGGGAGGGGATCAAGCTAAATCTTTCCAAATCTCACTTGGTGTAAACATGACGTAATTTTTTTCTAGTAAAAAACGGTGTAAAATTACGTGAAAGTACCTAAAGTTAAATTAAAGTAAAGAATGTTTCTATAAATTTTATATTACGGCAATATTCTCAAATACTAGTCTTTGCTAGTCTTAAATAAAAGTAATAGAATATTGTGTTTTGGTTTTTTTTTAATAAGCCAACGCATCTACACCCAAAACACAAATTTGTAAAAATGTCACCTGAGATTAGGGGAGGGGGGAGGGAGTTGAGGAAAATCTTACGAAATCTCACCAGAGGGGGAGGGGGGTCAAAAAATCCTCAAAAATAACTCACGTAATTAATGGACGCCCCTTACTTGTTAAGAAAACAAAAAAGTCTTTTTGACATCCACCGAATGTGCCCAGATAATTTATATGAACTTAAGCATTTTAAAACTTGCTTCGAATTTTGACTAAGGAAGGTATATTTTGTACTACGGGGGTTCTCGCAAATGTTAATTTGCAGAAATTTTTAAGAAATAAAAATTACGGGGATTCTTGCGGTAGCTAACCAGTGGAAATCAGCTTGAACTGAAAATTCTTGTAATTAAAGGATAGTAAAATCTTTGGCAAGTTTCTCTCATGCAATATTCTTAATTTTTTTTCATATTGGAATGGAATTTTTACTGAGTTGAAGACGGACATATTAGGTTTCTTTAATCTTTTTTCCAATAGTGAGAATCAATACCGCTACTACAGATAACATTCTTAATCTTTGTGCCCAAGGCGATGCCTGTGACTATTCCATTTTCTAATCAGTTAAGACTTTATGCAGTGTCAGTCACTGAACGTTTTCCAATACGCCTTGCACAAGTGCATGTAAAAACTACAGAGAGTTAGCATTAGTGCGAGAAGAAAACGAATAATATCAGCGTTGCCAGTTTATATCGTATTGTAACGTTTGTGTTTTATGTTGGCTGCCGCATTAGAAAGAATGAGACGCCTACTAAATTGTGGATTAGGTATGCGAGCAAGCATTTTATGAATAAATCAGCACTTGTGAGTACGATGCTTGCTTTACACTGTTATCACACTACAAAATAAATTTTCTAGAAATCACTTTCAACTACAATATTTGCAACTATCAGATAAAATCGTTAAACTGATATTAACTGGCATTAATAATGCAAATATACTTACTTAATGTAATTTTGAAAAACTCTTGTGCTTTTTATAGCCTTTTGTTAAGTAAATTCCGACTCACAAATAAGAATTCTTGTTCTAGGTTTATCCATAATTATGTAGGATAACAATCTTAAAGTGCTTTGTTAACAAAAATGGCCTAGTAGTTGTTAGTCATTGGTGTGGACATATAATATATACCTTTAATAAAAGACTTGACAAAAACATTTTATTTTAAATAGAGCTTAGACAAATATTTTATCGAATATTTTCAGGGTTACTTAAAATTTTCGGCATCTCTTTTTATTGACATCGATGTATATTTTTAATGACTTATTACGATGAGACAGATTAAAAATTGGTGCTAGGTTTTTCCCCACGTAAGAGCAATAAGGAATTTCAGCCGTTAATTGCATTTTTGCCATTTCACACATCTTACAAATTATATTTTTCGTTGCATTTATTCTAAAAACTTTATAACCATAGTCACGTGCTAAATTCCTAGATTCATTTATTAACCTTAACATGATTTCATTATCTTTTAATCCCCGTTTTACGAACATATTCGCCAATTCAAATACTTTTTGAACGTCATAGCGACACCATAATTTTGGAAATCTTTGAACGTGAGCTTGAAAAAATAACCAATGTTTCATCTTTTGACACTCAATGTTAGAAGCCAATTTTTCTTTTAAATCCGGATCCCACGGATTGGAAGTTTCATTAATAGCTGCACCAACTATAGATCCATCATGTTTGCATCTTGCAACTAACGTTATTCCTTCGGCCATATTTTTCAATGCAGTTTCATCTATGATAGCGTTAGGTCTAATTCCTAATGTGACACACGTGGGTTCATTCTTATAAAAATGTTCATGCATAATTTTTAATATTGGACGATAATCATCTTTATTCGCTTTTAATATTATGTACTGTGAAAATTTATATCGGTTTTTTTTGCTTCTTAAAATCGAAAAATTGCATGCATTATTAGGTTTTGATTTACTGAGAAGTTTAAAACATATTTGTCCAAAAATTGAAGTCATTTCACGAAAAATTTTGATGTCTGTGACATAAATAAAAAATCTACATAACCTCTAATACATTCTTATTTCATTATTGAACCATATTTAAAAGGAGAAAATGGAGTGTAGAGGACAAGAAGATAATCTCATGATTGTTTATAGCAAAAAGTCTCCTCCAAAAAGCTGTAAATAAGGTTTTAGAAAGTGGCCAGAAAGGCGCTTACGTACTAGAAGGATCTAGTCTAACGGTACGTTTACATCTGACATTTATTGCATGATATTTGTCTGACAGTTGTTTAGTCCAGTGTAAACACCCAAAAATATATGTCCGAGAGAAATTTTTGTGTGTTTACACTGGACTAAACAACTGTCAGACATAAATCTCATGCAATAAATGTCAGATGTAAATGTACCTTAAGGAAGGGTGTGATCCAATGACAGTTTAGATATGGCAACAATGTAGGTCTGTTGTCATTTTCAGGGTGAATGATTCATATATCGTTATATAGATTGCTCAAAACGAGTCGTTTGCGAGCGGCCATATTGCCTGGCAAGTGTTCATTAATTTGAATCTGTTTAGTAAAACTGTGTTTTAAAACCAATTTCCAACTTTTGAGTAGTAAAATTAAGATTACCTACATTTTAACTTCAAGGCATATGCTTATGTTTATTTTTAAAAACATGCAAGATCAATCTATATAACTATCTATATGAGTGATCCTGTCAAATCACGAGGTTGACAGTATTGCCATAATATAACCAATCATTTCCTACGGGTAGCTATTTTGTTTGTAATTCCTAAAATGTAAATTATACGACGAAAAGAATATTTTTATACAAGCGTCTAGTACCGAAAACAACTTTGGTGCTAGGAGCGAAAATTGAACTGTCATTTTATGAAAAGCCCTGTTGCCATTTCAGCTGTGTCAGTGTCATTTGAGTGTCATTCGTGATCGGTCATTGGCATTGCGATTGAGGTCGTGTTTCGTAATCTCAATAGAAAAATAAATAGGCAGTTTCTTGAATTTAAAAGTGTTGTATATAGTTTGTAAATATACAGAAACTATTTAAATTGAAGTAGTTATAAGTGTTTATAAGTTTGTGTATACCACAACTTTTGATCATGGAACAGAAGCAGAGCAAATTAGGCTGCATTAAGTGTGAAAAGACATTCACTAATTTGTCGAATTAAAAAAAAAACATGATAAATATTGCGAAGACACCCTTTTTTTAAATACAATTTTTTTTACAGAACTTACATTTTAGGCTTTAGGAAGGAGAGTATTTTTCAAATAAATCACCGGAAACCCCATTAATTAACGTTTTTTTTAATTTTACATATTAAAGGCTTATGAGAATCATTAACGCCCGTATGCACCGTACACGTTTAATCCAGATCAAGGGTTTAATCGCGTTTATTACCATTTTTAGCTATGGTACTAAACGCGATTAATCCCTTAATCTGGATTAAACGTGTACGGTGCATACGGGTGTAAGTGATCATTTGTGTAAACTTATTAGGCAATCCAACGACCTGTCAAACTGCTGACAAGTGGGAACTGACATTTAGATATGGCAACCCTGTGAGCCTGTTGTCATTGACAGGGTCAATGATACATGTGTTATATATATTGCTGAAAAGCGGGTCGTTTTGCGAGCGGCCATATTGCCTCGCAAGTGCTCATTAATCAGAATCGATTTTGCAAAAATGTGTTTACAAACCAATATTTAGCCTTTTAATATAGTAAAAAAAATAATTACCTACATTTTTACTTCAAGGTATGCGCTTATATTTAATTTGAAAAATATGGATGATCAATATATGTAACTATTTATTTCATTGACCTTGTCAAATCACCAGGCCTACAGGGTTGCCATCATTTTGCCATATATAACCTGTCAAAACCCACTGGTAGCCATTTTGTTTGGAATGCCTAATTTATTAGAATTTAGAATTATAGGTCTTTTCCTTTGCATCGACAGTGTAGCACTGAGCTACGTCACTTCTGAAAATATTGTTCCATCCATACAATTTGTATAAATGGAACGATATTTTCAGAAGTGGTGTAGCTCAGTGCTACTCTTTCGATGCAAAGGAAAAGACCTTATATGTCATGCTCTGTCAATACAAATTAGTGCGGTGTCCAATTAAAATCAACAAAAAATAAATATTAAAAAATGCCTTATTCTGGACATAACATATCCATATTCTTTAAAAAGCAGTTCTATTAATTTATTTCCGGTCACACCCGATGATTTATTTATCCATTTTTATTGAATTGTTGTAGTACATGTTTTAATTATTAATATTACGTCATCTATAAAGTAATAAACAATAGATCTTCTCCTGTGCATCAAAAGTGTAGCACTGAACTACGTTACTTCTAAAAATATGGAACGATATTTTCAGAAGTTGTGTAACTTATTAGTGCTATACTTTCGATGCAAGGGAATAGACCTAGTGTACTTTTCGAAAACTTTGAAGCATAATTACTTTGTGTTATCCAAAAGTTTTTAAAACTTTTCTGAACCAAGTGATTTTTATTTGTTTGACAACAAGAGGATAGTTGAATTAGTTTAATTTGTGCTAGGTTAACTGTGACGTTACTAGGTGGATACCTACTTTTAAGGCATTTCCACAGAACAATTACTTTTAGAATGGAAACTGCAATGTTAAAATTTGAGACAGTTTTGTAACACCCGGTGAGCGTTCTTTGAACTATTTGGCGGAAGTGGCGCCATCTCGCGGTCACTTTAGTTAACACAAAACGCGGGAACATTCAAAATGGTCCTTCAAAATTTAGTTTAAAAGTGGTAGTCAAATTAAGATTTGTTCATACCAACTCCTTTTTTACGTTTATTGTAGCAATAAAATTATATTTGTTACAATAAAGCAAAAAATGAGTAGTATGAACCAATCCTAACTTGACTACAAGTTGAAATATTTTTACAAAAAATTAAAAAGCATGATCAACAAAATTAATTTATTAAAACAAAAAAAAACATACAAAATAGAATAATTAAATGTAGCGTGTTAATTAGCTGGAAAGTTAAGTCATTGTCCACAGAGGTTGAAGAGTTTTATCTAAAACAAAAAATAAATATTAATCAACTTATAAATCAAGAAGGGTACAGGAAGAAAAAAGCAGCTAAGCCACATTTTTATCAAAATTGAACTGGTCCGCCCTATTTTGTAAAATACCAGTATTAGCAAATGCAAAACAGTGCATTTAAAATTATGTCCAAGGACTTTCCTACTGTTTGTTTGTCATTTTCAGTATTTAGAATAAAAAATTACAACTGCCTGGTAAATTAAGTGGTAAACTACAATATAATCAGGCAACATTTAAACAAAGTAACATCTTTTTGTAATCAATTACATTAAAGTATCAAAAGTTTGTATTTAGTCAGTCTAAATTAAATTTGGTTTTCTGAATATTTTGGTAATTGTGACTAGGCCCCTTTTTTTCTGAACCCTTCAAATCTGTTGGGGAGCACAGAAAGTGAGGCATAAATAAAAAAAGGTATACTGACCATTACTTCCCAGACTAGGCTATTTTGTCTTCCACAATCCAATATTGCCATTCCAAACGGCTTGAAGAAAGTTTGTACTAGAACAAATAAAAAACAGTAAAAGTAACAATCTGAACTAAATCAATATAAAAATCAAATGTGAGGCATGAATACAAAAAGTACAGTGACTATTACTTCCCTGACTAGGCTGTTTTTGTCTTCAACGATGCAATACTGCCACTCCAAACGGCTTGAAAAAGTTTGTACTAGAACAAATAAAAATACAGTTAGATCGCTGCGTGCACCAAGAACTTTAAACATATCTTCAAAATGTTTATCACATACTAAATAGTTTTTACAAATTTGTTGTTTTATTCTTGAAAAATGAACTGGGAACACCCAATACTCAAATTTGAAATAAATCGTTATTAGGATTTCAGAGTGTTTACAAAACAATTTGGCATACAACAATACGATATATTACAGCTTTTATAACTAAAAATGACCACAAAAATTTAAAATAAGCTCAATCGTCAGCAAGATCAAGTACACAAATTGAACATTTAAAACACAATTGAACAAGACCAAGTTGACAATACAATAAACAATTATTTACAAAATACTTACTATTTATTCATCCAGGATCCAGAGCACACCCAAATACAAACAAATAATAATTATTGACAATATGATATTTGATAATCGCAAAAAAATACGTACAATGGCAAATGTCATTCACCGCGAGGTAATCGATAATGGATGCCTGACAATGACAAATGACACTCCCACTCTTTCCACCATCAATTGTAGATTTCTGTAAATTGTTGTGTACAGCGCCATCTAGAATCTGTTCTTTGAAACAAAAATATAGTTTCAGCTCGGGCTATACCAGTTACCGATACCTGGGCATTTCTTTATAAACTTACCACAACCTACTTGGTTACAGTATTGTGGTTACTGTGGTGACGTCACACATACCGTTGTAACCTATTATTTAATGTCATATGTCAAATTTAATTTAAGTTTGGGAATTTCTAAACGGAATTTTAAATTTAAGAAATTTAAGGATGTTTTGATTTTGTTAATTTTTATTATAGTAAGCTTATAAAGTAATGCCTCGTTAGATGTAACATATGACGTCACCAGCGTAATGCTCTGGTAATATACGTATGTTCTGGTAAGCTTACAAAGGAATGCCTTTTAAGTTATCCCATTTAAAATGTACATCGATACACCTATTTTTTAAATTACGACATTTAAAATTTTGATTTATTTTATAAATTTTTATCCAAAACGCTTATTGTAAACCTATCAAAATTCAAAACAATAAAAAGTTCCCTGTCACACCTACACCATAAAACCACGCTCGTCTTCCCACGTCCTAACTACCTTAGAAGCAAAATAAGGCCTTTGAACCATCCTAAGTTATATAGATCCTTTATCCATAAATTGTTCTCAAATTTTTTTGTACATACACCCTTTATCTTCTGAATACTCTTTTAATTATTATCAGATTCTGCTATTTTTAAACCTATAGCACACATAAAGTCATTTTTTTAACAAATACGACATAGGCGCTTTATCCATTCATGTCTTCAATTATGAAAACAATGAAGTTGTGGATATGTTACTTATTTATGGCGAGTGTCTTTAAAATGCAGCTGCATCGATGTTGTACGCTATATACACGTTCCCTTTAGAGCCTGTCCTAGTCCCAGAACTTTTATTATTCTGCTTCAACGGACTATATAGGGATACAGGTGATTTGTGGGAATATTGTAGAGGACATGTACAGTCGAAGTGAAAGGTGACAACTCTGAACATATTATTTAATTTAAATAGGACCGTATTGGATACATTTTGGAATAAATCAATTTAAATTTCTTATTTTTGAACAAGTTATTTATTTCAATGATTTCTGAACACTTAAAAAAGGATCAACATAGGATTCACCATGTATACGTATAAAATATTCCGATATATTATAAAAAAATTTAACAATTTTTTTCATCAAGTTGTTCAAAGAAAGATTTTATTTAAATATAATATTTTATGAATTTGCTTACAATAATAATACAAAATTTAAATAAATATTAACAATTAAGTACTTAGTTGGTAAATATAATTTATTTTAAAATTAATAATTGTATTGATCTAAAATCGGAGGACATGTACATACTAAATGTTTATCACCATATATATCGTCAATTCTGGCCACGGTAGGCCACATTTTTGTGTCCGGTTTTACAAATGTAGCAGGAAAAGCGGCTTGTTCTCTAGAATAAGGCCTCTCCCAAGAACTACTTATTACTTGTTCCTGTGTATGCGGAGCCATCTTTAATGGATTAATTCTTCGATCAGATAGTCCTGTTTCAATATCTTTAATTTCGTTTCTGATAGATATAAGCGAATCACAAAATCGATCAAGTTCTTGTTTGTCTTCAGATTCTGTAGGTTCTATCATCAATGTACCAGCTACAGGCCAACTCATTGTAGGCGCATGGAAACCATAGTCCATTAGCCTTTTGGCGATATCGGCCGCTTCAATGTTAGCTGTTTTCTTAAATTCTCTTGTATCTATAATAAATTCGTGAGCGACTAAGTTTGAAGTTGGACACTTAAATAAAGTTGTGTAATAAGGTTGCAATATTTTTGACATATAATTTGCGTTTAAAATAGCAATTTGCGTTGCTTTTCTCAAACCTTTAGGACCCATCATCTTGATATATGCCCATGATATGGGTAATATTGCACTAGATCCATAAGGAGCAGAACTTACAACACCATAATTAGTAGCATCATCTCCAAGAGGATTTATCACAGGATGTCCAGGAAGGAAGGGTGCTAGATGTGATTTAACACCAATAGGGCCCATGCCAGGACCACCTCCTCCGTGTGGTATGCAAAAAGTTTTATGAAGATTCAAATGAGATACATCACTACCATAATCTCCTGGTCGACATAGTCCTACTTGAGCATTCATATTTGCACCATCTAAATACACCTGCCCTCCATTTTCATGTATAATATTACAAATATCAGCTATTCCCTCTTCAAATATTCCATTAGTTGCAGGATAAGTAATCATGAGACATGATAAATTGTCTCTGAATTTTTCAGCTTTAGCTTTTAATAAATCTATATCAACAGTGCCATTACTACGAATTTTAATTGGTTCTACTTTCATACCTGCCATTTGGGCACTGGCTGGGTTGGTTCCGTGTGCACTTACCGGAATTAAACAAACGTCTCTGTGAGATTCACCTCTAGCTTGATGGTAGCAATGTATTGCTCTTAAACCAGCGTACTCCCCTTGTGCTCCGCTGTTTGGTTGGAAACTAATTTTATCATAACCAGTTATTGCACAAAGATCTTTTTCTAGTTCGGCAAATAATTGGTGATAACCCACACATTGCTCTATAGGGGCAAATGGATGCATGTCAGTAAAATGTTTAAATGAACAAGGCATCATTTCGGTAGTGGAATTCAGTTTCATAGTGCAAGATCCCAAAGGAATCATACTATGAACCAATGAGATATCTTTATTTTCTAATACCTTCATGTACCTGACTATTCTAGTTTCGGAATGGTGCGAGTTAAATACTGAATGCGTAAGGAATGGCGAAGTTCTCTTAAAATCACTTCGATATAGTGCTCTGTCTCTAATTTTGGGATCATTTATAAGGTTTTGTATATCTAATGAGCTACCAAATGTATATAAAATGTCGTTGACATCATCAAACGAAACCGTTTCATCCAAAGCTACTCCCACAGCTCCATCGGTGTAATATCTGTAGTTAATCTTTTTTTCATCGGCTCTGCTTTTAACTTCCTGAAGATTTAATTTTGGATAAACTTTAAGGGTATCAAAGAAATATTTGTTGCTCAGGGTGTTTCCGTCTTCTTGTAAACCATAACATAATGTCTGAAATAGAAAAAAAATGTAATTAATGATCCTCTTTACAATAAAATATATATAAAACAAAAAATAAACATTAAAGCATTTACCAAAGTCGTGTTATGCACTTTCGTTGCGATATCTTTGAGACCTTGTGGCCCATGGTAGACAGCGTACATTGCGGACATATTTGCTAGTAACGCTTGTGCAGTACAAATATTACTTGTTGCTTTATCTCTTCGTATATGTTGTTCTCTAGTTTGGAGAGCTAGTCGATAGCCATCTCTACCTGCCGCATCCCTTGTTACTCCAATCATTCTGCCTGGCATAAGTCGAACCTAGGAAATAAATGGTTTTGTTAAATTACTATTTAAATATGAGATTCAAATCTAATTAAATTAAAATGGGTGATATACGATATAATAAAGTTTCAATTATTTTGGTATAAAAGTTTGAATTTTCATAATACTAGATTAGATTTGAAATGAGTTGGACATTAATTGTCCTTGTTCACCGCGAACTTTTCAGATCAATTCTTCATCTGGAATGGTATTTTTTATTAGATTTAGTAGCTCTGACAGTGGTTCCCGCATGTATCTAGCTTTTCTCTAGTGTTATAAACCTCAAATTAGAGAGGCCTTTACACTGGCCCACATTATATGGATTAATGTTTCTATTTCTCATTTTCTGAACAATGTTGCTTCTTCTACTGGATTAATGACACTCATGTACCTTCTTGGGTGACAGTGTTTAGTAAGATGACCTACTGTTATCCTAAAGATTGGTCATTTTTGATCTAGTAGGTATTTCGTGAACTTGGTTGACGGTTCCTTGGCCTGTCTCAGTCCTGTATAGGTGTTCCACCATTCCTGAAACTCTTTACTGCATCCACTGTTTGATGGATGCATTGCACAATGCCTTAGAAACTCCACAGAAGGGTTTGTATCCTGCCATGACCTTATCTGAACCTTCTTGGGCTAGTTCATTGCTCTGATAACCTTAGTGGTCTAAGGTCACATTAGATGTTAAATATTATGTTAAAAATTATTCTTTTTAAATGCAACTTATATAACTTCCACTTAATATACATTTTTTATACAAAATTCTTACCAATGATTGGTTGCAAGCAAAGAATCCTGCATGTGGACCCCCATAACCTAAAGGAACTCCAAATCTTTGCGACGTACCTATGGCAATGTCAGCTCCAATCTCGCTTGGTGGCCGAAGAATCGTAAGACTAAGTAGATCGGTGGCACAACAAACCAAAGTTCCTTTAAATTAAAGAAAATAAATTTAAATTTATAAAATATAGAAATTAAAATACGAGAATCAATACAAATAAGTCCATAATTTAACTATTTTAACTACTTGCCATTAGTATGTGCATCATCAGCAACAGCATCCAAGTCAAGAATATTCCCTTCGGTGTCTGGATATTGAAACAAAATACCAGCAACGTCTCGTCCAGAAAAATTAGCTTGAAATACATCTACTACTTCGACGGTTAATCCTAATGATTGACATCGAGTTTGAACCACTGAGATAGTTTGAGGATGCAGTAAATGTGAAAGATAGAGCTTCTTTCTCTTGTTGTGCCTGTAACATAATGCCAGAGCCTCGGCGGCCGCTGTTCCTTCATCTAATAAAGAGGCATTGGCTACTTCTAACCCAGTAAGGTCGCTTACCATAGTTTGATAGTTGAGGAGCCCTTCTAGACGACCTTGTGCAATCTGGAATGAATCATTTAGTTAAACAGTGGAATATTGGTAGATGGTAGATTATAAAAACAATTTCATATCGGCATTTTTAACCAATAAGAAGCTTGCTGTGATTATACCAGATGTTTTAATGAACTTGAATATAAATTTGTAATCTTTATCGCGTCGATTCAGTTTTTTTTATTGTTTTGTTGTTTTTTGATTTTAGCAAAGCTCTTGAACATTTTTTTTTATTCCGCATATTAATCTTAATATTGTGAATTATTAATTTTTTCTAATGAACTGGGGAACTAGGGATTCAGTAGCTTTAATAATTCTAAATAAAAAAAAAAACAGATCTTTTGGTAGCTGGTTTATATATGAGAGGATTTGATGTATTTCAATTAACAAAAACCAAAACAGTTTAAGGTTAAACAAAAGGATTAATTATAATTTGGCTTACCAAGACATATCCAATAAGAATAAGCTGAGTAATAATATTTATGTTATAAAAAGTATTAATGGTCACTGTGTATAATATAAAGTTAATACACAGTTACCAATAATACTGTTTATGATAATATATGTAATGTAACGATAGTCTAATTTATTTATAGTTTAATTATTTAAAACACACTATTTTCAATTTATTTGTGACGTACTAATTAATTTATATAATACTTAGACACTAACTCACAATTCTAATTTATTTATTACAATTTAATTTTTCAGTCCAACTCTGCATCGACCGGCATTCCTAGAAGATTCCGTAGTTTCGAGCATGAGTCGGGTGGTAAGCTGAAGGTCGCTTGCTTTAGAGTTTAGACAGAGATGGCTTACGAATTTTCATGACATTATCCCGTCCTTAAGAAATAGTTCCCCCCGGAACTGAATGGTTGTATTTGCAACTGGATTCTATTTTACAATTTCCAGTTGCATAGAAGTAACAAGGGACAGTCTTCGTTATAACCTGAACACTGGGAGAATGGCTGCAGACCAGTATTTCAACCTGGGTATCTTGAAAGATTACTTATACCATGTTTCTAATGATCTTCCAATTCAGCTGGTTGCTATCTATCTTTGGCATAGCTAGTTTCTGTACATTGGACTCCAGTACATGCTCCCTCAGACTTAGTAATGCTTCCCATACATCATGATAGGTGGATCGATCTCAGAAGATGTTCTTTGTTACCAAATAGAAAAGATAACGCGATCCATCTTGAAGTTTTAGTGCTTTTCCAGGGGCTGGTAATTGATTTTGAAATTCTGGCAATCGACCAAACTTCTTCCGGAATACAGATGCCAGTCCTCAAGCGTCGTAGATGTTGGAGGAAGTGCTATGGACCAGTGAGTAATCTTAAGGAACCGTGAGCAGGTCTTGTTGTTGTTTGGTTGTAATACCATATCTTGCTTTTCCGGTACCTCCATATGCACCCATAAATTATTCAAAGACAAGGTCAGGTGTTTCTTGAAGTTGTTTACTTCTTCCTCTTCATGGTCGCCCTTAAATGGTGCCAGCCGGTTTTGGTATACAACCTTTGGTTTACCATTCAGGATCTTACTTATACGCTAAATGACATCATTCATTTTTTATTGATGAGGTATGGGCCTTCTCAAGACCTTTGAAGCTTTGGAGAATAACCCTTTTGTCTTTTTGGGTTATGGAGCCAGACTCGCCTTCCTTGAAACATTCTTTTGCGGCTTGGGTATCGTATCGCTTCTTCATCTGTTACTGGCGATTTGAAGATGCGAGCGGACCAATTCATGCATATCGTCAATTTTTCTTCGTAACTGGATCACATAATCTTCACCAGCTACATCTTCTCCAGGTCGGCATCCAAACTCGAGGTCGCACGGTAGTCTCATCTCACACCCAAAGAGGACCTTTGCTGGTGTTTGGCTTGTTGATTCATTGACAGCGGATCTATAAGCCATTGCAAAGAGCGAAAGATACTGATCCCAATCTCGCTGATGGTTTGAAACCAGTTTTGACAGATTTTTTTTTAATGGTCTTAATCATTCGCTCTACCATTCCATCAGATTGTGGGTGCAATGCTGTGGTTATGGTTTTCTTCATGCCCAGTCTGTCACATATTTCACGGAAGAGTTGGCTTTCAAAATTTCTGCCTTGGTCACAGTGGATCTCCAAGGGCACTCCAAATCGACAAATAAATTCTCTTATCAACACATCTGCAACAGGAATTTTCATAACAGTAACTTATCCTATGTCATGGTAAGTCAAATTATTATTAATCCTCTTCTTTAACCTTTACCTGTTTTGTTTTTTGTTCAATTTTCATTTTTTATATCAAATATTTTCACTTCTCAATACATTGACTCGTTAACAATCCATTTAGATCTGCCTGAAACTGAAGTAACTTTTGTAAGACATAAAGGACCCTTGTTTTCCTGCTTCCTTCGTAATTAATCCCAACCAATCTCACCTTCACCCTAAATTTTATACAGCTTCTTTGCACCACAGTCGGCAAAAACTGACAAGCACTGAAATATTTTTCAATTTGTAGTCGCGAAATCGATTCTAGATCTTAAGAATTTATTAACTTTTCCTAGTTATAAATGTTTTTAAAAGTCGGCAGATTTCGACTAAAATTGGTGCCTGAGAAAAAAAGTCCCACTCGAACGGAAATAATAAAAAGCGTCCTTTTGGTTTGTATAACTGGACCATTTTAAATCCTTAAAAAGTTAATTCAATTTTTGCATATTATTTGCCTTTAAAACGCGAAATAAATTTTAAACGAATAATCAAGTGTCCAAACAGTCTAAAATTATTATTTACATCTATGTCTGAAATTGTTTAGATCTCTTAAAATGTTTTATATACATGAAAACTAGACTTTACGACTCAAACAAATATATATTCTTTTTCAAAATACCTAACGCACGCTCCTGACTTGAAGTAAACATTCAGGTAATTATATTTTTTATTTCAATTCCTACTTTTATCAAATATGAGTGTTAAACCCATTTGGGCCAGACCGATTCTGCCTGGTGAGCACTCAGCAAGGTAATATGAACTACTGCAATATGACCCGCTTTTCGTCGTCTTTATTATGGATGAGCAATCTGTATAAACTATATATGTCATTGGACATCGCCTGTTACTTTGACATTTTCATGATTTCATCTAGCATGCGTATGTCAACAAGCTATCTTTAATTTCTGCCAATGAGAAATTTCTTCCCATTTTGATTTTAAGATAGCTTAGATGTGCGTCTGTCTGCTTCAAACGTGATTTTACTTGTTAAATATCAACTAAAAATTAATATTTTTATTGTGAATAATATCATGTGTTTCTTACAGACAATAAGAGTTTTGAAATCTAGGTATGTAAGCTATTTTTTCTGTAATTGTCAAACTGTAGGTAGGTAGAGTCTGACGCTTTGAATATTTCCTGTTAAATATTTGATATATAACTGAAAATTATATTTCGAAACTAATAAATGTATTTACTTGCATTACGTATAGGTAAATACATTCCAATTTCGAAAATGCTATTTAGTTTAATTTATCGAAGAGATAATCTTCATATTTTCAAGTCAAATCTAGTATGTGTTCTTTGTCATTTCACGGATTTTGTTAAAATTTCGTTGAAGTAATAATTGCGAAATAAAATAAGTAAGGTTATAATTTTTTTGTAGTGTTTTATCGATCTAAGAAGATTTAAGAGAATAAATCAATACTTTTTGATGTAAAAGGTAATTTACTACAGCGTTTTTTTTGCTTCTTTATTATAAGGTATTTTTTCTCTAATAACAAAAACATACTTATATCTATAACTTTTATTTGGTATTTTACTACAATACCTGGTTAAGAATTTATACGAAATAATATAATGAAAGTTTTTATAAATTTGTTTTGGGTTTTTGTATATTGTAGGTATTTAGATAAATATAGAAATAATGTGTAGATGATATAAAAAAAAGGTAGGTAGCTATGTACCTGTCAACTTCTATTTTGTCAATAAAAATGTATTAGTCGACATTAGTATCTAAACAGAAAAATATATGTTTAAAACTTACTTATACCGAATGTCCCATTTTTTGCTATTTTGAATTTCTGTTAAAATAATTATTTTAAAGTACCCATACTTTTCTGAAAATTTGGTAGATTGTACTCAACCTAGTAATCAAAAGTGTCAATTGGCCTAACTCAATCATATGACTAGTTTTTGATATAGATACGGGGTGGGATGTTAAAATTAAAAATTGCTCAATTTTTCGGAATTTTTATTTTCAAACTTACGAGCTAGATTGAATGTCTGCTGCATACACACGTTTATTACATGTTTTAGTAATAAATAAATTAGTACCTACGTACAATTTAAAATATTTTTATATACAGGGTGATTCACAAATGTATGATAGTAATTTTCTACTGTGACGTTAGGAAAGCATATTTTCAAAAATACTACTCAGTATGGTATTTTGGCGACAAAATATTGCAGAGTTCACATTTTTTATACAGGGTGTTTTATAAAGAGAACCACAACAATATATATTTTTTTTAAGGATTAATTCAAAACCCTGTACTAGAATTGATTTTTGGGAGAGGTAATACCACTAAAATATGTATACCTCTAAGCTTCAAAATATACAAGGTGATTTACTTATTGAAAGGTATTCTATTTTAAGAAAAGTACAAACATTACAAACAACAAGGGCGTAGATAAGAGGGGGTAATGGGGGTAATTTACCTCCCCCAAGCCATGGTCAACATCATTATTTTTTCAAATGTTATATTAAACAAGAATAGAGAGATAAAATAAATACAATAAAACAAAGAGTTTCTCAAACATTGTCATCAATAATAATATTCCTGCAAATTGAAAATTAAAATATATATACAGGGTTGTTTAATATTTTAATTTGTGTTATAGACACGCAAACAAGTTTCAAATAAAAGTTATATAGATTTAGCGTTTTAGCCTAACAAATAAAAATGTATATTTTTTAAATAGAATACAATAGTATTTTATTTTAAGAATGGCTTGGGAATATTGTATTTAACCCTAGAATGTTTTTAAAAATATTATAGTTTCGCCAAGGAATTAATTTTTTTTTTAAATTATAGTATTATGCAAATCCCAAATTAAATTATCATAATTTAGGTAGGTAGGTAGGTGATACAACTGGTTTATTTTATACAGAGTGTTTTGAAACGTGTCTTAAATATGGCTAATTTTAAGTTCAATTTACTCATTTTTTTCAAATGCAACATATTATCTTGGCATAAAATTCCTTATAAATTTGCCTATACAACAATACCAATATGTTAGTCAGTAACACATATACAGGGTGTTCCATCAATGCTTAGTTGATCGATAGCTGTTTTATATTATTAGAAATACGAAGAAATGTTTTAATATAAAAGTTGTATGATCATATTTAACAAATATTCTTAAATATACAGGGTGGTCCATAAACGAGGTGCTAACCAAATCTGTACTTTTCACAGCAGAACACCCTGCAGGTAGTAATACATATTTGATTGTTTTTACATCGTCAAACAATTTCAATTGTCTTCATTCCTTTGCTATGTTATATATAGGGTATGTCAAAACGTTAGGTTATGATTTTCTCAATTTTTTAAATGGAATACCCTGTGTGTTATACCACTAATTAATTAGTGGTATGACATATAGAGTATTTCATTTAAAAAAAATTAGAAAATAGTTACCCCTCATTTTGAAACGGGCGGCACAAAATTGATCGGAAAACATTTGATCGAATTGGAAATTTGATCGAAAATACATTTTATCGAATGTTATTTGATCGAAAATACATTTGATCGAATAACATTTGTTCGAAGATATATTTTATCGAATAAGATTTTATCGAAAAGACAATAGATCGAAAATTCATTAGATCGAAAGGACAATATATCGAAAATCAACATTAAAAATAGTAAAATATTAAAAAATCATACGATACCGTGCAGCCATCCGTCCAATCCATACTACCGGAGAAACTAAACTCAGCGGCTATCAAAATTAGGTACTAATGGCAAATTTTTCGATAATCTCAAACCTCGTTTACCAAATTTTTATCATTACAATACTGTTGATTAAAAAATTAATTCGCACAAAATATGAATTTCAATAAGGTCGAGTTGTCTCCCGATGGAACATTTTAGATAAATTATTTTAGGTTTTTTTTATAAAAAATTTGATTAATTTACCTAACCTGTGCGACATGGAGCCGTCGCGATTTGCCTCCCAAAAAAATTACAGAAAATCGAGAAAAATAAAATAAATAATTAATTTACCTAACCTGTGCGGCCTAGAGCAATTTAATTTTAACTGATTTTTATAACAAACTTACCTCACCTGTGCGGTCTGGACCCATTGCGGTTTGCCTCGCAAAAAAATTATTAAAAAAATGAGAAAAATAACAAATTTAACTAATTTACCTAACCTGCGCTATTTAAATTTAACTGACTGCTCTTGCATAAGTTAGGTAAGTTAGTTAAGTTTTTTTATTGTAAAAAATTTAATTAATTTACCTAACCTGTGCAGCCTAGTGCCATCGCAGTTTGCCTTGCAAGAAAAATTATAGAAAAATAGGAAAAATGAAAACAAAAATTGTAACTAATTTAACCTAACCTGTGCGGCCTGGAGCCCTTAAGGGTTGCTCCGCAAAAAAATATACAAAAAGGGAATAATTAAAATTTAACTAGTTTACCTAACCTGTGCGGCCTGGAGTAATTTAACTGCTCTGACACAGGTTAGGTAATTTAGTAAATGAATTTAGTTAATTTTTTTATAAACAACTTAACTAACATTAACTTGTGTTTGCCTCGCAAAAAATATAAAAGTTAGGTATGTTAGTTAATTTTTTTTATTTTTTGTATGTTTGTTTTTGCGAAGCAACCAACGATGATTCTAGGTCGAAGAGGTTAGGTAAAATAGTTAAAATGTTTGTTTTAATTTTTCTTATATTTCTATAATTTTATGTATCTATATTTGGTTTTTCGATCAATTGCTTTTTTTATCAACTCTATTTTCGATCAATTTTCTTTTCGATCATTGTTCTTTTCGATCATTTTTCTGTTCGATCATTTTTCTTTTCGATCAATTGTTATTCGATTAACTGTTTTTTCGATCAAATGCATTCGATCAAATGTTTTCGATTAATTTTGTGCCACCCTTTTGAAACACCCTATATACAACATAGCAAAGTCTATTAAAGTTGTTTGACGTAAACAAGTAAACATAAAAAAGTTTGGTCAGCCCCTCGTTTATGGCCATTTATTAAACATGGTCATACAACTTTTTATATCAACTCTGAAATGGAATGGTCTACAAATATCAACCAGAAGTCCCTTTTGTGTGACAAATGGCGTGAGAAATAATTATTAATCTTTAAGTTTTATGAAATATAAGGTGTTCAAAAGGTTTCCTTAGCCCTTGCTTCTACGCCAATGGGTTATGATAATTTATCGAAATAGAGTGTGTTAACTAATAATAACGATTAACTAACATATACATATTTTATTTTAATTAATAAATATATCTAATTTGCTATTTCTTCTTCTTTTCAGTGCTTTAAAACCAAAGTGTCGAAACGTTATTTGTCCGAAAAAATAACGGGTAGGAGTGTGTTGGAGTTGCTAGTATATACATCAATTTAACTCGGTTTTAAAATTAGTTTTTTTTTCGAAAAGCAACTCATGTGTGTTGGCGTCGTCTATGCCGATGGGACACATGCGCAGAAACATCTTTTTGTCTGTTGCATCGACATCGACGATGTGGTGTATTTGTGATAGTTTCTTCTGACAATAAAGACGTTGGATCTTTAGAACTTTACACCTTTCGAATTTATTTACTGTTGAACAAGTACATTTTGGAAAATAATTCAGCAGTATTTAGTTTTTCGAAGGTATAAATTCTGTACAGATCGAACGGACAAGGCTGCAGAAATACTGGTCGGCGATGGTTTTAGGATTGTTATTAAACTCAAATTAGCTTATTTGGAAAAAAAACCGTATTTTTTTTAATATAAATTTAAATATACTTGTATATAAATATAGGTACAACTATTTATTTTTCTTTAAAATTACTCTAAACATTTTTTTTTATTTAATAAGGAAAGCACTTGGCACTATAAAAAACATTCACTAATTTTAGCAATAGGAAATAATCTTCTTAATTTTTAAGTTAAATATAAAAATGGACGGTCTTAGGACATTTTTTAAGCAAACCCTATATATTTTTTAGAGTTCTATTTTTAATATTGTTATTATACAGTTCACCCTAAAACTTTTATATGCAAAAACTATAATGTAATTTTCTGATTACCAAGTTAAAAAATTTGAGTTCAATAATATCCTGGAAGCATTGAAGGTTTGCTATTGAAACGGAATGCGTCATTGCGTATTGAGGTATGAATGAAAGATCGTCGCCGGGAACAGAAGATATCCGGAATTAAATATACCGGGTGACGCGAAAAAATGGTTTTTGGACCTTGGATGGGAAAGATGAGACAACGAATGGATAATTGGACTTTGTTGACTTCAATTGGAGGTGAGTGTTTAATAATATATAGTAAAATATAGCAAAATATAGTAAAATATAGTAAATATATTAAAATATAGTAAAATATAGTAAAATATAGTAAAATATAGTAAAATATAGTAAAATATAGTAAAATATAGTAAAATATAGTAAAATATAGTAAAATATAGTAAAATATAGTAAAATATAGTAAAATATAGTAAAATATAGTAAAATATAGTAAAATATAGTAAAATATAGTAAAATATAGTAAAATATAGTAAAATATAGTAAAATATAGTAAAATATAGTAAAATATAGTAAAATATAGTAAAATATAGTAAAATATAGTAAAATATAGTAAAATATAGTAAAATATAGTAAAATATAGTAAAATATAGTAAAATATAGTAAAATATAGTAAAATATAGTAAAATATAGTAAAATATAGTAAAATATAGTAAAATATAGTAAAATATAGTAAAATATAGTAAAATATAGTAAAATATAGTAAAATATAGTAAAATATAGTAAAATATAGTAAAATATAGTAAAATATAGTAAAATATAGTAAAATATAGTAAAATATAGTAAAATATAGTAAAATATAGTAAAATATAGTAAAATATAGTAAAATATAGTAAAATATAGTAAAATATAGTAAAATATAGTAAAATATAGTAAAATATAGTAAAATATAGTAAAATATAGTAAAATATAGTAAAATATAGTAAAATATAGTAAAATATAGTAAAATATAGTAAAATATAGTAAAATATAGTAAAATATAGTAAAATATAGTAAAATATAGTAAAATATAGTAAAATATAGTAAAATATAGTAAAATATAGTAAAATATAGTAAAATATAGTAAAATATAGTAAAATATAGTAAAATATAGTAAAATATAGTAAAATATAGTAAAATATAGTAAAATATAGTAAAATATAGTAAAATATAGTAAAATATAGTAAAATATAGTAAAATATAGTAAAATATAGTAAAATATAGTAAAATATAGTAAAATATAGTAAAATATATTAAAATATAGTAAAATATAGTAAAATTAAGTTAAATTAAGTAAAATATTTAAAAAAATAAGTTAATTTTGAGATAAGAATTAGATAATATTATATATTTAACTAAATAGATTAAAAAACTGTTCAATTGAAATTTGAAATTTGTTACCTCAGGTTGATATGGTGTGTATTGCGTTGTCCATCCTGGATTTTCAAAAATATTTCTCATAATTGTATGTGGTACACAACAATTATGGTAGCCCATCCCAATGTACGATCTCCTTAATTCATTTTTTTTTGCTATTTCGGTTATTCTTTTGATGAGTTCATATTCACCTATAAACAATTATATTTTAAGTAAGTTTTAATAAACATTATCTACCCTAAATCAATTTTGACAAATAAAATCTTTAGGGATACATATTTTGTTGCGTTGATACTCCTTGCCTCAATAAATATTTTAAACCCAAGATTAAAAACAGGAAGAATAAAAAAATAAAGGGCTATTGTTGGCTCAATATAGGTGCATATAGAATAGTTTCGTATTATATCTCTCCGAGTTGCAGCATCCAGGAATATGAAAGTCATCTACAGGAAATATAAAATGACATAAGAAGAACAAGTAAGACGACCTAAGACAAATCTTTACCTACGATGTAGTTTCTTCAGGATATAGAAATACTGTGTATTTTCCGAAATTAGTCGTTTTGAAATTTTTGTTGACTGTCATGCCAAAACTGTTATTTCTGACAAAAAGTGACTGTTAATCGTTAACTGAATTTGTTTATTTACAGACAGATAATTATGTACTTTCTGCACACGAAATATACAGATGGAAAATCACTTTCTGATAATTTATTTTTATTAATTATGGAAAATTTGCAAACAATTAAATATTTTCAAATTGTTTATGTATCAAGTTATTTTTACATTGAAGCAATCATGACCGTAGATGATGATAATACGTAAAACTAATTTTTGTTATGAAAATATAAATTTACACAAATTAGGTCATTTTATTAGAAATTACCCTATAAAACCATTTGTAATACAGTTAATAATTCGCAATTCACAAAAAAAACTATAGAGAGGTCACTGCTGGGTTTTATTTTAAAAATTTAATTGTATTTTTTAATTTGAAATCATTTTGTTCTGTTTTAGTTTTTTTAAATTTTGTTTTAAATCTGTTCACTTATTTATTTACAACCATCCTTAATTAGAATTTTGACATTTTTGACACATTATGACACTTGTTAAAGAGTTAAAGATTTCTATAATTATTTGGACTAATTTTATCTCTAGCATTTCCTGTATAGGATCTAACTTGAAGCAAATTCATTCAGAAATCTGTACGATATCCCCAGGGCCGACGAAAGGGGGGGTAGCCGGGACTAATTCCCGGGGTCCGGGCTCAAGTGGGGGCGTCATAAGGGTGGCCCGGCAGCTTTAGGTGAGGACGGAATAGCCTAAATGTTATTTTATTATAATTTTCCAATATTATAACCATAAATGTGTATTGTAACTAAACGCTATTATGAAATTAATGTACGACTGATCTTGACCTAACTGTGAACCCAAAACAAAAATATTTATCACTAGGAATCCTCTGTGATATTATATATAAATGTTTAGCCAATATTTTTATCTCTATGACCCCCTGCAAACATATTTAGCAATTATCAAAGAACTGATTTCATGAGATTTATCTAAAGACGCGTCCAGACTAGTACAATGTAACTGAACATAAAGTTCATAAACAATTTATACAGTGTGTTTCGTAAAGTTGGATCCATATGGGATTTTTTTTAATATTACGAATTAAAAACAAAACGTCGTAGGGCAATCACCTCTGCTTATTTAAAATCCTAAGAGTCTACCTATATCAAAATTGGCTATTGATATTACTTTTCTGTCAAATTAGTAATAAAAAAAATCAAATTTTTAAACAATTTTTTAAATAAAAAAGGCAGAATTTGGCCGATAACTAATGCAGTACCTAGCCAACTTTAATATGCGCTACTTTTTAAGTTTTAAAAAAGCAGAGATGAATGCCCTCCAATCGTAATATAAAAAAAAATCTTATATGTATCCAACATTATGGAACACACCGTATATCAATGCTGTTTAGACCGCTGTAATAAAGTTAGTCGGTTTCTCGTCCACACCAAATATGTTACTGAACTCGCTAGCTAGTATTGCGTACGGTTCAGCCTATTGCATTTTAGATATCACCAACTCAGCCACTGTGTTAAAAATACCCTTTGATGTGATCAATCAATCGCTGGACGGGTGAGTCCGGTAGGGTTATAAATATATCACATCATAGCTGGCACTTACAGTATAGCGAAATTCTTTTGAGTACTGACAGTTTTTGGAGGAGGTGGTTTGGCAAGGAGTTGATTTTATTTTAGGCTATAAAATAATTTTTTTGCTCATTACTTGGCTATATAACTGACCAGAAACCTATGGGACACGAGTTTGTTATTTTATTATCATTAGGAATATTAATTGAAAATGGCACTCAAAACATTTGATTATTAGAAATCAAATGTTTTGCACGCATCCTTTTTTAAATAGTTCTACTAGTTTGAACATGTTTTCGGTTGCAAGTAGTTTCATCTTAGGCGTGCAAAAATAAATGTAAAAAATGCTATTGTTTAAATTATTTTTATATAAAAAAAATATTTGTTTTCGGAAAATTACTGATTAGTTTTACAAGAGTTATTAAATGTATTCTTTACTTTACGAACACACTGTATACCGGTAAACTCGTATATGTATACAATGTGCCAAATATAAATAGGTAGGTAAGAATTTACCAAAAAATTATGTGTAGACAAAACGAATTACGTTGCAACTTACTTATCGGGTCTTCAATATCTAATTTTCCTTCCAATCTTATGTTTTTTGGTACTGCTTTATCCGTTAATTCATTTAAGCTCTGCAAAAAAAAATATATATTAATATATGTAGCATTCATATAAATACTTTAAATTCTTCCCACCCCCTGAAATCTCGCTGCGCCCCCAATGTGTTGAGAACCCCCGGGTTTGTGAGTAATTACAGTAATTACAATGTTTTTTTATTTAAAAACTATTTTGAATTTACTAATTAAATAATGAATACAAGCCAAAGCAATAATTATTTGTGCTACACACTGTTTATCTTCGTGGGTCATCTGCAGTGTGCAATGTCAGTAGCAACGTTGTCCAATTTTTAATAATTCATTGATGTGGTTTCAAATTTGTTAATATTAATAAATGATAGACAAAATTTTGTTTTTTGTAATTCTATACTTTTTAAAATAACGAAAAAATTAAACCCAAAATCAATAAGTACCACATAAAATTAATGTTATTAATAAAAAAACGATGCCCATTGAGGCCACCTTCAGGCAAATTTATGGATCCATCATGTGGTAAATCAAACTGAAGAGCTTACATTTTTTTGTGGTATAAAAGTTGGAGAAACTTAGTAACACATGAATATAATTAAAAAAAAAAAGTTAAAATAAATCATTATCAGAAAACGAAATGTTTTATGGTGACCAAAGAAAGCAAGTGCGCCAATGAAAGTTTAAACCTTTTAAAATATTTATTCACATACATTTACCTTATCTAATAAAAAATATTTAAATTTAATTTACCTTGAAACCCAATGTGTCTAACATTGAACTAACATCAGCCTCCCTAGGACCGATATGTCTACCTGGAAAATCATCTTTTCTCGGAAATAAAGGGCCTTCAGGTCGCGGTGGTCCTGCACTACTTAAAAATCTAATATTAAATATATTCCTAGTTATACTTATTTTTCTATACATTTTTTAGGATTAATTTGTTATAATACTTTCACATCTGTAGTATAAAATATATAAAACAGTAAATCTTGGATTCGTGTATTATAAATTGTTGGCAGGGGGTATAGGTCATTACGCTGATTGTAATAATTATGATAAAATTAAAACTAAAAATATAAATAGTTTCTCAATAATTTAGTATTCTGATAAGTTAATGGTTTTGATCAATTTCTAATGTTAAATACACACGAAAAATGTTGGATTTGTTTATGTTTTAATATTGAAAATTTGAAAGATTTCAAGGCCTGGCGATCCTCCGTCTTATTTCTATATATGAAAAATATAACAGAAAGTGCGCCTATAAAAACAATCTACTTCGGTATTTGGCAATAATTATTACATTTACAAAAATGTAGAAATTGGTCGATTTTCATATGGTCTTGTTCCATTAATCATCTCACTTCTACCACAGCTTATACAATACAGCTCCACAACTCCGTGTCGGCGTCTTTGATCTGGCGGTCGAGAACCAAGCAAGACGGAATGGTGCTATCTCTGTTAGATTCAAGGGAAAAGTCGGGCCCGGATTAAACAATTTTTTAATTATTGAAAAAATTGAAAACCTTGGCGTAATAAGGTTGGTCACATGCCATATTAAATAAGTTTTGGGAAATTACATTTTTAATTTGTTTTAAATCTTTCAAATATAATTTTTAAATATAAATATTACGAAAAATAGCACATCTTTCGGATTAGAGGTAAAATAATTTATATATGGCTAGTAAAATCCTCGTTAACAAATGTTTTGAGCTAAAACAGTCACTTCACGACAAATTGTGGCTTGGATCCATTTTACACCAAGGGCTTCAATTGTTAAAGAATTGTGTCACGCTCGTGGATGCAAATCAAGTGGTACCCCCGTGTCTCTGGCAAGTGTTACTCTTCGCGCAAAGGGTTTATACCTAGATAAACGAATGCTTCGACTGAGGTCTGGGAACTCTATGGTATTTTGGAATTATAAAGAATGTGTGCTTTTGTTTTAACAATATTGGTTATATTTAGATGTATTGTTATTATTTGAAATACAGATTTGTAGAAGTTATACTTTGACAGTTTTTATTAATATAATATATTCAATTTTTATCTGACCATACCGAAGTAGGAAATTTTAAAACTTTATAGTAATGTGAAATTTGAATTACAATATTACAAGATATAACATAATTAGTACTTATTTTAGGTAGGTACTAAATTTGTACTTGGAGAAAGTAATATCGATTTTTACAAGAAAACTTGAAAAGTAAATTAATTTAATTCCTATTTCTGATGTAAAACTTAAACCAAGAAAACAAATAAATTGTAGTTTGTTCAACAAGGGTGGATATGATAGCCATATCACACAAAGACGAAGTTTGAGCACGACATCGTAGGCGGAGAACTCAATCGTCTGATTGTGATATGAACAATCTACTCGATATGGTCAGTATATTTTTTCTACGACCCACTAACGAAAATCTACAAATTTAAAAAATTATTTTAGGTTATTTAGACAAAATAACTAATTTTAAAACAATTTACGAAGTTGACTAATTTATAAAATAAAATAAACATGAAAAATTAATTAGTCCTCGGCCTAGATTCGATCCCGGACTTTTCGCGTGGAAGGCAGATGCTCTGTCTTCATCTTCACCGAAACTTTCAGGACTTTAGTTTTAATACTCGTAATTAAATTAGTATCATGTAGTTTAATTAAAATTTTTTTTTTTTAAATGTGGACACAATAGAAACAAAAATGCTATTATTTATCGAGTCTGCACAAAAATTTTAATGTATATTTAATATCAATAACTAAAATATATATTGACAATTAGTTTAACAGAATTGTCACTTATTTAAAAAATTTTAAATAATAGGAGTTGGGTGACCAAAATATGAACTGTGATTTGTAGATTTAATTTTGTTAAAGTGTTCTTACTACCTAAAATGGATATGAAATATATTCGTAGTTGAACACAATAACATACTTTTTCGTTTTGTAGTATGTGCGTAGATTGGCTAATATCCATGCATAGATTACAAAACGAAAAAGTATGCTATTGCCTTCAATTGAACGAATATATTTCATATCCATTCTAGGTAGTGAGAACACTGCAAAAAAAATAATATCGCCAATCACCGTTCATATTTTGATCAACCGACTGCTATTATTTTTAAAATTTTAAATAAATGACAATTCTGTCAAACTAATTGTCAGTATATTTTTTAGTTATTGAGATTAAACATACAATAAAATAAGTTATTCTTTTGGAAAACGTTAGCATGGATGACTAAAGGGTATTGGGTTAATTAATTCTAAAAGTGTGGTACAAATGTTATTTTTTGTAGCCAATTTTTCAAAATTATAGTGAAATATCTTTTCAATATTGAATATTAGTTCTACAAATTCATCATTTGACAGTTGCAGATTTCCAAATGTATCTGAATTGGCGTTATCATATGCCTTTAAAAAGCAATAAAAAGAAAAATCATCTATTTCAACGTGATCTTTGTTATATTTTAAGACAGGTATCGCAGGAGTGGATCCGCAAGGCTTTTATTAAAAGGTAACCACACACATACCTGATAAAAATTTTCTGTAGCAATTCGTCTTTACAATAATTTAGGGTGTTAATAATTTCATCATAAAATAAAATACAAGGTGTTCCATTTAAAAAACATACATTTTAATTTGCCAGGCAAAAACGTGACACCCTGTATATCCAAAGATATTTTTAAAATATGTAGGTATTTTTCAAATCCATATAACTTTTATTTAAAACTTTCTTGCGTGTCTACAACAAAATAATGAACAATAACGCACTAATGGGACACCCTGTATAAATTATATTTTTAACAATGAAAATTTCTTATAATGTGGTACTTATCGGTTTGGGTCCTTGGGAAAACTAAAGAATGTTTTCTTGCAGGTATAACCCTTATTAAAACAGCTTTCGACTGCACAAACAGAATGATGTCTTTTTTTTCATTCATTCTACTCACAGCTAAAGAGTCACCAAAATAATAACAGTACCTTTAACTCAAACAAAATCTACGAAATTATAGGCTCCACGAAATTATACAATCAACGAAATTATACGCACGACTCAACACCTTACCTAAGTACACTTCTGAACGCCAAAACCGTCTTTTCCCTTCGAAGGCGGAGCTTAAGCGATGCGCGACGAAATCGACGCAAACCGTTGCCGCCAAGAGAGTGTTTTAGCTGTATTGTTAAGCTGTGCTTCTACTTCCTTAATCCCTTAATTTTAAACGGTGAATGTACCATGTGTGGCACATCATTGAAAGTGTAATTTTATAGAAAATGCATCAACATGACTGTTTATTGCATTACTTTTAATTTTAGCGGTGTCTAGTGGAATAAAGAAATTGTTATATATACTGAAAAGTGTGACAGCTAATTAGTAATTTAATCAACAATATAATAGAGCTTGTTTAATGAACCACTGATCTAAATCAATCTATTATCAATCTTATTTTAACCTAAATGAACTAAAAGGTTAAAACTAAGAAATTATTTAAAAGAAGATAATCCACCCGCACATAAAACTGCTGATAAGAGCAAAGAAGAGAAGATAAAGAAGACTTTCAGAAAAATATCTATAGATAGAACACCAAAGCGTCTTAATCCACCACGATTTTAGTTTCTTGTACCTAATTATAATATTATTAGTACAAAAACTTAATACTTTTTTCTTTCAAGGTACGTATCGAGACTCAAAACGCAGGACCTCGTAAATAACATTTTTTGCGAAATTTTATTATGAAATATTCTATAGAATAGATGGTGCCATCTATTGACCAAGTTTGAAGTTAATCCTTTTTTTTAGTAACATAAGTCTCAAAAGTTCTCGGAAAATTTTACAAATAAAACGCACCTACAGTAAGTAACGTCTCATCAATAGGGCTTGGAAAATATGCACTTAAAATGTTCTAAATATGTATGCATTTATGCGTTAACAATAGACAAAACATTCTTTTAAATATTTAAATTTTATTATAGGCTTTTTAAACATATCATTAGATGATTTTACATTTCTATCAATTACATCTAATTAATTATTATTATTAGAATGAAAACAGTAAGTTATTAAATATTTTTCAATGTTTTCAATAGTAAAACATTGCCTTCTATCACTAAAAATATGTTTGTACGCCAAAAATGAATGTTCCACTTCACAAGACGTTATAGGTGCATATTTAAATTAAAAGTGGTGAAATATTTGAATCCAATTCATTATTAAAGTTGTCAGATAAAACATTATTTATGCCCTCTAATGTCTGAAATCCTTTATTATTTAGTAAAACTGATGTAAATTTTCGTGTAACATTAGTTTCCATTAACATAGACTGTTCAATAAAAGATTTTAAATGTTTAACTGTTTGTATGCTTTCAAATAATGCCATACCTCGAGATTCAAGCTTAGTTATGGCTGTTGCTATGCATGTATAATTTGCTTGAATGTGGACAATATGGCTATAAACTATAGGATCGCTAAAAATATCGATGCATTTTTTAATTGCAATTGAGTCTTCTGGGTCAAAGTCGCAGATGACATTTAATTTGGTTAAAATTTGTCTCAATAAAAGTAACACCAAGTGTTAAAACTGGTTGTGATGGCAATGGAATTCCTGGCAAACGATCCTTATAAAATTGAACCCGAAGTTACAAAATCCTTTTTAATATTTTTAATTAAATCCTTTACGAGTGGAAATTAATTCCTAACCGTCTCAGCCACCCTACATGGAAAAAAATGTGACTAGAAAATTTTACCACAATGTTGTAGTAGTAGAATTGTAGAAAAATACTCAACAATTTGTAGAAAATTTTACTACAATTTATAGGTAAAAACTATTCATTATTGTAGCAATTGAATTGTCGAATAAAATGCTACAACAATAGGAAAGAATTCCACAATGTTTAGTATATTTTACTATTGTTTGTAGAAGTAGAAATTTATTACAATTATCATAATTACTACTACTAACTTCTGAAAAAATTTGTACAAATATTAATAATTATCTCTACAAAAAAT